CTGGGGGATAGCAATGGTACAGCTACAGCTGATTCTGGTCAAGGAAGCCCTGCAGTACCGCGAACCTGCCCCAGCCGGGACAAGAGGTGGCCGAGCGATTTCGGTGCTCAGTACAGACAGGTCCAGGACCTACGTCGGATTCCATACCGCTGGATAAAGCAAGTGTAGCCTAGCGTTGGCTCAGTTCTCCAGCGAGGATACGATAGACTCGCCTATCAGACGTTCACACGTGTTTGTAAACTAAACGGGAGCGAGTGATGATGAGCTTCTCAATCTCATGTTTAACATTCAGGTGTTTAGAGAACGGCCTTCTTAGTACTACACAATCACCAAACGTTCGGTTCTGACTTTGATCGAGTCGTGATAGAGCTCCTTCTTGGGGAACCCATCTGCTGTGAGGGGGTTTTGTGACCACCAGCATGCTGCACTTTCAGTCCTCCAACGGGTGGCTTCCCCCATACCTTCTCCATTACCATCCAGAATAGCTGCCAGCTGCAAGATTTTATGGTGCACCGCCCCGCGTCTCCAAAATCGCAAGAGTATCCGTACCAAGCAAAGCCTCTCCAGACTCCATACCCCACTCGGCGGTATTCATTAGCAGCACGTCCAGTCGGTACCAGGCCGAGCGTTAAAACCTCTAGAGGATGTCTACTTTCGTATGATCTGCCCTCTTTCGTGCTGCTATGCCAGTGGAATTGCCCGATGGCGATAAAGGTGATCTCTGTGTTCGGATCCAGCACCTCATCTGGCCTCCAATAGCCGCAAATGAGCTGCCAGTCGCCGTCCTTCCTTGGCAGTTTTTGCGAACACAGGAAATAACTGTATGTAAAAAAGGAGCGGCCACAGTGCATAATCTGTCCCTCTTTGCCCGAGTCATTCGTGCATTGCATGTTAGCGTACTTTCCAGCAGCTTCTCGAATAGCGTATGGATAGACGGAGTTAACAAAAGCAACACGGATGTGGCCAAATATTTCAAGCCGTTCGGTCTGACATGCCGCTGAGCCTGTGCCATTAACCACCTGGATCTTGCAGAGGTCCTGGAGGCGGTTGTAATTGAAAAGGACGGGAGCTGTTACCGAAGCCCAGGACCAGGTTGGCGCTATATAATTCGTGTGTCGGATACTTTCGTTGCGGTCCATGTCGAACGAAAGATGGCCAGAACCGTACTCGCCTATAATGTGTGGTATGCTCCACAAGAGCCCATGCAGCAGTTGATCTCGCCACAGGCCGGCAAGATACTGGTTGGTCGTCTTCCTCCTGAGAGAATTTGCGATTCCGGATATGGCTGCTAGCCTGTCTGAAGGTTTGGTAATCCCGCGGGTCGTGTAGTCGGTGATGACTTTGTACCACAAAAGGTGTGGTTCCGAATTGTCATAGTCGCCTTTGTGAAAGAAATCCTCACCATTGGCTATACTGTTCTTGACGATCTCGTGAGGCGTGAGCCGACTGCGACCGGATGGTGAGCGTTCAGACACATACGTGCACAAACACTCCCACTTGAGCTGCCCGCCTTCAAAGATTAGCTTACGCGGCGAGAGTAGTTGCTCTTGTAGAACCCAGGCACGGCCATAAAGCGGAGGGTATGGATCGCCAGCATCGTCTAATATGCTGTATGGTGCAAATATTGCCTGTACTGCTGATATGGCCGGATTCTCTCCTTTCTTCATGGGAAATTTGAGGATGAACGGGAGTTGCAGGATCCCGTCTCGCTTCCTGAAGCACCCGATATTTCCCCCAGAAGCATGAGCAGCCAAAATCGTGAGCTCAGCAGCTTGATATACATCGCACATTTGGGCAGCCTCCTTATTCCAGTCGGCGTCATCATCTTGGATGATGCAAAGGGAGTCGATCCAAAGGTACCGATACGAGAGGTTCCTTGTTACTGTAATAGCGTCGAGGAAGGTTTGTGACAATTGATCGGTCCGGATCCCTTTGAGGCGACTTTCAAAAGAGCTTTTGCTGGTTGTGATGATTTGAAAGCTTCCCCAACAGTGGCTCAGGGCGATAAATTTTTTATCAGCCTCCGCGATCGACTCGTTCTTGGTCTCGATAAGCCGAACCATCCCAGCACTGACATCAAGCACCCTCGATGGCATGAATGGTTGCGAAAGCCTGGGTCTCGAACAAGAATCATGTGTTTTCAAGCAACGATTAAGCCAGAATTTTGCCAGTCTGAACGAGGCGTCAGAACCGGTACTTCTATTGTCCAGTTCCGCACATTTTGATAGAGTGTGTGCGAGATCATCTAAAATTGGTCATTAGAACCACTAGCCTCAGGGTGATATGGTCTCTTACCATCTACAACAGCTTTAAAGTAGCCGGCTATCTGAAGCTTAATCAGATCCCTGCCGTTCTCCCGGAAGGTGGTCGAAAGCAGGGGGTGAGCCTGGTCAGGTCCAATTTCGGGTTTGATCTCTAAGACAATGGTACAAGCCTCTAGCAATTGGGCCATCTCCAATCTCAATGACTTTGAATAAATGATTCGACAGATGGGACATCTTTGATCTGACGCAGTCTTCAGCTCATGGAGGTTATGGTGAAGCACTGTGGAAAACTGTCCCCAACGCACATGGCTGGCATCCAGAGGCTCTTTAGCATTGCCTTTGTCGGGAATGCGGATCTCCTTAGCGGCATCTTCGCAAAACTTCTGACACTTGCTGCAGAGCATTGTTGGTCGTATTTGTTCGCTCGGACGACACATCTCAAAGGGTTTCCAGGTCGGCGGTTGAGGCGGCGGCGAATAAGCAGCCACCAGGGCTACAGTACGAGTGGCACTAATATAGACACAAAAGCAATTGGACAAGTTGGCTTTGGACAGAGCACTGTGTCCTCGATACTGTCTTGTTTCAAGGAGGCAGTAGTGATGGTGATTCGGTCGGTGGTATTGTTCCTGGTGCTACTCGGCGGGATGAGCCCCAAGTTATATAGATGCTCATTTTCCAACTTGAGTATACCGCTAGCGCCCTTGGTGTCACTTGAAATGTTTCAATCAGGACGACCCAGCCGCCGGAGATGTTACATGTGCGCCTTGACTACCTATAACTGATGGCGCTGCAAGGGTTCGACGAGACCAGATTTCCTGTGGGTGTGGGTGTGGGCAATCTCATTAATTGGCTGAACGGACCTATTGATAGCAGCCTTACTGCATCTGAATCTGTATGCGGTAAATCGGTTATGGATGTCACGAAAGGCGCAAGGCTGAAGCAAGCCACGTAGACGTGCCAAGAAGTTCAGCTCGAGCACTGGACGCCACATTCCCACTCTTTTTTTCGCAAAACCGTCAATGTAAAGAACGTCCGTGCTTGTTCAATGCGTGATTCGCTAAAAAAAAATTTCAAGTGCTAGAAGACTTTCTCGGTCTCCTTGAAACACCGCCGTGATACTAGATGTTCTCCGCAAAGCAAGTCCGCGACAGCTTCTATTTTTAAGAATTACTCAGCCTGTCGTGACTTAAAGCTATAGATATCCTCAATGCACAATGGTTATTAATACTCGAATTTGTGTACACATCGGTGTCCTTACGCAAGATTAACAAGACCGGGCTAAGGGGTGCTAAACAAATTGAAGTCTCGCTGGTAAACTTACTTCTCCGCGAGAATCGCTTCCTATAAAAGATACGAAGCCGAGGGGAACGCATCAAGAAACAGCAAGTGAACTTTGCTCTTAAGAAAAAGTCTATAGAGCTCTATTGGTACATGTGATGACAAAGCAAACTCAAGAATCACTTGCTCGCTTAAAATGATGTGCAATTCCCGCTTCGTCCTGAACAAGCGACGACGGCATAGTTGCGGTCACTTAGAGTTCACTTCTTCTTCCCACAGACAGCGGGTTTGCATGCGCACTTGGGAGATTGTTCAAGTGATTAGTTTTCCTCGTCTTCAACTAGCACTGTTATGTTTTACGGTCAGCACGTCGATAAATCGTTTTTCTACGGTATCAAAGCCAATCCTCAACAGCTTAACGGATTATACATCACCGTGCTGGAGGCTTCTATTTTCTGATCAATACACTTTCTGAATGATTTCTCTAATGGCCATCGCAGCCTATGCGGACGGGTTCAGTGGGCTTTCTTGGCGGGCACTGACGTTACTATCTGCTACTTAAATTTCCTCTATTTGTCGGTGATCATAATCAATTGCACAGTACATGACACACACGTAGCCTTCTTTAATGGCTCTTCACTTGTCTACAATACAATCTCTTCACATCGTTCAACATCAGTAGATTCATCGTCCATGCTTGAAGCGCACTCAAAGGGACTAGTGCGACGCCGCTGTTTCAATAGCTGCCAGCGAAAATCTGTCATACAAACTGCAAAATCTGCCTAGCGGTATCGGGATAGATAATGCCGAAAGGCGTGAAGTTGGGTCCGGATTGTTCTGTGGGCATCCGATTGATCATGCCTCATGTTCTTGACAGTAGCTGAGAAGTTTTAGCGATGAGTGCTGCCGTCCCCGTCAACTGTAGAACACAACGACAGCCACTTGCAAGACCGCGATTAACGAAATGTGGTTAGATGACTTTCAAGGCGAAAATTTGATATATGAACAAGGATGATGAATAAAAGCTATTAGTGGGCAGTGGTTCCAATACTGCAGCTCGACAAATTCTTTCTGGAAGAACTTTGTTGATGGAACCACTGCGGCGAGGGCGGAAGGATTTTAGGCAGCATGTGGACAATACGAGTTCAATTGACCAATGAAACACGTTCTGCATCGATGGGGGATGCGCCGTAGATCACCATGCTATTTTGGGACCTCTCTCCTTCCTAAAGCGGTGCAAAATCCGAGGAGCTCACTCCATTCCGCCAAGCAACTTCAATAAAGCTGTCAATATTGCGGTGAGTATGTGGTGAGATGGGACACGAGTCCAGCCATCGCTGAACGGGTACGTCTGGCTATTAAAGAGAGCGACCTGGGCACTGGTGGTCGCTCAGAATTAATCCGCTCTCGCGAAACGAACCACACAAGCAAACAAGCTCCGAAGACTTTTCAATCATCATGTTCCATCTCAATCTCAAGGCGCTCGGCCTTCTGAGCTTCTCGGTCATCGCTGGCGCAAGCAACTGTTACCCGCCTCTCTACAACTACCAGTCCGGGCACATTCCAAGCCCGGACTCCAACTTGAAAGTGTGCGATGTCCTGGACCACTACAGTCCACACCTGTCGTGCTGCCCGCAGGATGCCACTTGTCTAGACAACGGCCTCTGCCTCATGCCCTCCAACAACTCTCTGGCAACCCTTGAGTACGGCGGATGCACCTATCTCAATGGACGCGGATCTGCCTGCCCTGGAGCTGATTATTGTGCAAACAGGCGTACGTAGTCCGTCGCCCTTTCCCCTTAGCCAACGACTGACCTTGGTCTTGTAGTTTATCCGGAAGGATCCTATGCAAAGGGCCCCTGGAACGTCATTCCCTGCTCGAATGGGAAGTACTGCTGTTCCTTCAACGAGGTCTCCAACGATTGCTGCGCGGACGAGGCCGAGACTTTCGAGGTCAGCTGGGGCCCCATTCCCGACCACAGCACCACCGTCTACTCATACGTCACGCGGACAACGACTGTGTCAGCGACTGCGGACTGCTCTACTGCCCCCACTACGCCTGTCGAATCCGTGTCCACTCCTACGGCAGCGGTGAAGTTTGCTGCGTAATGCTGGATGGCAGGAGGATGACGATGGTTTACTATTACCTTGTACTAATCAGCTCGTATCTTACGGTTATGAAAATGACGGTACAAAAGTGGGAAGCTATTTGTAATGACTAGAAAATGTAATTAATTGGCGCATGTCTCATGTGTAAAGTTGGTCCAGTGCGTAATATGGCGTGCATCCTCCTCATTATTTGCGCTCTCATTAGTGCATCAACTACTCAAAACTATCCAGCTGTGACCTTCATATGTCTAATCTTTCTCTTGGTCTCTCTCAAAGACTTCTACGCCCCACCTGACTTCTCCGTCACCACCCTCAAACCACCCGAGCTTAGCCACAAATCGATCATCGCCCTTTGCCACGGCCTCAATGCCATTCTCCCGCACCAACTGTAACAATTTCTCGCTTCCAGCAACCAGCACGAGGACATCTGCGGCGCACTCGACGTTCCTGTTGAGCCTTTTAAGTTGGTTCCGATGAACCACGGTAATAAACACCACGGTCACAATCAGCCAGATAAGAACGACCACACTCAGCCACACGGCCACCCTGCCCATTCGAAGCATCTCGACCGGCGTTGATACCAGGACGTCGGCAGTGTGATTCGACTGGGAGACTGGATAGGATACAGTTTGGTTGGCGCTGACGCTACCATCATCGTCCAATATTTGGCCTAGGTTGTCTGGGAGAGTGTCGTTTATCCGCTGGTATGTCCAGCTTCCTGTTTCCGAGCGGTTGGTACTGACAAAATGTTGGAAAAATGTGGAAAAGGTCTTGTTGGCGAGATCCGCCATGATGGTTGCGTTGAGGAGGGCTTCGGGGTCCTTTTCTGCCATCGAATACATGGAGTATGTCATCAAGTCGAGGTCTAGGCCTTGTTCTGTATCCCGGAAGTTGAAGGTTACGTCGCTCAGGGCTTCGTCGACGTTGTCCGCTCTGTTGCCGTTGAGCCTGAACATGTTGTTGTGGATAGACGCCCCGAGAAGCGCATCCAGGAATAGAACGCCGTAGCTGAACAGTTATCAGTGATTACATCTTAAACCAGGTCGTGTGTAACATCTTACCTGACAGTGACGCTGAGAATGTCATGTGCACCTCCAGAGGCCGCCTGATGCATGAGATATACATCTCTCCAGGCATCATCAGAGCTTGTCGGCTCATCCAAGATGGAATATGACTGCACTTCTCCAGTTTGCTCGTTAACGACAACATTGGCCGAAGCCGTCTCGATGATTGGTGCGCAGTGGAGAGCCTGCGCTGAAGGCACGTCCCGGAAGATGAAACGTTCGGTCTCGCTACCATTTTCGCGAAACCCGGAAGCAGCGTGTCCGTAGATCCACTTTGTCGTAAAATTCATGGGGTATGAATTGGGATTGAGTTTAAGGTCAAGTGATATGTCGTCCGTGTAGTATGGCGTCCAGTACCCAAACGCGGAGGCTCGTTCTGCATCGTTCGTCCCGTTTGTGCAACACGACACCCGAGAGGCATCCCAGAGCAGATAGGTATCGTTGAACATGTTGTAAACGGGGTCGTCAGGAGTAGTGGCATTGCCGTCAACGCCAAGCTCGTAGCCAATCGTCCAGTCGACGGGAAATGTACTGGCATTCCAGGCTGACGAGTTGCTGAGATTATAGGTTTTGAGCCATGTGGACAAATTGTCCAAGTTTTCGTAGGGACTGCATTCAAGACGACCTCGGAGCGCAGAAGTTGTTGTTGAAACGCTACTCATCTCGGCAGCAGTTTGGTTGCCTTCGTGATGAATGCTTGAGTTCGAAATCTTGGACAGATCGATGGGAAGGAAGCTCCAACCATCCGAGCTCCAAGCTGGCTCAGACCCATTGAGCGTCAGCTGAATTGTAGCACTGTACATCCAGTTCGTAGCGAAATCCCTGTACATATTTTTCAGGATTTGCATCCGGGATCCCATGTCGAACATCAGAGGCGAGGTGAAGTCTGCTTGAAACAGCGACGGAACTGAACGCAGCTCAAGCTCCCTTTCTATCGTCGTCTGCTGAGAGACGAACCCTGGACCCGTGTAAAACAATGCAGACATGGAGACCGTAACTACAACATGTTAGCTTATTCGAACCCACGAAAATAAAATATAACTCACAAACAGAGCAGAGACACGTCCCGAACGTGAGCAAAAACAGGAGCCAATGACCATTGAAGGCTGATTTGGTAGCTGCATATAGCCACGACGAAGACTCGTATGACAAGCCAGGTCCCCGCGAGAGGGATACTGGGCCTTTAGCCATTAGTAGGTACGGCTGCAGCTTACGGAATACTGAGTCCATGGCAGCCCACCATGCTGCAACTACTACAGCAATAAATGTTGGAATGATGGAGAATGGTGCTATACTTGGAGCCTCGGTGCTGAAGACTGAAATGTTGGTGTGGTATGTGAAGATCTTGGCGTATAGCAGAGAGCGCTCGGAAAAGTTGTAAAGTATAAGTACGGCCACGAGTACAGCAATGAGGATGAGTAGAAGTGCCAGTGTTGCTCGCATACGGAGGACGAACGGTCTCCAGGTCGAATTGGAGGGCGTATCGCTTTCACGAATTTCTTCACAATATTGTTAGATTGAACGAAAAGGTGAAGTAGCTTCCTGGAAGAAAAGGAAGAACGAGAGGCCCTAAAACTTACCGGGACTCTCCTCATTCTTTGAGGGTGTCTCGTCCGCTGAGTTTGTCTCGTGGAGTGTATTTGGAGTTGTATAGTATTTTTTGCCGCAAAGTATCTCGGACATCTGGCTTTGAGATGACTGGTCTAAATGAATCAGTCCTTGTCTCGTGTTCGGCTGGGACGCAATCAAGGAAACGATCCCCACGGTCGTCTGGGGGTCAATGATCAAGTTCAGGGGTCTATGTTTCGGACGTGAAAATCTCCAGACCACGAGAAACAGGCAGACCGAAAGGAAGAACAGTATTATCAGTGCGATGGCAATCCCGGAGTGAACGACGACTCGTCTTTCGACAACAGTCAATTCCCCCGAAATTTGCTCACTACTCGATGCGTCCTCTTCCAAAAGAGCATACTGCATCATTTCTCCGAATAATCTCTGCTTTATCTGAGCAGCCTGAAAGACAACATCATTATCGACATCATCAATCATAGCTGTAAGATTGAAGCCGTATTCAGCTGCAAGTACCAATGTCAACCCCGAAAAATCGGAAGCGGTCGGCAACGTAAGACTGAAGATATCAGGCTCGCCCAATAAGTATTGTGACCAGTCCGTGCGAAGCTGATCTTGCAATTTGGTGGTGTTGAAAAACGTTTCCGGAACGGGAACCCGTTTGGCGCGATACTCGTCCTCGTCAAAAGTAATCTCAGACGATCCACTTGACAAGGACGCCGTGACGGTAACGTTTGCCACATAATACTTGGTGCTGCAAATGTAACCAGAGAGTTGACTCTCATTGAGGGCCGCGTGAGATACAAGCAACTCCCTGTCGCCGCACTCTTTCGAAACATTCCAGGTGGATGAATCGCTAAACAATCTTGCGTCGAAACCTTCATCCCAAGTTGAATTGGTGACCCTGGACAGATCGATCCAGAAGGATCCTTCCGACAATGATACTGTTTCTCCATCATTTTCGACGTCCGATCCTGATGCAATGCCACAGGTACAGCCGTCGTCAGAAGTCAAAATGATGGAGTCCGTGGTCACCATCGTTGTGTGCGTAAGAGTGCGGTTTTCCTGGGAAGAAGTTTCTGTGTAGTTTTCGCGGATTTCTGCTACACCAGATAGAGAGAGGGGCGAACAGTCAAGCTCGGCTTTGAATACCGGTGTCTCAGCCTTCCAGGTCTGCGGGGTCGTGGACAGCAAGGATCCCAGCGGAGCGTCGGAAATATCTGCCGGCCAAAAAGGAAACATGGTATAGTTATCTGCTATCCATGCAGAGGCTGAGATATTCTGGAGAACATGGCCAGTGATCCTTAGGTACGTATCTCTGCCAGCGTTCAAGGATAGTGGGCCATCGGACTTGGGAGTAAGACGTGTGAATTCGATCTGCTTCGAAACGGCGACATTCTTTGATTCCAAAAGAGACGGCATCAATGGCGATATGATCAGGAATGCAACGATGTTGATGAGTGCAGAAGAGACGAGCAGCCAGCTTCGCCGACCACCATTCTTCTTTGTTGAGAACCCATCGGCCAAAGCGTTCCACCATGCGCCAGGAGCTTGCAATATGGTTGATGACGCCGCAGCACCTTTGAGTCCTGATCGGGCGAGGCGAGCAAACGGTTCGGTCCTTTTGACGTCTTCGAGAAGCATGGCCGTGAGCTGGACGTAGATAACCGCGAATATCGAGGGAGAGAATCGCCATCCGAAGTAAACTGCGGAGGATCCATCATCCCTGCCCAGTCCGTCATGTGATGTGGAATACCAGTACAGCAACACAATAGCTAAGCACAGCAACGTAGTGTAGGCGGTAATGACACTAAGGAAATACCTTCCGAAAGTGTAAGGATGCCATTTGGCCGTTGATGAGTGGTCATCGGCATCCGGCGTGGGAATATTGGAATCAGATCCTGAAGAGAACAAGGCGAAGTCAGCCACGAGATCTCGAATTCGCCTCTTGATCGACTTACGATCTGTCGAAATGTAGTTCGTCTTGGTTCCATCATGGGAGTCCGATTTCGCGGCAGGCGCAGAATCCTTGTTTCCATTGGAGGTGCCTGAAATTTCTGGAGGCCCTAGAAGCGGAGCTTGCTGTTCCCTCAGCAATACCGGCCCATGTGCTGGGGAATCCATGGTGAACAATGGCTCTGCAACGGAAGGATTTCGGCATTGATTTAAGATAAAAGCGATGGATGAGCATTGTTTAGCTATGGAATAAAGTGGGGCATGTGGGGCGTGGGGGCGGAGATCCAGAGATCTTAGTGGCAGAGGCGGTGGCGTGCTGGGAAAATACGAGCGGTGAAAGAGCCCGTAATGTCCGGAGGCCACAAGCCACTCGTTGGCATGGGGGCGAAACTCCCAAAAATTCGCCTCACCCGACTATGAGCTTTGATAGGTCGCACAGATTAAACTTTTCAAGAATTGTGTAGAGATGCTATATCTCGTTTGCCCATACGTATGAGATATGCACGGCGTGTGGAACTTGGATATGCGGATTGTTAGTGTTTCCTGCATGCATACTTTGCGAACCAAGCCGCCAGCCGGTTCCCGCGGGACCCGGTCCTGGCAGTTATAAGAACGGCGACTGTGATATCTTCTATGCCTTCTTTATGCTATTTCCCCAACATCGTGGAGGATGATAGCGCGCTTGAACGAGCTATGGTCGTACGCTGCGCACAACACGATAAGGTTATCGGCTAATCGGGTCTTTAAAGTCCCACGCTAATGAGACGGCCATGGAAAAGAAAAAAAAATGGTGAACAGAATGACTTTGATGACGTTGCTAACATTCCACAGAAAACCGCGCGTTGCTGTACGGCGTCATATGGACATGGTTTTCCCTTAGAAAGAATTGCAGAGGATCCTAAAGACACTCGGAAGCTAGAAGGCCGGCAAGGATGGATGATGCAATCACTAACTTGATGCGTCCCAAACTTCTGCAACTATGAGCAGACTTCAATACATGTGCGGGCTACCACAAGGTGAAGAGTGATGATAGCGGTTTCCAATTGGCCTTCCCTAAAACTATAGGCAAATTAAGATCCGCGCTCTTGTCTTATTACAGCAAAACACTAATGTCAGATAATGAGTAGCGTTCTAGATAGTGATCTCCTTTTCTACGGCATCATAGGCAGCCTCGAAGACACCAACGATTTTCGTCAGCATTTCCTCGTCGACCGTGATAGCCGGGGCCAACAGGATATGATCTCCGCGCTTCCCATCCACAGTACCTGACATGGGGTAGAGATGCACACCCATGTCAAGCGCCTTCGCCTGAATCTTGAAAGCAAACTTGAGTGCGGGATCGAGGCTCTCTTTCGTCTGCTTGTCCTTCACAAACTCGACAGCGTAGAAGCATCCCCTTCCCCTCATATTTCCCACAAACCTCTTCTCCCCCAACCTCTCCACCAACAGCCTTTCCAAGACCTCCCCCATCCGCTTCGAATTCTCCACTAAGCCCTCTCTCTTCACAATCCGCTGCACCGCCAACGCCGCCGCACTAGCCACCGCATGCGCCTGAAACGTGTACGACTGTACCACACTCCCCGACCCATGCTCCAACGCCTCCATAATCCTCCTCTGCGCCAACACCGCCGCAATAGGGATATACCCACCCCCCAACCCCTTCCCCACAGCCACAATATCCGGCACAACGCCCTCCTCCTCCTGCCACGCGAACACCGCCCCCGTCCTCCCCATCCCACACATAACCTCATCCAAAACCAACAACGCCCCATGCCTCTCGCACACCTCCTTGACCGCCCTCCAATACCCCCTCACCGGCGGCACACACCCAGCAATCGACCCCGCCACCGTCTCCCCCACAAACGCAACCACCTTCCCCTCACCCACGCGGCGGAACTCCTCATCCAACTCCCCCGCCAACCGCGCGACGTACGCCTCGTCCGTTTCGTTTGGATGCTGGTACTGGTACGCATAGCACGGGCTGACGTGGCTGACGTTCGGCAGCGCGATGCCGCCGTACGGCGCGGTGCGGCCCGGCGCGTGCGTCAGGCTCATGGCGCCGAGCGTGTTGCCGTGGTACGACTGCCGCCGCGCGATGTAGTGCGTGCGCCCCGTCTGGCCCCTCTCCCAGAAGTACTGCCTTGCCAACTTCATCGCCGACTCGACCGCCTCGCTGCCCGACCCGACGAGGTACGCTCTGCTGAACCTGCTGCTTTTTCCTCCACCTCCTCCGCCCCCTTCGCCCCCGTCGTGGTTGCCGAGTCCAGCGTTCGCGGCATCGACGAGATGGCTGGCGAGGTCTTCGGCGGGAGTGTTGGTGTACGCCAGCGTGTGGCAGTAGCTCAGCTGGGCCATCTGGGCCGCGACGGCGGCAGCGACTTCGGCGTTGCCGTGGCCGATGATGGCGGCTGTCGCGCCACCCGTCGCGTCGATGATGGGGCCCTTGTCCGGGAAGTTGAGGATGAGGCCGGAGGCGGAGGCGACGAGGGGCGGGCGCGTGCGGAGTTGGGTGTGCATAAGCGCGGGGTCGGCGGCGCCGGGCCGGGTGGAGCAGGATGTGGGGGTGGGGGCGTCGGGGTCGGCGGGTTGGTGGGGCGGCGCCATGGTGGGTGGGTTGATGAACTTTTTTTTTTCTTTGTGGTTGGGGGGGTTGTTTACAGTCGAAGGGTGTCTCCTTTATGTGGGATGATGGAAACAAGTGAGTCATAGTGGTCATTGAAGGGCGTCGGCGGGATGAGGTTTGACCGAATTGGATATGACTGTTCGGCGCTCTGACATCAGCAGCAGTATACAAGTCGTCGGTGTTTTTGACTTTTCGCCTAATTGACGCTTTTCCCTTTTGGTGAGTATGCCGTTGGATTCAAGTGTTGCTAATTTTTGGTTGCTGTCGTCAACGTCAAAGTGCTGCGATAGATATTAACAAGACCACAGCTTTGTTCATTGGGCAGCAAAATTTATTGATACGTACGAATCCTTTATAGCCGCAACATTGTGCCATTGAAAAACTCACGGAGGAAACGACTGCACCTTCGAGCCTACAGTCAACCTGTCGTACTATTGTAGTAGGACATTTCCTGTTCTGGTAAGGCTACTTGGCACTAAACAGAGCAAAAAGCGCACCATATGGGTTCATGATATTAGTAACGGGAGCAGCTTGAGTGTGTAGGCGCTGTCTTCTTGCATCGATGTTAGTCAGTGAAATGTTAGTAATTTCGTATAGCCGATGACTCGTGCCCCGCCCTTCGGTCGACATGACCGAGGATGTGATTGAAACAAATACTCAGCATTCGCGGTTTGTTTGCTTTCTGAAAGCATGGAAAAATTCCAAGAGTATCAGGCGGCTGATGCTGTCGATTCAGCCGTGACAGCCCGAGAGTTTAAATATCAGCCTCCACACCAATGGACTCGAGTAAGAGAAAGCTTATTTTATAGTTAAGCCGAGCCGTACTAAAATTCTTGTGCAGAAAAAGAAGCTCTTCGTGGCCTGTGTCTATGGTCTTGCCATGTGCAACAGCACTCTTTCCTCGAGTTTACCTGCCGGCACATCGCTCTATATCCGGAATCACTTTTCCGTATCCAACCCTGTACAAGCAGCTCTACCAACAAGCGTATTTCTTCTTGGATATGTTATTGGACCTCTCTTCTTCGCTCCTTTGAGTGAGAAGTACGGCCGCAAGCCAATCAGCCTTCTGAGCTTTGCCATCTTCACTTGTGCCTCTCTGGGCGCCGGACTATCCCCATCTTTCAACGCCCTGGTCGCATTCCGAGCCATAGCGGGTGTCGGTGGGGCAACGCCGATCTCAGTCATCGGAGGTGTCTACTCGGACATCTATGCCGATCAGCGCACACGTGGACGTGCAACGGCGATATACACTGTGGTATGCACGAAAGATTCATGAAGCTTGCCAAATGGAGTATCTGACCATTGGCAGATTTCGACTTTACCAATCACAACAGGCCCGACAATTTTCGGATACGTGAGCCTGGTGAGCTGGCGGTGGGCATTCTACATTTCTACCATACTCGCCGGATGCACCTTCTTGCTGCTCGTCGCCACCCCCGAAACATACGAACCTGTGCTCAGGAAACACGAGTCCCCCCAAAGTCAAAGCCCTGATGATGAGACTGGTCTTCTGCAGATGCTCATCATATCCCTGTCTCGTCCAATAAAAATGCTCTTCACCGAGCCCATCGTGATTTTCACAACGATGTATGTCTCTCTTATCTTCTCCGTGTTATTCCTCTTCTTCCAGGCGTACCCCTTCATCTTTCGCGGAGTTTACGGCATGTCTCCTCCAACGGCCGGCCTCGCCCTACTCCCCGTCGCTGTCAGCTCCCCCTTTGCGTTGGCAATCTTCTTCTGGTGGGACCGTAAGCTCCACAACGCCAAAAGCCGAGGCGAGTCTTGGTCCTTCAAAGACGAATACCAGAGGCTACCACTTGCATGCGGAGCGGGCCCAGTGCTCACTGCTGCCATATTCTGGCTCGCGTGGACAAGCCGATCCGACGTCCACTGGATCGTCCCCATGCTGGCTGGCCTGCCTTTCGGAGTAGCATACATGCTCATTTTTGTCGTCTTCTTCAACTACCTGACCGACGCCTACAAAGTGTACTCTGCAAGCGCAATGGCTGCGGCAAGTTGTGGGCGTAGCTTGGCGAGTGCGCTGCTGGTCCTTGCGGCCGAGAGCATGTACGAACATCTGGGGCCATCTTGGGCTACGAGCATTCCGGCGTTTGCGAGCTTGCTTATGATTCCTATTCCATTCGTTTTCATCAGATACGGACCGCAGATTCGCGGAAGAAGCCGCATCTGCCAGGAGATCAACAAGGCAAATGTAGATAGCAGTGTGTAGGTAGTGATAGGCCGAAATTTTAATAGAATCTGGTGTAGATCTATGTGAAAGAAAGGAAGCGAAAAAGTATAGAATCAAGCCGGCTGAGAAATCTCACAACCGCGCCAGCGGCCCATCTGACTTCACAATGCCGAGGCAATCTGCAGTGATATCCTCCAGCTTAGAGCAACCCGTCAACTGCATGCATCTCTTGAAGTCTTCGTAGAGGATGTCCAGCATCTTTGCCACACCAGCCTCTCCGTCGTACTATGGCATGTTAGCTTTGTGAACGGACAATGGAGAGGACATAACATACCGCCAATCCCCAAAGCATCGGCCGTCCAACCCAGCAGCAGTCCGCTCCCAAAGCCAGAGCCTTGAACATATCGGAACCGCTCCGAATCCCGCCATCAATATGAATCTTAATCTTCCCATCCCCAGCCTTCACACACTCCGGCAGAACATCAATCGTCGCCGGCGTCCCATCCAACTGCCTCCCACCATGATTACTAATAATCACCCCATCACACCCATACTCCCGCGCCAGCCTCACATCCTCCGCCGCCAACACGCCCTTGATCCAAACCTCCATCTTCGTCTTACTCCTCAACCACGCCACCTCCCCCCACGTATGCGCGTCCGACGCCGTCGCCTTGAACCCCGCATCGTGCGTCCTCGCGCGGACCATCTCGTTCGTCAGCTCCACAATCGGGAAGTGCAGTCCCTCGGGCGTGCGGAAGTCGTTCCGATGCTCGTTGTACCGCACGCCCAACACCGGGCTGTCCGCCGTCAGCAGCACCGCCTTGCACCCGGCCTCCTCCGCGCGCCGGATGATGCGTTCCTGCTTCGCGCGGTCCTTCAGCGTGTACAGCTGGATGCCGTGCGCGATGCCGGGCCAGACGGCGCTGCCGGCGGCGCGGATGGAGGCGATGGTGTGGTTGGCGTAGGACGAGATGCCCATGTGCACGCGGCGCGAGGCGCAGGCGCGTGCGGTGGCGAGTTCGCCGTCTGCGTGCGCCATGGCTTGCAGCCCCGCGGGCGAGACGCAGAGGGGGAAGGCGATGCGGGAGCCGAAGACGACGGTGCTTGTGTCGGCGGCGGAGACGTCGCGCAGGACGCGGGGCCGCAGGCGGTATTTGGTGTAGGCGGTGGTGTTTTCGTGGACGGTGATTTGGTCGGTGGAGCCGGAGTTGAAGAAGTCTGGTGAGCAGGGATGTTAGTGGTAATGAAAGAAGGTTTTTGGATCGACGCAACGGGAAGTTGATCGTGGTACCTCTTGCGGATGGCGAGAGCCGCTTGGATGCTATGTCCTGGAGGTCATTGACGCTGAGGACGACGTCGGCTGGAGCGACCGGAGAGGGAAGCGTTCCGCCCGCCATGGTTGTTGTCTACAGATGCGATGTTGTCTCGAGTGCCTCAGGCCTATTCAACATTTATAGTTGACCATCCCTACCCTCGCCTCGCTACGTTACCCCGCGGATTTTTGGCCGTACAGCGATAGGTATGTCTTATCGGGGCCGATGTCATCTGCAGGGCGTGATCAGTGCGGGGCAAGTCTGACGTCTGACTAACCAAACAATTAGTCAACACCCATCAGCTATTTAGTCCCACCACCAATCACTGAACCAGTGAATAGACGAGCGCAACTAAATACTCCTGTGCAATCCTATCTTCGCTTTTTACTCCCCCCTATTTTTTTTCCCCAGTGATCATGGCCTCCTCAAGAGATGCAGTCTACTCAGCGAAAGCGCCGAAGCCCCCGTCATTTCTCTCTCAGGCGGTGAGGGATGGAGGTCGAGTCTACTGTTCAGGCCAAGTGGGGATGGATCCTCAGACAGGAAAGATGATCGAAGGCACTGTTCAGGACAGAACCGTAAGTATAGGTTTCGCGCATATGCCAAGTGTGCTAACGGCTTCGAATCAGAAACAAATCCTGCAGAACCTCGCTAGTGTTCTGGAGGCTGCAGGCTCGGATATGTCAAGGGTGATCAAGGTCAACATCTTTCTTACCGACATGGGCGATTTCGGGGCCATGAATGAAGTTTATGACACATTCTTCACCGCCCCAAAGCCTGTAAGAAGTACAACGTTCGGAGTTGATTGATGAAAGTTAACGTATTGTCTAGGCTCGTACCTGCGTTGCAGTCAAGTCACTTCCTTTGGGAACAGATGTCGAAATTGAGTGTATTGCAAGCACTGATTCTCCCAAGCTCTGAAATGCTATCGCCCAATTAGTCGATAGCGAGCTATGATCATCTCGAAGAATCCTACAGAAGCATTCTGGGAGCAAGGGTTGAATCCGCATAGCTAAATTTGATTTCCAAAAAAATTTCCAATCAAATATATCTATCATCTCATGTATTAGCCCAGTGATCCATGTGCAAAGCATTGCGGGTTGTCTGGAACTGCCAAGGAAACCAAAGCCTAATTTTGATTAATTTGTCAGCGGGCCCGTTCGCTTTCGGTTGTCACAAGGCGCCACCTCCTTCCTTCTTTCTCTCTTTCCCCACCAGCATCCGCCGTGTCTACCTATCACTACTCACCAAATCTCATCATGGCTCGTCGGAAGATGGGAAGTGCCGGTGCAGAGCCCGATGCTACTGCAGCAGAGAGAAAGTACAGCCGCGGTAAAGCGCCTTGCCGTCTAGACTGGTGCTGATCGGCCCCGCTTAGGAAACTCCGGAACCGCATGTCGCAGCAAGCGTTCCGCCAACGCCAAACAGCTTACATCAAAGACCTGGAACGGCGTTTGGAGAGAGCTGGCCAATCTGAGAATGAGCAGATTGCGAAGTTGGAGGCAGAGAACCAACGCCTCCGCAAGCAGCTCACTTCCTTTATCAACAAGCTCGCCAGCGCACAGGCTTCCTTGCAGCATCTCTCCCGCTTGATGCAGAGCACGCTTGACGAATCGGGTAACTTGACCGACGAAGCCCAAGCAAGCGATGCAACCATCCAAGATTCCCTGTCTCCAGAATGCGGAGAGCCTCAACCCAGTGCAACGAATGCTCTCAATGTAGAGGCTGGCGAACAACCTCCAGATCTTTGGCAGGAGATTGACACCGCGCTAGTCCCTGTGTCGTCTAACTCTAACGATGATCAACCTGAATGGATGAACATGCTGAATCTTGCAGGCGACAGTGAAGCAGTGCCTGAAGCTCACACAGAGCATGCAAACATTCCCGAGCAGACAGCCCTCAGCTTGCCCAGTCAAATGCCCGGCATATGGTCTTACAACTACCAGATGGGTCCACCGGCATATTCTTACGCCATGGCCTGCAGTCCTTTGGTGGAAACGAGCATGAAGGCATCCAACTCGATGTGTTCTGACCACATCACCGCTATACGGGCATGCATCTGGAACAAATGGAAAGACATTGACCCTCCGCTATCACCTGAGAAGCATCTGTACGTGATCGAATACCGGGAATGGAAAGCGAAAGCTGACATCAGCCAGGCACAAACTCGATCAATTCACCTCCATCATGTTCTCGATGTGGAACGGCCTGACTCGCCCCGATGCCATGCCGTGGTACACGCCGACAAGATGGTACAAACACCTCTCGGAGCTCGTCACATGGCAGCTTAATCCTACTCGGGAGATGTACGCTCGCCTGCATCCCAAGTACCGACCATCGGCCCTGCAGATTACCGAATCGTACCCCACATTTATCGACTGGTGCCCCTTCCAGGCTCTGCGCGACAAACTGATCATCATGCACGCCGCCAACCCGCGTCTGGACGAAATCATCCTCGACATCGCCAGTATGTACTGCGTCGAAGTGGACCTGTCCAAACTCGTCCGCACATACAAACAGCCTACCCACGGCTACGTGCACGTTTGGGAAATCACACAAGTCATGGGAGATGAGATCAACAACAGAAAATCTCGTCCGGACTCTTTGCAGCGGGACGAGAAAAGGCTTCCAGCTCCAGACACTACCTCGCTTTTCCAGTCGGCTTCGTATATGCGCCAGACGTTCCAGATGTTGCGCATGGACGATGGTGCTTCCGTGTACAAACTGGACCCTGCTATTTTCGAAAGGCATCCGGAACTTTATTCCGCGGATGTTGCCGATCTTGTGGCTACGGGCACGCGGCTCGAGTACTATTCTCCATCGTTGCTCCCGCGGATACCTCCTCCAATTAAATTGGACAAGACTACTTTGAGGATCTATCGACACTTTGCAGACTGGGCGCTGGATGTCATTTGTACATAAGACGTCGAAAAATATCGCACGCACATCAGTTTTGAAGCAACGTCCAGCCGTGGAAAATAGCCGCATACTCGGTCTGAGACGGTAGCCGGGCGGATGAGAATGGCAGAAGACGTTCAAGACGCAGCATTGAGGTGGGGATTCGATATTTGCTGAAGCAGTATCCAAGGCTTCACAGGATCGGCTCTCCGTATTTCCAGGTTTCAACTACGCCTGCAATTGCTCCTGCTTTGTAAACGCTTGTACATGTTGCGCTAAGTGTATTATTTTAACTACATTCAGATGCCCGCAGTGGTTTCAGTTGTTTGGAGTCTTTTGCTCCACAACCTCCCATACATTTCCCACCGGAAATTGCAGCAGAAGCCCTACTACTTACATCTTTCGTGTGTTGCAACCATTCAAAAGCAACACCAATTGGTGCAATTCGGTCAGCGAAGTGACGACAACTACACCTTCATAGCAAATTGCTTGAGGTACTCGTAGTCTGCAACATTGTTCTCCACAGTCTCCTTGATAACCCTGGCTCCTTCCTCTCCAAACTTGTCGACCCATTCCGCGTTAAGCTCTTCGTCCGACTTAGGGCTCTTTTTCTTCTCAGAGAACTAATATCAGCATGATCGTCCATAAATTTCCGCAAACAAGAGTCCAAGACCAATCAACTCACATGCGCCCTCGGCTTCAGATCCGTCGACTGAATCGCATCCTCATGCCACCCCTTCCACTTCCGAAACTTCTCCTCCGCCACCCCGCGACTCCCCCCCTCTTCACCACCCCACCTCAGCATCCCTGGCCTGAACTCAATTCCCACGCTCTCGCAATACTGCCGAACCACACCAGCCGGATCATCCAGCAAGTCATCCGCATCGATAACACAAACCTCCACCGCCTCCTCGCTACTACTCCCACCCTGACCAGCAGAAACGATCCCCACACCCCGCAGGTAATCGAATAGCCGCTGCAGCTCCCCGTAGCCCACCTCGGACGGCAGGTAGTGCGACCACCCCGTGACGGCGGCGAGCGGCGGGACCGTGCAGCGGTGGTACGACGGCAGGCTGTGGCGCGGGTGCCGGATCAGGAAGGTCCAGTGGAAGCGGGACAGGAGGTTTGCGGGCACGACGGTCGGGTTACCGGCGGGCTCGGCGCTGTGCGTGGCGGAGGGATGCTGGGCGATGGTGCTGCTGCCGTTGGTGGCACCAGTGTCGTATGACAGGAGAGACGGCGCGATTGATGCGGGCTTTCGGTCTGGGGGCATCAGGTAGTAGGCCATGTCTTTGATGAAGACGCGCTTGCCCTGTTGTTGGGCTGGTGAGTGTTTGTCTGGAGAATTGTGCGGTTGAACGCATTGTAGGAATTTCTTGCGGAGTTTGCGATGTGGATATCTTCATAGTCGCGTTTATTGCGGGGTGTCGAGGGGAGGAATCCTGCCGGGGTGTACTCAATATCCTCGGGAAAAGAAAAGAAAGAAAGCAACAAAGCAAAGTAAACGGCAAGAATGCCACATAAAAAACAGAGGGGACGAAGTCTAACACAACTGGGGTGGCTGTCGAACCTTTGCGTTTTCACGATCAATATTCTCAAAAATAGTTTTGAAGGTACTATCTTCAAACCCACTCTCTTTTCGCGCCTTCGGATCGTTCTCATAACGCTCACTTAGTCTTTCAGGCCCATAATAGAACGCATCGCCGAAAGGCTCGTGAAGGCACTGAAGCGTATCCTGGCACGTCATGAAGACCTTCGAACTGTGCGTTGTTAGTATAAAACTTCAACCCGTAAAAGATCTGCTAGATTGGTGAGACCTACGCGCTCAAAAGCTGTCGAGCATGCCCGAGGATGCGTTGCTGCGAAAATAGGCTTCTTTGACATGGTGTTGCGGCTGTTAGTTATTGGTAAGAATTTTGCAACCGGAGTCCGTATATATAGCCGCCGGCCGGGAAGGCTCCCGAGCAAAGAATGGCATTTGGAAGGGCAATCTCGAATAGAACATGTGGAAGTGTGGATCTCAAAAATGCGCTAATTTTCTAGTCCCCGATGGCGGGGCACATGGAAGATGACAGCAGAAGAAGCCCGCCCATGCTTTCTGCCGTGACCGCAGTCGAAGTGCCGCAATGATTGCCATTGATGTTGAAGTTGGATCTTGAGATAGAGTCTGTAGAGCGGATGCGTAAGCGTATATATAGCTATTTCCTTGCAGATGCATTGCGTGATCCAATATTGATCGTGCATCATCTTATAGCCGCGGCTGCAGAGCTCTTCCAACACCCCTCACGCTTCAGAGGCATGTGTGACTGGTGCTACGGGGCGATAGCCGAAGCCCCACACCGGCTCCGTTCCCGTCTTGATACGGCGGCTCACGGCCACCATTCAGCGCTGTTCATACATCCCGTGTTGCATCCCTTTCCCAATCATCTTGCGCACCGCTAAACCCGTTCCGATCGCCTTCTCCGCCTTTTCCCCAGCTGTGGACCCCAGGTGGCTGCCCACCCACTTTAACATGGCTGCCTAACTCGGTTTAGCGTCGCTATGATCCCGTCGCAGTATCATGCATTTGCTTGCCCAAATGAAAGCGGAAATAAGCTCGAGTCATCTTGAAGAACTTTCACGAAGTCTATGGAGTAAGGGATGGCTGCCGGGACAATCCTATCACGGCTTGAGGAATGGCAAGGAAGGAAGAAAAACGGTGGGTATGTTACGAGGGTAATTCAGCCGGGAAAATTCCTTTTCTGCTTCACAAGCTTATCAAATTTCGTGAAATGATCCTAACTACATAGATACAGCCTCAGCATTTGAGGATGGTCACTAAGCGTTGAGGATTGCTGTTCGTGGGCTTGCCCTCGAGTGTGCGCTGCATATGAATTGCAAGGGAATGATCGGTTTGGAGCAACACGCAATTAAAAATGGGATGACTCCCTCCTAAAGAATGTAAATATAACGTTTGTTCAGGAAATCCATAACTATCCTATGGTACCTCAAACCGTTGGGCCTTGATCAGGTGACCATGAGTCAAGTCTATAGCTATCCAGTAAATAACCTAACCCTCGTCCTTTTCACTACCATCTGCTGCTCCCAATTTCAAGATGTTGGTGTACCTCGCCCCACTAACATCTCTATGCCTCAGCTTTAGAGCTGTGTTGAGTATTATATTCACATTATTGTAAGCGTTCTCGGGCTTGAAGGGGCCTTAACGAAACTGGGAACACAATTTCTCTCTTGATCGGCACGAGGCTTTCCAAGTAGTAATCTTCATTTTCCATGCTTGGTGTCTGTTTCGGAGGGTCTGCTCTAGGCGAACGTAATGCTGAAAGGATGTTGAGAGGAAAGTTGATGTTACAATGCTAGGCCCGTTGGTGGCGTTATGCTAATCGGACATGTGCATAGACGATGGGGTTTTCGACACAAATACGGCTGGCCTTTGGTAATTGCCCCAAAAATAAATCAGCTCGTGCCACATAATACGTGCGGAAATTTGCTACTGCACTTCAAAAGGCTTTGACACACTCTTATAGCGGAATATTGTAAGTACCCTTTGGTTTTGCACCTATGATTAGACAGCATCTATGTGGAATAACAAGAAGGTTCACGACCGTAGCTAAGGCGGTGTGCATGCGGAATCCAAAAATTCTATATCCAGCTGAAAGTTGACGTGGTCGGCTTCAAGCGGGGTGGTCGAATCTAATCGCCTACAGCCTCGCCTCCCCACTCTATTGATTAGAAATGCCCTTATTTGTCCGAGGTCCTCGAGGCAACATTTACTGCATAAACCTGACGTGCAGACGAGTGCAGTCAGCAACGTTCCAAATAGTTACACAACGCAACTACATGTCGCAGCTAAAACATAAAGCTTGCAAAGCAACCAGCCAGCCAAAAGACGCGCCAGTATTGGCGCTCACGAACTGCAAGAAATTACGGGGCGGCCCGCTGATGCGAAGTTAGGCGTAGCGCGAACATACGATATACGTTGACCCCTGTCATTGGCCCGCCAATCCAGCCTGGGACACGGTGGTATTACAAATTCTCCACCAGGCTGCGCGAGAAATGGGCAAAGGCAACAAAGCAGTGATCGTCAAGGCCTCGCTCAGTCCCACTGTAATCAATGGTGATGGAACGGGATGAGGCGCAAGGCGCCAGGATCCACCCATCTGAGCGGGGCGTTGGCTGCCCCTCACAACCTTTTGGCGAACTTGTCACACAAAAAGGCGACTGCACGTCAGCCGCCGGATCCGGTACCCTCCTTTCCGTAGCCCCACCTAGACTGTGCCCAACCAGAGCAAGAGAGCCAGGGTGGCGCCCAATCATCACTGGCTTATGTGCGGTCCATTCAGCCGCACCTCAGCTGCTTTTGCTTTTTGTCATTATCTTGAGCGCGGCGAAGGTCTTTCCGGTCTCAGGATAGCTCTGCAGACAATATCTCAGTCAGCCTCATGCATTATCAGTGCCCAAGCTGACGAATCTTCATTGTGGTAGTATGGTTCCACAGCAATAGTTGCAGGGCAAAAAATTATATCATTGGCCATCTGGATCCTTGTTCACCAATGGTTTCCCCGTCCTCCTTATGAGCTCAAGGATTATCACCGGTGGGTGTCCGTATGTTTTTCGCTTCGCGCACGTATCATCAGCATACCCAGCCTTTGCTTTTTTGTTTTTCCGCGCCTTGCGAACAAATTATTTGTTGGCCAAGGTGGGTCGAACGTGGCTTGCTGAAATTGAAATGCGCTTATGTGGACACATGCACGTCTAGGAAATCATATGCGTGGGCATAGTAGGCTCACGCTAATCGTAACTGAAACCAGCTCTACCTGCCGCCGAGAGTGCATCCTGTGGCGTCGTGGTTTCCGCTATTTTCTGAAGTTTTCTTTAATCTACAGAGCCCCGTTTTGAGTAAGCCTTATCATCTCAGAGATGCGTTCTACTTAATATAAAGCCGCCTGCTCTAGAAGACATATCACCACTGCTCTTCGCTTTGCCACCAGGGGAGGTTTCTACGCCCTTTTCTCATGTCAGCTCGCAATGGCAGATTCCCCAACCCAACAGTCAGCACAAACGGAGAATCCAAGGAACTCTGAGCCTGAGGATGACTCTGTGGGACTGGGAAATCCCGCAATCGAGGACTCCGTCATTGTGTCCGAGCAATCCCAAGACTCAGAGACCCTTCCTACAGAAAAAGGCGTGCGGCGCTTTATTGGAGGTGAGCGGTTCATTCGAAAAGGTACCATTTATGTATTCTGACCCCATGGAATCTAGGAAAATCCGGATTTGAGAGCAACCCAAATCCTTCTTCGTACATGGTGAGTTCGGTTGAAGTTGTTGGGACCAAACTCCCGGAAGAGATACAAGATAGCCAGAACAAAACCTCTTTCGCATCTTTTGGAGATCAAGGGACAACTGCAAGCGTCAATTCGAAAGGTCAGATCATACAGATCACAAAATACCTGCCCGCTGGCCGATCGAACTTCTTCTCAGTCGATCGCTGGAGCACCCCGGAACCCCATGAAATACAAAAACGCGCATACGATCTGATGGATAACGCTACCAATTCCTATAGCGTTGGATTCGTACTGAGACATTTCGACGATTTACGACTGGACTTTGTTTGCGACCGCTGGCCCCGCTTCACACGTCCGTATGGCAATCCCGTGTTTCGCATGCAGTATTTTGTCTGCGACGGAACAGTATTCCAGCAATTTGTGCTCGAGAAAGAAACTCTACAAGGACCCGCAGACGAAGAAGACGATCCCGATTTGCTCCGGAGGCTTATCGCGCAGGTGAAGCTGGATGATGATATCCTCGTCCGGGACCTGGACTGGCAAGACAAGGACTACCAATTCAATATCTCAGACAGATTCGACACGGAGAGTTATTTCACGGACCTGAAGAACGAGCGGTTCAGTCTGGTCAGGACACATAAGAATTTACCTCCTGCCCCATCAGCAGATGCCAGTCCGAGTACACAGACTGTCCATGCGGACGCTGAGCTTTCGGTTGAATTGGTCATGACGGCATTCATGAACGGTGATCCACAGAGGTTCAAGCGCCAAGGGGGGTACTTTTGTATCGATATTTCGACAGATACTGCAAGAGCTCATTTTGATAGCTCCAAGTACTTGGAGATCACTGTGGCCTATAAACTACAGCTCGCACAGCCGAAGAGGATGGAATCGTGGAAGTCCTGGCTTATCCCCGCACTGGGCCTCGAAAGGATGAGAATTGCATACTCGGAAGAAGGCTTCCGTGACGTTACGTTCGCGGATAACAAGTTATTCGACTTCAAGATCCGCAGACATTTGGAACACATTCTTTCGGTTTGCAGTATCCCTATTTCGAACAGGAACCCAACCGACTACGAGTCCGAAACCAGTACATCTGAGGTTGAGAGTGAACACTTTCTCAGGAGTTTCAACATCCAAGAGCAGAAAGACAATCCCATAGCTCTGACGTGTGGGGACATGTCAGGCCACCTTATCGTTAGCGCAGCAGGCTTCTCTGCTTTCCAATTTTTGATCGCCATGCACAGGTTTCTTCAAGGGAAGCTCAAAGATCCAACGCAGTGTACGCAATCTGAAGGTTGCATTCCCTGTCGTGACCGGAAAACAACCAATGACACACTGGGTCCGATATCTGGTCTCCGATGCACCCACTGCAGGCAAGTCGAGCACCTAGCGAGACGAATCCGGGCCGTTTGCAAAGGTCACATGGACCTAGTTTTTAAGGCTCCTCGAGAAGGGCCTAGGGAGGACAAGCCAGGATGGTCGAGTTCTCGCGCATCAAGTCGGTCTGTCAAGGGAGAGACTGATGAGCTTGGTGGAAAATCCAGACTAGGACCTTTCATGGACGGCGCCACCAAGCTTATCATGGCGCAAGGATTCTACACTATCTCTTCGGCGAAATCTGCTAAGACAGATCTACCGGTCATGGATATAAAGAAGATCTCTGATTCCTGGTTTGAAGAGCTTGAAAGAGCAGAGAGGAGACAGGAGCGTGGCCCATGCGCCTTTGCAAGGTCAACAGACGAGCTTACCAACAGCGACAATTACTACTTGGAGGACCACTGCTGGATTTGGACCGCCCTGAGAGGGATTGAAACGACCTGGCCTACACTTACCCCAAATCCGGCAGTGCGCAATAGAAAGGAGAAAGGCAATTGGAGAGGCGATGGAGAGGTAGTTTCCTCTACCTCAAGGGCTTACTCGTCAAAAGATGCACAAAGACACACTCTGAAACATTTCACGACGGAAAATTCTGCCATGAATCGACGGATGCTCGCGGTATTCCGCTCGTCCAGCGAAACGAGATTTGTTTTTCGATCCAGAGACACCGGCCTATTCCATTGCATGGCTTTGAAGTTCTTCAACATGGCAGAATCGGAATTTATTCTGGATGTGTGGAGAAACACTCTTCTTGCCCAGGCCATTCATGAAGATAACCAATCAAATGAATGGGTATCTCCTCTCAAATATACTCTGGCTCTCGTTATGGCGAGCAAAGGATTGCAAATCAACCGATCGTCAGTCAACGAAATTTTCAAGGAATCAAAAGAAGTACTACTTGCAAATGCCGGAAATCCGTGGGCCAACGGTCTTTTCCCAGGATCTCTCAACCCTTCCACCAAGGCCCCAGAAGTCTTTCGGAATGCAACTTCCCGCGAAGCCCATTGGACTGCTACATTTGAAGTTCCATACGCACTGTGGATGCACGCAAAGAAAGCGTTGGAGCAAGGAGAACCAGAACTAGAAAGAAAAGACGGCGAAGTCGGACAAGCGCATCAGGACTCCCACAGCAAAGAAATCAAGACGACGAAAGAGATATCGGTGACTGGAAAGAGAATACCGTTCAACAATCTCATCGATCAAAGGAGCATAACCGAGCCCCCAGATGAGTGGCTCTACAATGAGCCTGATTTCCTCACGTTTGTCCCCAAAAACGGCAGTCACCATGACGCAGACATTCCAGAGAGATTTCGAAAGCTGGAAAAGCCAGCAAAAATGTTCAGAGCGGCCTCAGGTGCAACTCCATCGTCAGAAGCTCCAGAATGTACCGCAAAACTGTCAGGAGTCGTTATAGATATCCGAAGATCTCTGAAACGTAACAATATCGGCGGAGCGTTTTTCAATACCTTGGATCGCATCAGCATGATGAACAACGACAAAATTCTCCAAGAGCTGGAATATCGTGGTCCAGATTCGACAAATCATCTTGGTATTGTCAAGAAAAGGTTTGTTTGGCTGCCGTACGCCGATGTAGACACAGCCAAGCACTGCTGGTTTGCAACATCAGATTCGGAAAAAGAAAACATAATTTCTTTTTTTGAGAGACATTGCGCCTATGAGAACTTCTTCTTCGATGATACGACTGCCGCATTGAATACGTGGAATACAGAGCTACAGCTGGTCTTTTACCAGTTACATGAAGAAGATGGTGATTCTCCTCCTGGCGGAATACCGTGGGCCAGACAGGTTGACTTCCCCGTTGAGGAGTCCGATGGAACTAGAAAGAAGATCAGCAGAGCTACCATGGGCTTTCGTTTCGACGGAGACTTTTTTGACCGTTACTGGAATTGCCACTTCATCGAATATAAGCCCGGGAAGAGGAGACCCCCACCCAAGGAACAAGCAAATCAAGATCATGATATCAGGGAGCTTATCAGTCTACTTCAACCGAGCATGTTTCAAAGATTTGAGAGAGGAAAGCAACCATGGAGACAGAGAAAAGTTCTTGAACTCATCTTATTCGACAAAATTCTCGATGAAATCACTACTTCAACAGAGAACATCATGGACAGGATCAGGGAAGCGCTGAAGATCATCAGAGAGAACGTCCTTAGCGAGTCCATGGATTCTACAGATCAAAATAGTAGGCAAGAACCTTGGAGAGAGCAAAGTCATTATTGCATGCTAATTGGAAGACTTTAGGCGCGACATCGAGATCAATTCACGTTGAACAATCGGTACAGAAAAAGGACGCACTGGAGGACTCCCTTCAGGCAGCTGATTTTGTCTCAAAAATGAAAGGAGAAGATTACTTGGAGTTCAGCAAGCAGTCTCAGGCATTCGAGCAAGTCCTCAGGGTTTTGGACGATGACCTCGGTGAGAATATCGAGCAAATTGAGCGATGGAAAAACCGAGAACAGGATCGCGCACCAGAACAACCTCGCTGGACCAGAAACGATGAGCGCAGATATCGGACTACCATCACTAAAATGCTGGCCTCGAATTCGCAAAAAATGAGACGCCTTGATCGATGCCGTTCCAACATACAGTCACTCAAAACCTCGTTGGAGAGCACTCGGGAGTATATTCGCGACGACCTCAACCTCCGCGGCGCTGAAGACGTTCGCCTCTTCACCTACGTCACTGCAACATTCTTGCCGATCAGTTTTGCAACGGGTGTATTCAGCATGGGCGATTTTCCCGGCGGTGCACTCCTGGGAAGCATGATCGGCTTGGCTGTGTTTGCGCTCCTCCTCACGGCGGTCGCGCTGGTTCACGACAAACATTTAGCTATCTTTGCACGTCTATTCAAAGACTTCGTGCTTGGTCTTCATCCGTTGAGACGCATCAAGAAACTGCTCCACATCGGTCAGTCTTCACCCGAAAAGGAAGATACACCACAGGCACAGGATATGTCAGAGGGGATGGGGAAAACGAAAGAAGGGCCAAAGCAGAAAGCTGCGTTTTTAGATTTCCGCCGGCGACCTCGGAGGGAACCTGTCCCCAAACAAAGAGGGGTTGAAGAAGTTTGATCGCGATATTCACGGAAATAATTCTTCTTTTCATCAAATCTCCTTTTCTTCGAACTCAGTACAAAAGTTAAATCTGTGGGATAGGGCGCAGGATGGCGGTCATCTAATTTAATGGCATTGATTAGATTCCAAATATCTGATCTACATGAAGGAATTGCATTTAAGGAGTAGCTCGCCCATACTTACCGCCCTACCACCGGTCGAAGCATCGTCATGTTTCCTATTGGTACCGCTTCTAGCTGCGTAGGATAAGCCTTCGAAGGGGACACAATAGCACATATATCGCTATTTACTTGCAGAGCTATCATAATCTAATCATTTAAGAACCGTTGCTAAGCGGTGTGGAGCACTGTTCGTGGGTCTGTCCTCGCGCTTTCTAAGCTCATGTATTGCAGTGGAACCTTTTGTTCGTAGCAACACGTACTTGAAAAAGGATGATCAAATCCAGGGATACCTCAAGACTTCGGCCACAAACAACACCGTGACTGGAATATCAGCCAGAACGAGGATAAACTTCGCGTTCAGACCCTTTGACTTCTGTTTACGGACGCCTTTCTCGTTGCCTTGACTATTGCAATTACAGTCCTGACCATAGTCCACCATCTCCCTCGCGATGTTATGGTGTGGCTAGTGCTTAGGGACGGCGCCAAAGGAGAAGCAAAGCGTTCGGCAGCCGTCCTCAACTCTAGCTGGTAGCTTGCTGGTATAGCCGCTCCAGGCCTGAACTGAGTTCTCTGGTGTGCATACTATATAGAACTTTTTTCTCAGTGGATCGTCTGATAGATTTACCATTCGACCCAGCCACAGTCAAGTACTATATTACGGGCAATAGGATATGGTCACTAAGCCTCCTACACCAGAACATTAGACGACAATTCCCCAGTAAACATACAGAGCACTTACCTCGACTTCATCCGGCCAGTAACCGCGAAAGCCACGCCGAGAATAAACGTAACACACCCAACCAGCATGCAAAAGCCTTCAAGGTTACTACTCTTCGACCCCACATTCCCACGCGTAGTGATGACGATGGACTTGGTGCCGCCGAAGGACGAAACGTCGTAGTCTAACGCTGTGTCAGCGGGCGGCCTGGGATCTACCCGGGGGGCGACAGCAAAAAACACCACTTACTATCCTCGACATCAACCTCGTACCGCGCCGCCGCCATCGGCTCCCCATCATTCCGCATCGCCATCTTCCTAAAATTCGGCAGCGCCGCCGTCCGCATCCACACGACGAAGCCCTCGTCCGCGGACAGATCGGGCACCCCGTCAGCATAGCCGTCCGGATACCTGGCACGCCAGTTAGGCGGCGGGACGACGTCGTCTGGCGCGTAACTCGTCTGCTTAACGAGGTCCCTGTCGGCGGGGAAGGCGATGCCTTTCGTCGTCATGTTGTAATAATACGTCGTCGACGTCTCGTTCTCGTTCTCGTTCGCGCTGTTGTCGATGCGGCGCGGCTGGGAGAAGGTGTCGTTGAACAGCGAGTTGGCGATGAGGCCGCAGGGATAGTACGCCTTTCCCGTCTCTGGATCGATGTCGAGGGCCTCGCAGTCGCTGCCGCTGCCGCTGATGGAAGAGGCGCTGCGGGCTTTGCCGGCCAGCTGCTCGGGGTCCACGGATTTGATGTAGTCGCGGTGGCTCTGGTAGAAGTCGGAGAGGCGGTAGTACAGGAAGACGGGCGGGGGGATGGCGCTTTCGATGTCGAAGCGGAGCGAGCAGACGGCCGTGGTGGCGGTGGTGTTCCGGGAATCGGTCTGCTTGAAGCTGTGCGCCCAGGTTGCCGCCGTGGCATTTGGGTTGGTTCGCCTGAAGTTCTTGGACACGCGCGCTCCCGGGATCGGGGCGAAGGTCCTCGTGTTGGGGGGAAAGGTGCTGTTAGATCCGACGGGCGAGTGTTTCCAGCAGTCCGTATAGTCGATGGAGATCTCTGGGGTCTGCGAAATGTCAGCATCAAGACGCTCAGAATGGCGGTCCGGCAACGACGCACTTCGCGGCTTTTCACCACCAGCGCCACTCCAATGGCAAAGGCGACAATCGATATGGCGAAGAAATACATGATGGCTCTTTTGATGGTGAGAATTGGTCTGGAGGAGCTGTTAGTAGCGAGAAGGGGACCGCCATCAGTGGCACTTACCTCCAGGACCAAAGGCGCTGCTGGTTCCACGCAGTGTCTACGCACGGTTAGCAACATCACACACACGGGGGCAACACAACGTACCTTTCGGCCTCTTGCTCTTCATCCCGCCGTCAGCGATTGGAGACGCAGCGTAGTGCGCTTCGTCTGCCGGCCTGAGACGACGCAGGTGCGCGCTCGCGCTCGGATCCTGCTCGATCTCCTGCCAAAGGAAAGGGTGCCACGCCTCAAACCCAGCCCAGACACCACCCCCCGAGAGCTCAGACTTGTCCTTCCCCGGAATCATCTTTGTCCAGATGACTCGCGCCAGGCGGTGCCGCTGCAGCGCCTTCAGCACCAGCTCCATCGCACACAAGACCATCAGCCCGACGACCAGCGTCAGCCACCAGCTGCCGTCCGGGCCAAACGTCTTGCTGAAGCCGTGCCGCACAGCGAACGGCGTCAACGCATATGGGCCGCCCACAGACCAGACGCCGACGAAAGCAAACAAGGCAGCGATGGTTCCCGCAAACATGCCCAACACAGCACCCGTCTTGTCATGCATCTCCACCATCATCAGCTTAACGTTCGCCCAGACGACGCCCATAGCGTACACGAGCGCGCCGAACGCGTAGAGCCCGTTATCATCGACGGCCTCAGAAGAGCCGTAGCCCGCCCAGCTAACAAAAATGACGAGCAAGCCAGCCGCGAACGCGTTGGCCACCCACCCGAGAAAACTGCCCATCCCCAGCCCCCGACCCCTTCGGCCATACTCATACAGCTGCGGCACGGCCAGCAGCGTATCCGCCCTCAAATCCCGGTCCCACGAACCCAGGGCGATGATGGCGCACGTCGTGAACAGCGAGCCGTACAACACCAGCGCCGTCGGATCAAACAAACTCGTCCCGGAGAAGCCGACGAAGCACTGGTACAGCCCCTGCGGCGCGGCGTGGAACAGCTCTTTCCAGAAGGACGCGAGGATGAAGCGCGTGGTCCGGTGGTAGTTCCAGCGGCCGTGCACGAGCAGCAGCCGCGCGAGGAAGCGGAACTGCGCGATGCTGAAGTCGGCGATGCGCGCGGCTTGCTGGCCTTCGTTGCCCGCCGAGATGCCGATGCCGACGTGTGCTGTCGTAATCATGGAGAGGTCGTTGGCGCCGTCGCCGATGGCGAGGGTGAGGGGCTGCCGCGGTGCTGTGAGCCAGCGAAGGAAGCGGTTGCCCCGGCGCTGGGGCTTGTGGTCTTTGATGGCGGACACGAGGAGCGCCTTCTGCGAGGGCGACGCCCGGCAGCACACGACCGAGTCGACGGCGGGGATGATGGCGTTGAAGAGCTGCTCGACGCGACTATCGTCTTGGATGGCGTGAAGCGTGTTCCCGTCGACCAGCAGCGCCGTCTGCGCGCTCGCCTTCTCATACCGCTGCAGCGCGCCCAGAACATCCAGACACTGCGTCTCCAGATCCCCCCGCCCCCCGTCGTCGTCATCCACATCGAGCTCGTAGATCGTCGACTCGGCGCTACAGATCTTCGCCGAATGTGCAATGTTGACGGCCGTCTCGCGCTTGTCTCCCGTAAGCATCCAGACCTTGATGCCGGCCTTGCGCAGCTGCTCGATCGTCTCGGGCACGCCTTCTTGCAGCCTGTCCTCGATGGCCGACGCGCCGGCGAGCTCGAGTGACTTTTCGATCTCGTCGCCTACCGCGTCGACGCGGGCCTGTCGGTCGACGAGGCTGATCTGCGCGTCGTGGTAGCGCGCTTGCCACGCCTGGTACTCGGACTCGGACAAGAAGCGCTGGCAGAAGAGCAGCGTGCGCAGGCCCTGCCGGGCGTAGTCGTCCAGCGCCATGAAGCACCGCCTGCGCACCTCTGCCTCGTCGTCGTCGTCGCAAGCGTCGAGTCCTTGGAACTTTGCCGGGAGCTGATCCGCGCCCGTCACCATCTCGTCGAACTGACCCGATCCAGCCCTTTCGAAGCTGCTTGTCGACCCTGCTCTTATACGCGGCGCGAGAACCGTGTCAGCGCCCTTACAAATCAACCAGATCCTGCCATCCGGGCACCGCACGATGACGGACATGCGCTTCCTGTCGCTATTGAACTCCAGCACGTGGAGGATTTCGTACGTCTCCCGCTGCCCATCCGCCGTCTCAATCGTAATGGCCTGGGCAGACCGCTCGACCGCGAGGAAGCCGAGCTCCTGCGCCGCCTTGACGAGAGCCAGCTCGTCCGGCGACGACGCCTGGAAGTCCAACTGCCCGTCGTCGTCGCCGCGAGCCTCGGGCTGCGCCGTGTGGCAGATGGCGAGGCACAGCAGAAACTGCCTTGCCGCGAGCGCGAAAGGCGAGGCAGGTCTCAGCCGCATGAATTCGACGAGGTCGTCGGTCGTCCGCTCCTCCTCGTCGTCACCAGCGGGGGTCTGTTGGCAGCGGTGCGCCCAGCTCGTGCCGGCGATGTTCAACTTCCGCAACCGCATGTCGTTCTCGGTCAGGGTGCCCGTCTTGTCGGAGAAGACGTAGCCGATCTGGCCGAGGTCGTCGATGATGGTGTCGGTGTTGCAGCGGACGGGCGTGTCCGAGGCGGCGTGGTACAACTCCAAATCGCGGTTGATCGAGTTCATCTGGTTGATCTTGATGACTTCCAGGCCCATGATGAGGGACATGGGGACGGCGCTGTTGAACATGATGACGAAGCCGAAGAAGATTTCCTGGAACGGCACCGTCGTGCCGTGCAGGTACCACGGCTTGCCGCCGCGTCCGCGCTTCCACAGCGTGTAGCCCAAGAAGCCGAAGGCGGCGATGGAGAGGACGAGGAGGGCGAGGAGGATGACGACTTTGTTGATGAAGGATTCGAGGAGCGGCCGCTTGGCGCGTGGGTGCCGGTTGGCGTTGATGCGGATCTTGGTCTCCTCGCCCGTGTTGATGACCAGGCCGATGGCGGAGCTGGTGTTGCGGAGGGTGCTGCCGCGGTAGATCACCGAGAGGTCTGACAGGGGCGATACCTTGCCGTCTACCGCTACCTGGCCGTCGAAACGGTACAGGTTCTGGTTGGGATCCTCGACGGTGAAGTTAGCGTTGCTGCCGGCTATTCTCCTGGGCGTGTCGCAGTTCTCCAGAGCGCTTGGTGGCTGTTTCGTCTTTAGGTTGGTTTCGCCGTCCAGGGCCATTGTCTCGATGTATGCCGCGTTGTGGTCGGCGTGGAGGAGGATGATGTCGGCAGGAATGTCGTCGTCTCTCGACAGCTTGATGACATCGCCAACCTGGAGATGCTGCCACTGCGTGCTTGTCCACTCAAAGTCTTCGTCGGACGAACTGTTCAGAAGCTCCATGGGGGTGCCACTCAAATTATCCGCATCGCTCGGCGGCGGCCCCGCAGGCCTCAGAATGCTTACACTCCGGCGATTCTCAACCTGGTCGAGACGATGCCGCTTGAAGTCGTCGTAGCCCTCTTTGGCAATGGTGAGCGAGACGAAAATCAGAAGCGGGATCAGGACGGTGAAGTTCCCCGTGGTGCTTAGGCCGGGTATGAGCTGAAGGATGGCCATGCACAGAAAGTAGAAGTTTGCGAGTCGGGAGAATTGGTAGAGGATCTGCTTCGGCAGGAAGTCCCACAGCGTGTATCGTGTGGTTCGGATGCCGTTGGATATGTAAGGCCGGCCCGATCGCGGGTCGAGTAGCTGCGGGCCGTGGACCACCCGCAGCGGGACCTCGCGGCCATCGCTCGGTATCGGCACCGGCTGCCGGCCCGGGAAAAGCGCGTCGCGCAGTCTTTGGAACATGCTGCCCGCTGCACTGCTGGTGGAAGCTTTTACGACACTGCAGGGAACTGTTCAAGGAATAGTGTCGAACGGGTAGGAGCTGTTGTTTGCTTCAGGGGATAACAAAGGTTGAGAAAAGGGTATCGATGTAGTCTGCCCGTCTCAAGCTGCAGACACCGGGCCGGCATATAAATGAGCACCCATAAGTGTGGTCCAAGGCACACTTGAGAAAGACAAGACACAAGCCACCCGCCGATCGTGTATTGTTGCTACGTTGAGTTCAGGAGCACCTACTCGTGCTCTACTACAGGATGCCCTTGCAAATTGGAAGTGTTACAATTCTGCGTGCACCATTGGACAGATCTTCCTGGGCTGTGACAACCGTGTTACTGTGCCAAGCACTTGTAAGCTTAATACGGGGGCTTGAGTTCTCCGCTCTTTTGTTTCTGCCGCAAAACGCGTACCGCAACTGTGGCGGAGTCTCTGCGAATGGCTTCAGTGCACGGCCTTGGCTATTAACCTTACTCGCCGAAGAGAATGAGAGTCCGAGATACCCTGCTATCCGAGATACCCTGCTGCACATCAGTTACACCGAAGTCGTCCCGAACATCTATTCCATCAGATGAACACATAGAGTCTTGGGATTATGTGTATACGGAAAATAATTGAAGTGGGACTGGAAGCCGTCCCTGCCGGACATGAAAATAAAACAGCTGCGCCCTGCTGCACTTCAGCCTCTTAGTTTAACCTCTTCATACCAGGCTCCACCCTATGTTGCTAAACTTGGACTGAGCTTGATTCAATCCTACACTCTTCAGAACACCAACCTTGTTTTCTCATGGCCGATCGGCCACGCACGACGGACGACTGTCCAGGATCTAACGGGACGCAAACTCCAGGCTACGACGATGAGAAAACACATCAGGCACAAGCCACAACTCCGTGCGACAATCCTGCAAGCAGTATAACACGAGATCTCGAGCAAGGCAGTGTTCAAACGCCGAGCCACACCGACAACGCGAACATAGTAGGATGGGAAAGCGACGACGATCCTCTGAACCCACAGAACTGGCCCACGCGAAAGAAGTTCGTCAACTGCGCTCTTGTCAGCTTCTTGACCCTCCTGGCCCCCCTCGCATCTTCCGCATTCGCTCCCGGAACGCCGCAGCTCCTACACGACTTCAACAGCAAGAGCAGCGAGCTGAGCAGTTTTGTCCTGTCCGTCTATGTTCTGGGCTACGCGGTCGGCCCGATGATTGCGGCTCCCATGTCTGAAATGTACGGACGCTTTGTTGTCTACCTCGTCACAAACATCGGCTTTGTAGCCTTCCTCGCTGGCTGCGCTCTCGCCCCATCCATCAGCTCCTTCGTCGCCTTCCGCTTCTTCTCCGGCGCCCTTGGCTCCTGTGTCATTTCAAACGGTGGCGGCACCATAGCCGACATCGTCAGGCTGGAAAGCAGAGCTCGCGTCATGGCTGCTTTCAGCGTTGTGCCGATGCTTGGGCCCATTGTCGGGCCCATTATGGGAGGGTTTCTGGTCGCGGAGAAGGGGTGGCGGTGGGTGTTCTGGGGGCTGGTGATCGTCGCCGGGACGTTGACCATCAGCATGGCCCTGTTCATGAGTGAGTCGTACGCACCGGTTCTTCTCGAGCGGAAGGCCAGGATGTTGCGTCGAGAGACTGGAAACACATTGTTCAGCGCGAAACTCGACAAGGGCCTAACGCACGCCGACCTCTTCAAACGGTCGATTCTGAGGCCGTACTACATCCTTTTCTGCTCGCCTTTGGTCCTCATATTCGCCACATACATGCTCGTCGTCTACGGCTATCTCTATCTGCTTTTCGCTTCTGTAAGCGTCGTCTTCCAGGAAACCTACGGCTTTTCAACGAGTTCTTCTGGGTTGGTTTTTATTAGTTTCGGGCTGGGCTCTATCACAAGCTTGGTCTGGCACAGTTGGACGAGCGATGGTGATGCTGCAGAGCAGTTGAAAAAGGATGAGTTCGAACCAGAGTTTCGGCTAAAGCTGCTTCCCTATGCCTCATTCAGCATACCTATAGGTCTCTTCATTTACGGCTGGACTGCCCAATACCATGTCCATTGGATTGCTCCCCTCATAGGCTTATATTTTTTCGGCCTCGGTTAGTATAGCGATTTCCATCAAACAGGAGCCGAGGCGCTTAGCTAATGTATCCTCTAGGAAATGTCCTTAGCACCATCACAATAAGTGTATATCTGGTCGACACTTTCAATCTGTACGCCGCATCCGCTCTCGCAGCTCTCTCGATACCAAGATCTATCGCTGGTGCATTACTCCCCCTTTGCGCTTCCAAAATATATGACAGACTCGGGTTGGGATGGGGGAACAGTATGCTTGGATTTGTTTCCTGCGCGCTTATTCCTGTCCCTTTTTTAATTGTCAAATACGGCGCGTATATTCGAAGAAGATATGAACTTAAGAATCTATAGGTAGTATAGAGAGCACATGTATATATTAATTACTGCACCTCTCATTGCGAATAAGAACGCGTGACATAAGCCTTATAATTATCTGAATTACTTCGAATACCCGTGCAGTAACTTCCGCTGGCTGAGACTCTCTTCTACACGCGAAGCAAGGAAAAGGAGAAAAGATAATAGCCAATGCATCTAAGAAGGCTGCTTAAGTAATATAGAGCGACGTGACTTATGTCATAAAGCTTGACACTGGAGAAGGATGGAACGGGTTGGCCATAAGTTGGTCTGAGCTGAAGATGTGGTACAGCCATGGAAGCAGTCAATGGCCAAGACTAACGAGGCGGTGCTGATTAATAATTAGCCACTGATTCGTTAACACGCTTCACCGGCCGTAGGGCTGTGTTACTTCGCTTTCGCATCTTATTATAAGTCTCCTTGTTATCGAGCCAAGGCTGTTGCGCGTATTTAACCACCACCCAATCAAAGCATAGTCGACCCGCCGTAATGTTCGCGATCGCATTCGTATTCTTTACTCGTATATCTATCCTTATCTAAACACTAATGCGCCAAGAATCTTTTCCGTTTCGAATTTCGAATGCAGCAAAAGAGCGCAATGATGCACTTCCTGACTAAAAGAATAGTTATATATCACGGTGCTGCAATGCAGTAGACGTTAGATTCAAAAACCCTACGACTAAAACGAGACAGCTCTAAGGACTACTATTTTTTCCGCAATGGAGTCCATAGAGTACTACCAGAGGTCTGCGCCTCTATCCTTTTTCTTTGCTACGTTAGCTTTCTGTTTCCTGTACTGGCTGGCTCGCGAGGACCGTCCTTTCAACTCTTTTTATATTGCCAACAAGCGCGGGAGCGACTTATTCCTTCGCAAAGCTAAAGAGGAATGGGACTACAATGCCGCTACAATTACGAAGGAAGGGTTTATCAAAGTATGTCCCGAACATCGCTGGAGTTTTCAAGTCTTCGGCATCCGCTCCAAGTGCTAATTCTTACAGACCAATGGACGTGCCTTTCAGGTGGTAACCAGACACGGCCCGGTTATCATCCTTCCTCTGTCTTTGTGCGACGAAACTCGCAACGACCCTCGACTCTCTTTTTCCGGCTTTCTCGAACGTGTACGTTGAGTTTCATTGCTACGTTGAGATTATTAGCTGACGGCACAACTTAATTCCAGCAAGGTCTTACCAATTACCCCGGTCTCGATGTTTTGCACGCTGGAACCCAGGGCGACATCATCCAGGAGACAATTCGGAAAAATTTAACTCAGTCCCTGGGTAGCCTGACTGACGTTCTATCAAACCATACAACTGAAATCCTGGATACTCATCTTCCAGTGGGACGAGGTGAGTAGAGACTTGACTTCAAGCTGTCTCGTAGCCATGCTCATAAACAAGCAGACTGGCAGGACGTGCCTATCTCCTCAGTAGCCGTCCAAATCGCTGCCCGCCTATCTGCCCGAGTCTTTCTTGGAGAGCGTCTCTGCCGCGACGAGGACTGGATCGACATCTCAACTAAATTCACCGCTGTGACATTCAAGGCGCAGGAATCTCTCCGTGTCTGGCCTTCCTTCATGCGGCCGTTCGTTCACCGCTTCGTGCCCCTTCTACGCTACCAGCGTTCTCTTATCAAACGCGCTCGCGTTATCATCGAGCCCGAACTGGAAGCGCGCCGGAAGGCCCGTAAAGACGTAGTCAAGCCGCAAGACTCTCTCTCTTGGCTGGACGACACCAGAGGAGACCGCGAGTTCGATGTGGCTCGGGGCCAGCTTTTCCTGTCTTTGGCTGCCATTCACACGACATCTACCGTGCTCACTAGTATCATGTATGATCTCGTCGCCCATCCAGAGTACATTGACGACCTGAGAGAGGAGATTACACGGGTGTTGAAGGAAGATGGAGGATGGAAGAAGACGAGCCTTTACAAGATGATGCTCATGGACAGTTGCATGAAAGAGAGCCAGCGCTTGCACGTCCTCGGCCCAAGTAAGCAGCCTCTCTCCGTTCCTGATGCTCCAGGGCTTTCTTCCAGCGCTGACACGCCCACAGCGAGCATGAACAGGCGCGTCGAAGCTCCGATGACCCTCTCCGACGGCACTCACCTACCCAAAGGCGTTTTCGTTGCTTTCTCGTCATACAACATGCGCGACGGCGACGTTTTCAAGAACCCCCACGAGTTCAACGGCCGCCGCTTCCTCGACCTGCGTGCACAACCTGGACAGGCGAACCGCTGGCAATTCGTCACCACGACGCCTGAGTACCTCAGCTTCGGACACGGCAAGCACGCGTGCCCGGGGAGGTTTTTCGCGAGCAACGAAATCAAGATTGCTTTGGCGCACCTGTTGATGAAGTACGATTGGAAGGTTTCGGGGGCGCCGCCGAAAAGCTTGCTGGAAACCCGCTTCTTGCCGGACCCGAAGGCTGTTGTTGCTTGCAGGACGAGGGAGCTTGAGCCGGAAATTGCTGCCCTTATGGGGAGGGCGTAGTGTATGGCAGCGAAGATGAGCCTGCTGGCGGAGAGGAGCCTCGTGCAACGATTGCGGGATGTGGTTGTGCAAGCGAGCGGTGCTAATGTAGCAGGGAGTGAATCGCTACGGAGAATAGAGGGAGCGGGCGGCTGCAGCTTTGGAAGGGTGCACATTCAGCTTGGGATGGTGGGGAGAGGGAGACAACAGGGAATGTTCAATCGAAATTGGTGAGGCCGCGAAGGATCAGGAGATCGATTTGATGGCAAAGCTGATGATAGCGTGTGAGCTGTTTTTTCTATTAAGTACCCATGATACTTGATAGTTCGCGCGGCAGAATGAACGCAATAATTTGACGTTGGAGCTATTCTCCAATTCACAGGAAGTTGAATCAATTCTTGTCAAGCAGTGATTAAATTGCCAAGGGGAGATAGTATACAACATTTTCGCCGTCTCAAGAACTGTGCTAAGTACACAGAATTCGACTCATTTTTCAGCACCCTGATCTCTTACCCATTGCTGGATCCAATGCGGCCAGCCACGCAATCCACTAAGAGCAGAAAAGCTCCGAGGCAGAATGATCTGGCCACCGCGGCAGGAAAAGATACCGTTTAATATCTCACCACCCACTGACTCAGCGGATAGGAGTATTGGCTTCATTTTCTCGATGTCTCCTGTGAACTCAGAAAGGAGCGGTGTTGTCGTCAAGCTTGGATGACAGATGGTCGTATGGACGTTTGGTGCGTTATAGTTGTGGAGAAGTTCCAGGGTGAGGCCTTCAGAAAAAGGTGAGCAATGATTTCCAGTAAAGGAGTAGCGGTAATCACCTTCGTGGAATGCAAGTGCACCAGCTTTAGTGGAGGTATAGTCTACACGGTTAGGAGCAGCGACGAAACTGGCCAAGCTGGCAACCGTTACGATGTGACCTTTGTTCTCCTGCACCATGTGCGGAAGGAAAGCCGCGCATGTAAACCAAAAGGAAAGAAGGTTTACGCCGAATATCTTGTGGAGGTGCTCTGGCGTCGTGTCAAGAATTGTTGACCCGGATCCAATACCAGCGTTGTTGACCAGAATGGATGGATTCCCCACCAAGCTCTTGACCTCCTCTGCTGCCTTTAAGACAGCCTCAGAACTAGATATATCGCAATTGAAGTAGAAGATATTGTCTGCTCCACTGGTCAGCAATCATTGTATACTTTCATCCCGTTCATCTGAAGCCTCACTATTTTCCAATCTTTCAGGCAGTGGCTGGACGTCAAGGATAACGACGCGCACTCCTCGAGCCGTCAAACCCTTCACAACAACCTCGCCAATACCGCTGCATCCACCCGTCACCACCGCAATCTCCTTGGACCAGTCCCAGCGAGCCTTGTCGTCTCTAACACGCCATCCATTGGTAGCCACCCTGTTGAGCCAGTTATTCGCCTTGCGGAGGACCCCAAGTCCGAAAAGAAGCTTTACAGCGCTAATGGCGCGAGGGGCAAAGACAAAGGGCCCGAGACGACCCAGAAGACGAAATACCGGAAACTGAATGGAGCTTGGCGCTCCGCACAAGACCCAGAGCAGCGGCCCGGTAAAATACGGGCTCGTGATAGAGATGCGCATCATCTCAGCGGTGAACGCTGCTCTGAAGAATGTCCAGAACTGAGATGTCGTGGTAGTTGGCGGATTACTCGCTATAAATGGGTGGCATGGTGCACTCCACTAATGCAAGAATATCTGGAAACCTTTTGGGCAAACCTTGCGAGGATGGCCGATCGGATGACTCCAGCATCCGAGCCGAAGCTCTTGGCGACTGCCTTTCTACTCTGCCTTTCCGCTGCGGTCGCGTCGTTTCGAATGGTGCAAAACGTGGAGACCCCACTGTCTGTGCACTCAATCCCATCGGACTGACATGCGTGATTAATAATAAATCATGCAGCCAATTGTACGCGCTGAAGCTAATAGTGGATGGTTCTTCAATTTAGTTTGGGGTTATTACCAAACAGCACCTCTTTAGTCGAAAAGGGACCAAATAGCACCTCTCGGTTCTAAATAGCACCTCTTTACTACAATCTATAACATTTAAATCGCTGTAAAACGTTAACGTAGTAAGAAAAATAAGTACTTTTTAAATATATAATAATAATTAAATTTATATTTACTAATTCTAATAAAAAAAAGTAATTTTTTACTACGAGAACGTTAGTTTATTTAGCTAAAATCTCTTTTAAAAGCGATCTTTTTAATAGCGTCAGAAAACGTTAATAAAGACTAAAATCTAATCTTTTTTATATTTTTATAATAGTAGAGAGGCTAAAAATATTAATTATAATAAAAATATCTGGTGTCTATATAAGAACGTTAACGATTTAACGATAAATTTTAAAGAGGTACTATTTAGGCGCGAAAGGTGCTATTTATTCCGGTCGGCGCGAAAAAGGTGCTGTTTAGTAATTACCCTATTTAGTTTTGTGCTGAGGCTGAGGCTAAGTGTGTAAATATTAATCACGTAAATTGGAACTGTTGAAATGCAGAAATGCAAAACCACACTCAAATGTAGTTAAGCAAGAGGCCTTATGTTTCTAATAGAGGTAAAGCAAAATATGTTCTCGAACTAAGATCCATTTCAACAAAGTTTGGAGTAGCCGCAAGAGCCATAAAAAATAGAGAGTAAATTAAACAGGTCCTCTTGGTGGAGCACGGTTTATATACCCCGCCTTATTCTCGTCTTCCTGATGGACTATCTATTTCCGCGTATCTCCACGCATTATGTAACCACTACACTCTTCAGTTCCGCTAATGCATCTTTAGCAGATTTTTTATGTGGGAACTCAGTAGTTCGACCCTCGAACGGCTTCCTGCCATATCGACTTACAGGAAAGCCAGGATTGCAAGTGCTGCAGTCACTGCCACCGAAACCATCATCATCTTCATCCCCTGAGCTCCATTCTCCTCGCTATCATCATTCACCATCGTTGTCTCAGCGCTAGTACTGGTGGCCGCCGCGCCAGTCGTGGACGATAATCCAGTCTGCGCCTCTGTCGTCGTCGATACTGCCCCGGCCCTTCCCAGCGTTTCAGATGCCACAAGCAGGTAGCCTGACCCCGCCGACAGAGTTACGCTGCCAACCACGGTTTCCTCCCCAGGAGCCAATGCCCTATCGTCCACCAAGAATTCCGTCAAATCCTGCTCCCAACATCTCGGCGTACCATTGGATGGCGTTATGCAGCTGGAAGCGCTCTGAGTCGCCACGGGCACACCCTGGACAGTCGTGAATGGTGTCGGTAGAGGTATTTCGACAGCTTGCGTGTTGGTGGCGTTCCATTCCTCATAGGGGAGGTACTGGCTCGAGACTGATGCTGAAAAGAGGTCGCTGCAGTAGGCGCGGTTGCAGATTTGCCATCCGTCTGGAGCAGCGCAGCACGTCCCTGCTGCAGTAGGCATTGATGTATGGGACGCCCCCCAGCTGGTTGTTACGGCTGAAGACATTGATAGATTGGTAGTGTTAAAAAAGAAGTGGATGGACAGGTTGCGCTGAGGAAAGATCGCGGTGGACTCAGAGCGGACTCATACTTCTTTATTTCATGCACCGGCTATTAGGGACCTGAATCCTTCAGGAGCCATGCCTCGCGAAGGAGCGGCAGATATATGCTGTTGTCGTACGACGCGATATTGAATTTAGGCTCCTCCAATCAGTGATGCTTGGATTGTGGGGCCTTGCCTTGGCGCAGCGGATATACGGATGGTGTTGCACCCCAGTCTCAAATCAATCACGTGGCTTTCTCACCTGCACCGGTGTCAGGCTCGTGGAATACTTCATAGCTCTAACGAATGTGTACATAGTGCATCACAAAGTCAGAACCCGGTTTAAAGCGACGTTCCACTTATAGCACAAGCCGTATTCAGGAAAAATACGAAACGGTTTGCGAAAACTGTTGTTGTCAAGACCTAAAAAGAAAAAAGGAATATAAAAAGATAGGCAAAAAAAAACTAAATGAGTCTAATCTTACGGTATGGCGCTCTCTCGAGGAAATCGGGGAGTAGACTACGATTGAAATAACCGTCTTTACCAAGCCCACATACTTTTTGGAATGCACCAATGCGTTGGTATTCATCCGGGCATGAAGTTGGAAATAATAACAACCCCGAAAGTGTTTCGATTGGCGGCTTCGAATCTGAATAGACTTTCTTCGTCAAAATGAACATGATCGCGACATTGTTTTCCGATTCTTCCGTCCAGTCTACAACGTCGTCTTTTAATGGGTCAAAATCCAGATACCATTGTCCAAGGGAAGAACCCGATGATTTAGCGTAAAAGGAATCTTCCTGATAATTGTCCAGTAACAAAATGTGAGAAGCTGCAAAAAGCTTACCTTCCATGACGAGGTGAGCGCGAGTAATTCTGCCGAAAGAGTTGATCTTGTCAGCCTCTGACCACGCCTCCAACACCTTGCATTGAACAGAGTCCTGTTTATTTCCTCCGAACCATTTAGAAAAGCGGCCTTCACACGCCCAACTCCATGATGGTGAAATAAAATGTGGTCCACATGTGCGTCGCTTGACCAGGTCAGAAAGGTTGGGCCGGTCCTCTTGATCATCCGCTCTGTGCCAGAGAAGTCCATGGGGTAGATCGTTTTTCCAGAGTCCTGCAATGTATTTGTCCCCGGTTAGTTCCGCGAATGATGCTGCCAAAGATGAGATGGCAGGGAGCCGATCTGTTTCGTACGTCAGGGACCTCCGGGAGTAGGATGACATTAAGTTGTACCAGGTAGAGAACAAGTCGACATGGTCGTTCCTTAAACGTGATGGAAGGCTTTTAGATACCGCTTCGCCCAGTATACTATTCTCCGAGCATGATGTCATGTTGCAGTCGAGGTAGATCAGCCTCTCGCAGCACAGAAGTCTCCGCGTGGAGAAGAGCTCTTCCTGGAAGGTCCACCCTCGGGATGACCATGAGCTTCCCATTACGTCGTCGGAACGCCTGATCGCTTTGCAACTTAGTTTGAAGAGATCTGAATTGTCTCGATCTGTGGATACCGCGGCAAGACGAAGGAAATAGTCGCTATTTGGTTCTTTGATCTGCGAGTTCGATGGTATCCTAACTCCTTGCTCTCTGCTGCCTCGGAAGAGACCATCATTGCAGGATGTCACCATTGCGCATATAGTCAGATATGCATTCCGGTACACTTCGGCCATAGATGATGATTCTCTCTTCCAGTCGTCATCGTCGTCTTGTATAATACAGAGAGAGTCGATCCAAAGATATGAGATTCCCAAGGACCGGGTAAGAAGTACGGCGTCACGGTATGTCCGGGGCATGGTCTCCAGTGGGATACATTCCATTCGGTCGGAAAGTGAACGATGCTCAGTCTTCATCAGAGTTATGCATTTTCCCCAACAGTGACTGAGCGCTATATACGGCGCTTGCTCGCAATCTGTCAGCGTTGGATGTTCTGAACAGACAATGACTCGAGGCGATTCGTTAAGCGGCTCTCCACCAACAGCCAAGAGTCGCGTCGGAAGTTTTTTTGTGATTCTGTCATACTGGCAATCTTCATGGCCAGCATGACATTGGTGTAGCCATGACTTGAATCTGGCCACATTGTCCTTGGATAGAGGATGAGGCTCTAAAGGCCTTCTCGTAATGTTCAACCGGGTTCCGCTATTTCCTACGTAAAATATCTGTTAGTAAAAGTGACAATTTACTCTTGTATTAATGTTGCCTACCTTCCATAGACTCGACTTCGAAATGGATGAAATATTGGACATCTTCCTCCAAATGGGGTAATTTTGAAAATTTTACTGGTACTTCGAGGTAAGAAAGGCCGGCATCGCGCAAAGCTCTGTAGGTCGGAGACAATGTGGCCTTGGAATACACCCCTATGAGTGAGTTTCCAAGCCACTGATGACGTCGGTCATGGGATACAAGTTTAAAGATGATGGACTTCAACAGTGCACAGAACTTGCATCCGTGTCGTGTAGACCGTGACAGAACTGGAAGGCCCGGCAAACTATCCTCCAGAGAATAAGGTATCCTGAGAGAATGATTAAATCCTGGTGTGCCAAGGGGCTGGCCATGAATCTTTAGACCTTGGCAGCGAGTGCAAAGTCCGTCGGGGAAGGAACCTGGGAGTTCACACGAAGACTTCGTCTCTGAGCTAAGACACAAAGAACTTGAGGTTGGGGAAATATTTGCAGAGCATGTTCCATCGGCTTCCATGATGTACGTGCGGTGCGGGGTTACTGATGGTGGACTTCTCGTTCTCGGCGGCGTGCCTCGTACAATCTTAGCCTTGTAACAGATGACAGAGGTCGCAAAGCGGAGGATACACGCGAAGAGGTGCAACGCGGGAGTGAGAATCAAGTGTTTGGGTGTGGTCAGGGTGCGAATAATAGTGCTCACCGGCTGAAGAGGTGACACTGACGTGGACCCCGCTTTGTGTAACCATCAGCAAGTATATGTAAGCCGACCCTGTCACGTGCTAAACTCCCCCGGCTTTGAATTTGCCGGGAGACGGCTGGGAGACGGTTGCGTGAGCCCAAATCTCGATGACGTAGTCAAGGCCGTTGAGCTCGTCCAGCCTAGTAGAGTGTATGCTGGTGAAAGACTCGGCGAAGAGACTGTGAGGCGGCACAGCCCTGGGTGATTTCATTTGTATGCACGCACGTGGGCCGGGAAAGCCATGTGAAATCTACTCGACCTTACAATCTACTATTCAATTGCAACCCTAACCTATCTTATTACCTTAGCGGCTAGAACCAGATAAAAGCTCCTCTATCTCCCTCATCCTAAGTAGTGCATCGCCCAGATTCGGCCATTCCTTACCCTTTGAGATCTCCTTTTCTCCTTGCTGAACCCAGGCGGCATACCTATCATACAGGGTGGCTGTACTTCTTCCGGTCGCAGATAGATCAGACTGCCAATCCTCCCACTCCCAGGTCACATCCTCGGTCTCATCAGTAGCCAGATGGTGAATCTTGATCGTGACAGGCCCGTGATACGCATGAGCTCCCAGGAAGGGGCTGGCCTGACTGACTAGCTGAATCGCTCCCCTTTCCCCATTGATCGTCCAGACCAGCGCTGGGGTTCCCTTGAACTGCTTGCCGCTCTGCCAGCTCACGACCACACTCGCGCCCTCGGCGACATACTCTTTCCCCTTAACCGTTCCGTGCACCGCAACAAGATCTGGGACGTCGGACGTTGTTCTCTTTGGCGTAGGGTCGGCGCCGAGCAGCTTGATGTCAGGCCGCTGAATTTGCGTGCGGGCCTGGGAACTCTCCCACTCGCCTAGCACGGCATGCACGGTGTCGATGAAGTGGCCGTATCCGATGCTGATGCCATTAGCGCCCTTGGCTTTGTCGACAAAGAACGCCGCCGGCTCAGGGATCGTGCCAGCCGAGACAGACAACAAATCTGCACTAGCCTCGACGCGGCTGCTCAGCACCTTGCCAATGCTGCCCTGCTCCAGGAGCGACTTCAACTTCTCGGCAGGAGCAGACGCGCGGCCTTGCAGCCCGATGATGCTGCGCTCCCAGATGTCCGGAGATGGAACGAGGCTCTGCAGCTTCAAGGCCTCACTGACAGTCGTTGTGAAAGGCCATTCGACAAACACTCGCTTGCCTGCTTGAAGGCTTGGCGCGATGGTGTCGAAGTGATGGCCGACAAAGGTCGAGCAGACCACAAGGTCGACGTCGGGGTCCGAGGCCAGGGCCTGTGGGTCGCCGTATGGTTTGACGTCCTGCGGAAGACCAAAATGTTTTCGTGCCGCTGTGGCGGCCGCCACCGAAGTGTTGAGGAGTGCGGTGATTTGGTAGTTTTTCTTGCCGTTGGGGCTGAGAAAGTATGGAAGATGGACGCTCGCGCCCCATTTGCTCAACGACTTAGCAGAGAGCCCTACAAGGGCAACACGGATGGGTGCCATGACTAGAGATGATGCGAATGCCGGATATGTGCAAATAGTTGGGGGAGTGCTGTGCTGAAGATCGATCTGAGGCGTGAGGTGAGAGAAAAGAGTAGATTCCTTAACTATGCTAACATGCAGGATAGTGGTTGAGTATATATAGACAGTGGTGTAGCTTGAATCACGTGATATGACTTAAACATACTGTTCTTAAATCCCCCTCCTTTGAACAATATTCCTCAGTAAGGCGTGCTCCTCGGCCTTTCTTGTATCCCGAGATGCGAAGGGTAGGTAAGCGCACGCAAGTCGTGGCTCTAATATCCGATTGGCCTAGTTCTAATTGTGGGGAGCTCCACGGACGAACTCGGACGAATGTGCGGGGCGCCCATAGAACCGAACCGTAAGCATGACGACCATTGTATGACACAAACTCCGCTTGCACGAATAGTAGAAAACAGAAGATGGGTACAAGGCACAGCCGGAACGAATGGAGGCGGAATGTTGCACGTTCATCGTAACAAAGAGAATCCGAGAAACAAGCGCCTAGCGCCCACGTCATATGTGATCCACCTGGATCAATGGCAAGGTCTTTGATCCGGAATTCAGTCGTGATTCCAGATCGTTGTAGCTTTCCGGCGGCACATAGCCACGCTTCGTAGAAATCATCTTGTCCCCCGTAGCCAACTCAAAGTAGCAATCGAGATATTATTGGTAACAAGGTCATTGCTCATGCGCTACGCATTGCTCTACCATAATCGTGCTTGTTGTTCACCGCTTCCTCCTACTTTCGAGGCGGAATCCGATGGCTTTTCAGCCTGCTAAGCAACTTCGAAGCATAGTTTAAGAGATCAGTTGTTACATGCCAAAAAGGCCCGATTATAATATTATGATTAATCTTCGCACCTTTTCAGTCGCTATAGTACTATGAACTACTTTGTAAATTCTTTTAAGAGATACTACTATCGACTGCTATCATGCCTTTTCCTTGGATCGCTATAGGCCCAGAGAAGAAAGGTTTACAGGGAGATCAACGAGCACTATATGATATCAGTAACAGTTCATCTTTTTTTTGCACGCAAGACTCTGTCCACTCACAATTCAACTTGCATGTAGACCCACACGTCGGGAAGGGCTCTCCATCATTGTTGTGGTTATGCGGGAGGTGGTACAGGTCGTCCGCAAGCTGGGCCAGGTCCGCGTTACCCAGATTCCGGAGCCCCTCACGGAGCAGCTCATACGTGTCCTCAGCAACACCGCTGTTGGAACGAGAAAGAAGACTGATGCTGGGCGGAAGAGGTCCGGCTTGAGTCTCGTAGAGCAGCGCGTACGGCACGCCTTTGCTGTCGTAGCCCCAAGCGATGAACTCCCAGACGTTGTTGATCACAGCGCCCGCACCGGGTAGAGTGGACTCGTACGAGTCAGGGGCAAGAGGCCACGTAGTACCGTAGAGCTTGACGGGGACGCCGAGCAGCTCGAAGTAGAAGAACTCTTGTCCTTCCACCGAGGGGGCGGATTGGTTGTCCAGGCTGAGCGGAGTCATCTCCCATTGGATATTGGTCCAGTCGGCTAAGATTGCGCTCGAAGTTGCAACAAAGTACCAGACGCCGTAGTTCCAGTAGTCGGGAACTTTATCCCAGCTGTCTGGTGAGAACGGCGGATCGGAGAAGGAGGGGGGCAGGCGGAAACGGGGATCGTTAGGTGGGCTGGCATGAGCATTGAGGTAGCTCAGGGAGAACTCTGGTTGAATCTTGTCAGCGCTTGAGAGGAACACGGACACCGATTTTTTTAAGACTTACGGGGTTGCTCGCCAGTCTGCACATTGGCAGCGCTCGCCCGCAGCATGAACGCAGAGGCCGCAACCACTGCGAATGACCGAATGTAGTTCCACGCCATACTGAGACACCTTTGAAAGAGAGTAAATAATATCAGCGAGCTAATGCAGTGCGTAGTGGTTTGGGCCTGTGGAAGCCAAAATCGATGCAAGACTTCCTACCTTTATATTGTGGAAAACCGATGATAAAGGTTTGTTTTGCCCTAACATATCAGCTGGTAGAGCTTGCTACTACTGGAATAGGCGCGATCAACAGCGGTTTGTAGTGGATACCATTGCTTACAAGGTTCTTACTAGGGTATGTTTCCCTATACAGCAACATTTCGACGAAACCGTTCGGCTGGATCCACCGGCTGCATATCGCAATAAAGGCTAAATACCAAAGACTGATATCGGACACTCGTGTCTTATTGTGGGCTGATTCGTGTAACCTTAACGGCGGGCGCGTTGTGGTGTATAAAATCTGGAGTGGGTCTCTTGCGGCGAATTTGTACTAAAGCGGCGAGAGCATTTCCCATATCTGCGGCTATGTCCGCGATGCAAGTCAGACCCAACGAAGATCATTACATATTTGAAAATCACGTGCAATCTTAATTTCTAGAGTTCCTGAGCGCTGAATCATGGGATTAGGGGCGCCCGGCCTTGAATGCGCCCAGGTCGTCGTTCCAGTGCAGCGATACACCTGTCGCCCCAGGAACGTGCGCCGCCGGATTTTTCCGCGCAGAAACGAATACGTGTATATCAGCGCCTACATGCTCTCTGGTGTCAAGCTTCCCTCGTTCTCGTGCAGCACGGCTTCGACTTTCTGATGGCGTGGTGCTCTGTCAGGCCTGTTTTGCTGGAACCGGTAGAGACCGTCGCATCTGATGCCATTTCCATCCAAGCTTGCGAAGGACAAGGCTCTCTTTGTCTCTTGAACTCCCTTAGCCCGACGCCAAAAAGCGCTGCTCGAGGATACGCGAAGTTGTTGACTGAGGCATGGTACACGTCTTATGTTTGCGGCCAGGGCTCACCGACACGGCATACCTCGCGATTTCGATCGTAAGACTTTTGGGGTGTCATCATGGCATATTCTGGAGTCGGCCGGCGGCAGAAAGCGGCACGGCCCGCACCGCTACGCATGCAAGACCGGTATGCACCGGATCTCTATAACGTCATTATTTAATCGGCCCTCCCGCACCTGAACTTCCTGGAGGTCATCTACCAGTGGCGCAAACCACACGCCCTGCAGACTTATTAGCACATTCTAGAGCGAACAACAATTCTCGTATGTAGTAGGTATGTACTTACGGTCTTGACAAAAATGTCCATCTTCGCTACGTGGGGTTGCATCGATGGCACGAGTTGCAGACTGGACGCTCCAGGCCTGACGACGGCAATCCTCTGCCCCTTCCACTGCTCTTCACCGTGGTACTCGCCCGACCAGCGCGCCGTATGGGTCATCCGACCTTCGAAGCTCTCCAAGCCGTCGAATTTCGGCCATGTCCAGTTGTTTAGGATGCCCGTGCAATGTAGAAAGACGTCGCAAGTAGAGGAGAGACTGGTGTACGTGTCGGGTATACATATGTGGGAATTCGCGCGTTGCTACTTATGCGGTGGTGCCCCGTCTACATTTAGGAGAAGTAAAACCTCTTCGGCTGTAGCTAAGGTCTACCTAGCGGAATTATTTCCTTCATGGTAGTCATCTTTGCAGTATATTGAGTGACAAGATCAACGTTTGAGCCCCACACTATCGCTTGGCCGATGTTTATAGCCGAGGTGGAGAACGCCTCGAAACCGGGTATATATAGGCTTCTACCAGCGAATGATCTGCGGAATTATGCATGTCGGAGGTGGGACAGGTCTCGGAATCGGGTATTGGGGATCCGTCGCGTTGGCTTCTTGTAGTAGAAGCTAAGATCGACGTTTAAGCTCCGTAGTATCTTTAAATCGTGATTTACAGCGGAGGTGGGGCACGTCTCGGGACCGGGTTTCAACGATCCGATCGCCTAAGCACCTAATAGCCGTTAAGACTCAAGAGGCAAAGTCTTAGATGTAACCTTAATAGAGACTTCATGCAAGAGTTGCGAAACCCCTTTTTGTAACCCCTTCTCAACTAGATTTTTACATGCGCTTGCTACTCGGTCATAGTTGTAGGTTTAACTACTGTTAAGTTCATTCGGCCTTTATAGAAGTTGTAAAACGCTTTACAGAGATTTCGTGCGCGAGGTAGGGTCTAGCGGGTGCTAGATACAGTAAAGCGCTAGAAAACGTTGCTATACGACATCTTTACCAGCGGTAATCTTAACTATTAACACAGTCAAAAAGCGACGCACAACTGTCTGACGGAACAGACTTGGATATATTCCATTATGACAGAAATAAATAGTTGAAAAGACAAAACTCAGGAGTCTCCCCCGTAAAAGACGCGCCGAAGGAAACCAAGCTGGGCAGCGACATTCTCTTCAAACTTCTCGCCGTAATAAAGATCAAAGTGCGTGCAATCGGCAAGCACCGCAATCGTCTTCGGCTCATACGCAGCAGCATACGCCTTAAGTTGCAAAACCGTCGGCACCATCGTATCGCTATCGGCCAGGACCATCAGCAACGGCGTCGGAGCCACGCGATGTATAAACGCCTGCGGCTCGAACATAAACAAGTTCTGCACGCTCTGCATCGTCATCTTCGTCTCCCAGCCAACGCCGTCGGCCCGCATCGTCTCCAAGAACTCAGCAACTCCCGGCCCGTGCAATATCGCTCTCGAATCGCCCCGTCGTTCCTCCTCCGGCGACGCAGCAATAGCAGGCACCATGGCGCCCACTGCCCCATCCTTATTCGCCTGCCGATCCGCATACACCGCCGGCAGCAGCGGCGCCATCGCTGCCGCTGTGCCCTCGCCCGACATGAACGGCACCTGCACGATAACCGCCCTGACGCGCCTGTCCATCGCCGCGGCCACGATGGCAGTGCCGCCGGAGAGGCTGGAGCCCCAGAAGACGATGCGGCGCGCGTCGACGCCGGGGAGCTGCGTGGAGGCGGCGTAGTCGAAGGCGTCCGAGTAGTCGTGCGCCTGCTTCCAGGGGTCGGCCTCGTTGCGCGGGTACCCGCCGCTGCTGCCCCAGTTGCGGTTGTCGTAGATGAGGACGGCGTAGCCGTGGGCGGAGAAGCGGGATGCGAAGGCGGGGAGGAATTGTTCTTTGAGGCTGGATAGCTGGGCGGCTGGTGTTAGCGCTCCGACATGGTTTTTGGGTTGATAAGATTGGAGGCAGGAAGGTGGCTCACGCTGTGGCTCATGATGATGCAGGGAGACTTTTGCTCCGGGTTCTCTGCCGCTGCTGCGGCGGGGTAGAACCATCCTTTGAGCAAGGTTCCGTCGAGTGTGCGGAACTCGATATCGCGACGAGACTGTGCCATGTTCATTGCAAGCGAATGGAGACTGGGTGTTTGAATGCCGTATCAAAGACCTCTCTTATCACACGAGCGGGTAGGTGCTGTCCGAACCTGTTCACTAATTCAACACGCCGGCCGAAGAGCCGAGTTGATTAATTATCAAAGGCAACCCCGTATTTGCCCCGAAAACCCCAACTCCTCCGATCTGCGTCCCAAATACATCATTCCGTAGTAGTACTCGACAGAGACCCCACAAAAAAATCTACAGGGTATTCCGCACCTTACCGCAGGGGGGAATGATATCGCGAAATGACGTCCGCGGCTCTCCTTTCCACGAAACCTTTATATTCCGCAGCGTCGTGACCTAATTACTCTTTCCGCACACATGTCTATCCAAAATTCTCGCCACCATGTCCAAGAACCCTCGCTTATCCAAGCCATTTCTCCCACGGGAGGGCCTCACGCTGGAGGCAATGTTCTACCCCGTTCAATCACTGTTCTTGCAACCTCTCCTCACCGGACCGTTGACATATCTTCTCCTGGCCAGGCCAGAATTTGTCAGAAGGGCAATTCCGTGGGGCGAGCGTTTCGTCTCGAAAAAGAGCACCACGGTGGGTTTCTGCATTCTGTTCGGCGTCGGCATCCTGAGCCGGCTCAGTTCGTGGCTCTCGCGATGGAGCATGAATAACTTCGTCCGTGACAAGACCTGGGATTGGACAAAGGAGATTGTCGTCGTGACGGGGGGATCGAGCGGGATAGGATTGGAGATGGTGAACCGGTTCGCGCAGCTGCGCATCAAGACGATTATCCTGGACGTCGTACCACCCAGCGCTGGAGTCTTAGGTGAGCACCGTTGCCATGACCTACTCTATCACTAGCCCGGCCACGAGCGAACCCTGAAGCTAATTGGGTGTGCAGAGACGGCTGGAGTGTTCTTCTATAAAGTCGATCTCTCCTCGCCTTCCGCCATTGCCCTAGCTGCAGCCGAGGTAAAGCTGGAGCATGGACACCCGTCCGTGCTCATCAACAATGCCGGCATAGGCGTCGCGAAGAATATCCTCGACGAAAACGAAACCGAGCGGAGGCGTCTCTTCGACGTCAACGTACTGGCTCACTTCACCCTGGCGCGTGAGTTCCTACCCGCCATGATTGAGAACGATCACGGCCACTTGGTCACCATCGCAAGCATGGCGAGCTTCTACACCCAGGCGCAGAACGTGTCGTACGCGTGCTCCAAGGCCGCGGCCATGGCTTTCCATGAAGGGATCGGACAGGAGTTGAGGGTCCGTTATAATGCACCGAGAGTTCGAACAACGTGAGTATCCCGCCCGTTTGTCTATTCAAAGTGTAAGCCCTAACGTGACTAGGATCGTTCATCCGTTCTGGATTCGCACGCCGATGATTCAGAGCATCACGGAGAGCCACAAATGTTCAGAGTTCCTCCTGGAACCAGGCACAATAGCAGACGCAGTTGTCGACCAGGTCCTTTCCGGAATTGGTGGAAGCTTAATTCTACCAGCTCGAATGATTCCAGTAACATTACTACGCGGCCTGCCGCTTTGGGTTTTACGCCTCATTCAGGCAGGGGACGGTGATATTATGGCGCTTACGAATAAATAGGCATGTAAAGTATTCGTTTAGTAATGTCTCTTATATAGATATTACGTACCGGCTATAGCTCGGTTTCCAACACGGCTACACATATTGCTCCAGAACGAACCCACTCAATTGTCCGAGAAGTTGTACCGATCCACGGCCACTAGGCCACAAGATCCAACTCCTGCTTGGGGACCCAGTTCCCATGCAACCCCGCCCGCAACTTCAACGGCAACTTGATAATCGCCTGCGGCTTGCTGAAATCCGCCGTATCCACCAAGTGCAGCTCGCTAGTCATCTCCCCGTAGTTGTTCACCAAGAACAGCACGTACCCGTCCCCTTCCTCCGCCGCCCCTTCCTTCGGAATATACACCGGCTCCTGCACCGCGTGCTTCGGCCCGGGAAAATACACGCTCGCATCCCCGGTCTTCACATTCAGCCGCGCCATCGCATTATAAAACGGCGCTCCCCCGCCCATCAGCGGCGCGATGGCCGGCATGTCCGTGCCCAGCGCCACATCCAGCATCGGCATGAAGCAATGCGAGTAGTCCTTCATGGACTTCCGATCGTCGATGCGCGGGAACTCGCAGTTGAACGGGGAGAGTTGCGTGGGGGCAGCGAGGTCGAGGTTGGTGGAGTGTGGGTCCAGCGTGAAGCGCATCATGTGGCTGGTGATCTCGGAGGGGTGGGGGGCCGAGCCGTCGTCTTCGGGCCACCAGAAGAAGCCGTTTTTGTCGGAGATGGGGAGGTCGAAGATGAGGGCGCCCGTGCGAGGGTCTTCGTAGGCGTTGGAGGTGTGGCCCGGGAAGGCGTTGGGGGCGCGGAACCACTGGGGGGGTTTGTAAGCGATGGGCCGTGAAATGGGTAGGGTAGATGGGGGGTGGAGAGGGCTGGAGCATGGAATACAGGTCCATACACTTGAGTGTGCATCCAGGGTGGGCTACCAGAACGAACTGAGTGAATCTGGAAACTTACTTTGACATCGGACCCCTTCGCGCCGCGTCGAGGCAGAACTCCAAGATAGAATGGAACATCCGAGCGCCATCCCCAATGGTCACCACCTTTCTTCATCCTTTCAAGGTTGGAGATTTGGGGAATGATAGGAAACAGGACCTTGATGCTTCAGTCAGCGCTTAACCACATGCAACGGCCACTGGAGTGCTCACCCAATTCTCGGTAACAGCAAAATCGTGAATCATGCCGCAAACCGGCGCCACAAGCCAAACAGTCTCAGTGAACTTGCCGTCAGGCGAGACCGTGAAGTAGCATACATCCGGGGTGCCGTCGCCCTTCGCTTCGTAGCCCATACCGATCAGTTCTCCAGAATCAGGATCGACTTTGGGATGTGCAGTGAACGTCATGCTCGGCAGCTGCCCTTCGAAGTCATACAGCCCAATCGTCTCCAAGGTACGAGGGTTGAGAAGGTACGGGGGAGCATCCTCCTTGCACGCTAGCAGCTTTCCGTTGAAGTAGAAAATGTTGGTGTTCGCTGTGCTGCGGACCAGAAATTCCACTGCGTCTGTGTACTTGTTACGATACTTGCCTACGATTGGTTAGCCTCATATGACACAGCACGGTAGGTGTGGACTGCTGACCAAGGAGTGCACGGCCGGCCTCGCGCTCGCGCACGAACTTCTCGGTCCGGACATAGCGCTGCTTGAAATGGACGCGGCCATTGTGGATCCGGAAGGCGCTGATATTGCCGTCGCCGTTGAACCACTGGGTCATGTCAGCGCATGTTTACCGTGATGGTAGTGGTGAAGAATGTACTGGATCATCCTCGATGAACGGAGCGAACTGCGGATCAGGCATCACTCGATAAAAAGTGCCATCGACCTCCTTGGGGATTTCTCCAAACACCTCCAGGTTTTGGACTTCGCCTTCGTAACGGCACGGCTTCATGAAGCCTGAGAATTGAGGTTTGTCGTTGAATGCATTCACGCCGCGGGGCGCTTGGTGCAGATAATGCCCAGCCATGGTGGAGTGGATTGTGTAGTAAAGATGGCGAGGCTTTATTTATGTGGTATTCGAATTGAGAAATAGCTTGGATGTGGCTTGTGCTCTTAGCAAAAGTGTGAATGTGGTGGAATGAGATGATGATTGTATGAATAGTATGCTTGAGGTTTGCAAAATAATATATAGTTAACATTTGGGGCATGCAGTGAGCATGAAGAGGAGTAGTTCCCGATGGTTCCCCGACCAATGGAATAGAACCGAATGCTAATGGTCCCATCGTTTGCCGATCCAACACGACAGACGAGCTAGCCCCGCATTTTACGGTTAACGCAGGAAAACGCCGTAAGCCGTCGGCTTTTCCGAGAGACTAAGATGCATTTGAGATACAATCAAGTAAAGCATGGATTATGGGGTAGACATATTTAGAGCATGAAATGCGCGAGAAAAAAAAGATACAATAGCATGCGTGTGCCCACTCACGTTTAAATCGCATCTGTCTCCTCTTCAGTCCCAAATCCTGCTCTTAGTTTCCCTTCAGCAGTAGCTTTGATGTGGCCAAATCGTACCCGCAGTTCTTTGAGTTCGTTGCTAAAATTTGAAGAACCTCCCATGGAGCATTTGGCTGCCTCCTTGTTGATTTCCAGGTTATCCCCGGTAGTCGTACACAGCAGTTGCATGAATCCGCCAGATTCGGCGGACACGCCATTCTGACCAAGTGCGACGAGTCCAAAAGCGATGAATCCGGCTGACAGAATAAGAGATACACCATAAGGCCAAATCAAAGATCGCTTGCTAGCAAACGAATAAGCGTTCTCCCACGGTGACATGGTCACCTCTACAGTCGTGTTCGTGTTCGGGCGAGATAGCATTGACATAGTGACGTTCCGAAGCATTTTTTCATACAGCGCTGGGGTGAGCTGACTAAAGTCATAGCTCGTCCAGTCCAACCTTTTGTAGGACTTGACCCAAGGAGTTTCCGGAATTAGAGTGTTCATATGAATCGCTGACTCCGATCCTAAGACGTTGTCAGTCACAGAGATGAGTTACAACAGCTGGCAGTGATTCTCACCTGCACGCAACAGGATACCGCCTAGTGCGTAAGACACGCCATCGGCTATTGCCCTAATATTAGAGTCACGAAAGGCGTCCGAGATTGGAAGTTTCGGACTTCCACCCATGCCGGTGAACAGGACTAGATCATCTGGCAATATCGTAGCCATTCCTTCAGAGCTCTTGTTGTCGACCACGTCATATGGCGCGAATAAATAAGCCCAGTCAAGCGCCGTAGCGTTGAGTGGATACTTCTTCTTCACCTCAATATCCACGATCTCGGTACCGTTTACAAAATTGAGGTTCATATGGTAGGTTGAAGCAAAGTATGTGCAGATTGTGTTAAGATGGGCTGTTAGCGAGTTATTCCCCGTGTCGTAATTAACAGCGAAGTAAAACTTTCCATCTTTGTTCAAAGGTGCTGCCCAAAAACTTCCAGGGCGGGATGAATCTCTTTTGGTGTTCTCCTGCTTCGGAGGCGGCTGGACCGAGCCGTCGGTGTCAAAAAGGTCCTGAGCAGACTCTTCAAGACCGGGCCAGGAGCCTTTACTACATTCGAAGTCTGGACCGTCAAATTGAATTGTATAGGAGCAGTTGAGCCCACAAGGGCTGTTTGACGTCAATAATCTGCCGTTCAGAAGTGTAGTCTTTGCGATCGCGCTTGCGGTGTCGCCTGGGCGACTGATTCAGGTCAGCTGTGTCTATACATTGAATCCACCATCTTACTCACGTATATCTTCCATCAACATACTGTTGGAACAATGCATTCTCGTACAAATCGTACAACGAGCCGTTACCACGGAAGCGCACATCGAAAATGGGCACTGACATATTTTCCGTTCTGGATACAAGTCGAGGTAAGACAATGATCGAACCTGGTGGGAAAATGGTTGCAAGCGGAATTAGCTGGAGAATCAGGCCAAAGAACCATAGCTTTGTGGCGACCTGCAGTATGTCCCAAGAAAGCAGTTCGGTAGCGGCCGTAGGTACAGATAGTAGCCCATCGATAGTAGATACCTTGAGGCACTTCTGGCGAAGCTGCCTCCAAAGTATTTGCGTAAAGGCCGTAGACGAGGCAAGTCCGAGGGAGATACTGAAGAGCCTCACAAGGGCATTGGCAATGTTGCTCACGTAAGTTTGGGGAATCGATTCTCGGACCAGTTGTGTGTCAAGCCACTGGAAGAAGAGGAAATTTCCAACAGCAAGTGCGACGGCTTTCACAAGTCATTTTAGTGTTCGTGTCAACTTCATAAGGGAGGCCGGCTTACCCAATAGATAACCACCGTAAATGATGATCTGTACTTTTGAAAAAGCAATTTCCCTTAAGAGCTTTCTACTGAATATCTTCGCTCTCTGTGCAATCGCTGGGTTTTGTCCAGATTGATCCGGGCGCGACACCCTGTGATATGCGACATCATGGTCTCGCAAAGACCTTGAGTTTGGAGGGTTCATTGCTGTAGACAAGGATTCTGAAAGGTTACGTGAAGCGTTAAATTCCGTGTAGACCAACTGTTCAAGGCGAGCGCAGGGCAAAGAGAGTAAAGAAAAGTTCTTTCAGCGATTCGAAACGAATATACCGCTTTTCGACTGCGGCTCTTGTGGTCAGACTGGCGTTGAGACTTTTCGTCGAAGTCTTCGGTTCGTGTTTATGAAGACGGGCGTATGTGAGCACATATTTATCTTCACACTGATGTAGTGCAAGGCTGAACAGCCGACACATGTGTCAACAATGGACAGTGAGGCTGAACGAGCAGGTTATATGGGGAATATCATACAGCATCTTTTGCATCCGATGGCTGGCGCGAAAATTATTTTAAGAGACTCTGAGGTCGCTCTGGTGGTATGATAGGTCAGAACCCCAGTCCTCTTTAGGACACCAATTTCACGCTAGCCATCGGATGCAGAAGGGGGCTGTAGGTATTACGGCCCCCACAGTAGGTTCCATGGAATATGTTTCACACAAGACATCGTTTGGAGGTCTGCTTTCAGTGCCGCCTTAAGCTATTTCTTTTTTTTATTTGGCTCGAGCAGGCCCCAATGATAGTTTTACATTAGGATAGTAATTATAATATGCAGATATATTCACGTCGAAAGAGAGGGTTGTTCTTTTGAGGAGAAAGGCGCAGGAAGGCTGATTGGCCAATTCTCAGTAGCGGCGATAAGTGTTTTTAATGCGTGTGACAAACCTGCAGCAGGTGTGCCACGGCGCCTAATTCACCGCTCCTGTAATAGCTCTTGGGCGACAGATAGCGCGCGCAGCCAATGCGTGAAGAACGGGGAGAAGACAAAACCGTGGAAGACATTTTTAGAGAGGTTAAGCGCAACGAGCGCCTCACTGGCATATTCGCGGTACGAGTCAACGCAAAGGGTAATAGTGGTAGTACTGCCAAGCCAACAGCTGAAGTTGATAACGCCAAAAAAAACAAAAACGTGGTGGGCACTTCCAAATCGGTAAGCATGCATTATTCCTTTTAGGAATATATTAATCATACTTACCGATATAAGCGCCGAGCTCCCCAGCATTCAAGCCAAAGCCCCTTCGGCCGATAGTCATACTGATAGGCACAGGGAAAGCCATGGCCAAACGGAATTCAGGCTCGTAAGCGCCGTCATTCCGCCTCGCCATCCATAACATCACTAACCTGACCAGGAATAGCAGTGCCAAGAACGCCTCTAACTCCACATATGACAAATAACTTAAATTTTGTTCTGTTCAGAGTCATCTGGTATCATCCCCGGCTTGTGGTACAATGAAAGTATCGTCATCTACATCTGCAGCGAAGTCCACCAACTCGTCCTCGTCTTCTAAATCAATGTCATCTAGCTCTACCTCCAGCTCCTCTTCATCTGCAGCATTCTTTGCTCGTTGGTTCATCATAGGTTTCCAGTGAATAGCCTTATCAAGAAATGCGGTATCAACATTCTTCCTGAAAGATCGAAACTTTATCTTGCGGTAGGCAATCGCCCAGATCATCTCACCCGGTGCCTCAAAGGACACGCATTCTTCAGTGGCCCGGCTTTTCTCAAAGCCAACCCCGGGGTCCAAGACGCCGAAAACATCGATGCCACCAGTCAAGGCCGTGCTGACCGGAGCTGTCAAGTCGACTCCAGTAGCAACCCTCTTCGCATGAGCCTGGGATACTCTAGCGTCAAGCACGGTTGTGACACCGACGATCAGATAGCACTTCTCTCCCGCTCTGACGCTTTCCTCTAGCCATGCTCTGGCGTCTTCGCTGGCGCACAGCTCGGCAAATGCCTCGCGGTGGGAGGTCATCTCGTAGCGCTTGACAGCCTTGCTTGCGAGGTGCGTGCCGCCGGTAGAGCCAGGCTGCGTGTGCACGTTGAGCAACTGTGTGAGCGCAGCGTAGAATCGTGTCTCTCGAGATTTCTGTACGAAGCCGGATAGGTCGAGGGCAGTCGTTTGGAAGCCGGGAGAGACGTCAGGCCCGAGTTGTTGCTTGAAAATGTCGACGTGCGGCTCCAAGAGCGAACAAACCAGGCTGCCGACCGGGACGGCATGCAAGGGGAGTAGCTGTGGGAGAACGAGGTAAGGCGGAGCCATGGTGTGAGTGTATTCTGGCCTTTCCTGGTGGAAGGCTGTGGCGGAAATGCCGCCGATATTATACCCTGCCACTCTGGATAACCTGATTTCGAGCGCGCATTTGTTTGCCACTCAGGTGACGTGTTTTTGTGCAACGATGACTGCCTGACTTTTGGCCCCAGAGGCTGGCTGAGCCCCCTTGTCAACCCCGCCGAGCTGGAGTGGGGTTTCAGAGACATCCCTCAACATCGCTTCGCTAAACGCCACGGCAGGATACCCATCAGCCTTGCACTGTTGCACTTAATACCATGGCAGAGTCTCCACCTTCGGAAAGGCAACTCCATATTGAGCTCCACTATACAAGGGCGAACGATTTTTTCCGGGAGTTCAGGAGGGATGGAAGCCGGAACACCTTGGAGTCCGCCATCGAAAATGCCGACACAGTAGTATGTCATGCTCCTAAGGGTTCTACGAAGTATCTGAAAATGGCTTGGATGCTGGCGCACTTAATCTCCCAGCGAGGCGATGTCCAGGATGGCGTTCCGGTGGATCTTGAGCGATCAGTGTGTTTATTCAATACTTGGCTAGAAGCGGCGCCAGATTCCCACTTTGAGAGACCGTTCGTCTGCTGCTTGCTGGCCGGAGTTCTCAAAGATAGATTCGGCTACTCCAAAAACCGGGAAGACCTGGAAGAAGCCCTCCGGCTTGCATACAAGGCTGTAGAGCGCTCTGATCTCGACCCGACCTATCACCTCATGTACTTGCGGACCGTCCAGGAACAGCTTGAGAGTATCTACAAAACCTTCGACGAGCTTGAAGTTCTCGATCGGCTGATCCTGGCGAGACGCCATGTCCTGGAAGAGTCTACAAAAAGGGATGATCCGGAGCGGTGGCGCGACATGGACGACCTAGAGCGAGGGCTTTACCAGCGCTTTGAGAAGACTGGAAATATCGCAGATTTGCAAGAAGCGCTGCCGCTTGCGAAAGTTGTCTGTAAGTCAATGCCAGATGGGTTCCCTCGAGGATGCAACGCGTTTAGTCACTGTAGCACTGTGCTGGCAACGAGCTACGACGCGGGACTTTTGCCCTTGTCGGCATTGGACGAGTCAATCGAAATGCTGCATACCGCGTTGCGTATGTGCCCGGCTGGAAGCGATGATCGGGTTGGCATATTGGTCAACCTCACGAACAGGAACAGAGAGGCATATGGACGGGGGCGAGGGGTCCAATTTTTGCACTTTGCAATTGAGTATGGTAAACAAGTTCTGGCAGCGGCATCGCCCGATGATCCAGAGCGACCAAATTACCACCAAGGTCTTGCTGTATGCCTCAAAGCACTCTTCGAATACAGCGGGCAACGGGCTTGTAAGTACTACCTCAGCTACAAGGGACGTGCAACTGACATGGAAAAGTGCTCGATGAGGCTATAGAGGGTTATCGCACTGCTCTTGCATCGACCCATCTGTCCAATGATGATAGGGCGATGATATCATCCAATCTGGCTATTGCCTTGCAAGCCCGCTATGAGACATCGGGTGCAGCAGAAGACATAGAGGAGGCCGTTTCCAAAGCTCGAGATAGTGTCTCGTGGACAGCCGCCCAAAGCAATCAGCGTCCTGTCAGACTGAATGGACTTGGAACATCCCTTTCCTGCCTCTACAATCGGTTCAAGCGGCTCGAGAATCTCAACGAAGCCATTGATTGCGCCAGAGAAGCGGTAAGGTGCGCTTCGCAGGGGTCGGATCATGGAATGTATCTCAGCAACCTCAGCACTAAGCTTTCAAGGCGATATGACAGCACTCATAGCGATGAAGACCGATCCGAGTCAGTCATGCTCGCGAGAAAAGCTGTCGAGGTGACTCCCAAGTCGGAGTGGATGAGATATGCCACGTACACCCATAATTTGGCGACCCGGATCTACGAGGAGTACCTGAGCACGGTTGAGCAAGAGCCCAATGTAGGAAAGCTAGAGGAGGCGATATCCTGGAGTCGGATTGCTTTGGATTGCATGCCGAAGACGCATACCGATTGGTCGGATTACGCATATTGGTTGGGCTGGAGACAGATGGTACTCGCCACGTGTGCTACGGATGTTGAGAAGGGGTGGGCTCTATTCGACGAGGGGATCGAGACTTTAAAAGAAGCCTCGATGCCAGAAAGTGCTTCACCAATGCAGAGACTGAGAGCGGCACGGGCTGCTGCGCTTATGCTGATGTGCAGAGAACGGTGGGCAGAAGCGAACGAACTGAGCTCAAAGACGATAGCGTTATTGTCTCATGTCAGCCCGCGCTCCATGATGCGGCAAGATATGCAGTTCAGATTGTCTGGCCTTTCGAACCTTTCCACCTTCGCAGCAGTGGCGTCGTTAAATTCAGGGAGTGGACCCGAGGAAGCCTTGACACTCCTGGAGATGGGGCGGGGGCTGATATTCGGGTTCCTTATCGGCAACCGTGCAGACGTTTCGGACCTTAGTTCCATCAATCCAGACATCTCATCGCAGTACGAAGATATCAGGGAGCAGCTCACACAAATGTCCATCTCTGCATCGAACAGAGGTGACGTGGTACTCCATCGGCAGGAACTTACGAAGCGTCTGACAAACCTCGAGGACCAAATTCGCGAACTGCCAGGCCTATCAAGATTCCAACGACCGGCTTCAGGAGATGAGCTGAAGGAACTCGCATCAGAGGGACCGCTCGTGAGCTTTAACGTCACCAAGTTCAGGTCCGATGCATTCATAGTTACCTCAAAAAGCATCATCGTCCTTCCTCTACCAGCTCTCCAGGAGGTCGAACTACAGACAAATGTCCGAAAAATCATTGGAAGATGTCGACTTACCAAATGCACATTGGTCCAGAGGAACACGTCGAATAAGAGTCTGGCCAAGATCCTCGTTTGGCTCTGGGAGGTAGCCGTCAAGCCAGTCATGAACCATCTCGGACTGACAGGTGCACCTGGCAGCACCGCGAGCGACCTTCCCAGACTATGGTGGGTAACCAGCGGAATGATGGGGTTGATGCCCCTGCACGCTGCGGGCTCAGGCTGGGACGAAAGCCTGGAGAACACATCCAGCCGCTGCGTCTCCTCGTACGTGCACACGATGAAAGCGCTCGCACACTCCAGATCGACCAAGGCCAAACAGCCTCACCAGACCGTCCCCTCCCGCATCCTCGCCATCCACACCCCACACACGACCTCAGACGGCTGGGCAGACCTCAACACAGCCCCCGAAATGTCCGCCATCACAACCGCCGCCTCGCACGCCGGCCTTCCCTGCACAATCCTCGAATCGCCCACCGTGTCGTCCGTCATCGACGAGATGCGCCGCAGCCCCATCGTGCACTTCGCCTGCCACGGCGACCCGAGCTTCGACGACCCGTCGGCGACATCGCTCGTCCTGCGTGCGGACGCGGGCGGCAGCGGCCGCTTGTCCGTGTCCCAACTCTTCGACGAGACGCACCAGCACGCGCAGCTAGCCTACCTCTCGGCGTGCTGCACGGCGCAGCAGTACGACGAGGGCCTGATTGACGAGGGGATACATCTGGGCAGCGTGTTTCAGCTGATGGGCTTCCCGGCGGTGGTGGCGACGCTGTGGGAGGCGGATGACGGGGCGGCGACGGAGGTGGCGGGGGCGTTTTATCGGCGGCTGTTGGGGTCGAGAAGGCTGGGGGAGATGGAAGACGGGCGGGTGGTGAGGTGCTTGCATAATGCGGTGGCGGAGCTGCGGGCGCAGAGGCTGGGTAGGAGGGGGAAGAGGAGGAAGGCGGAGGATGTTTTGGCGTGGGCGCCGTTTGTGCATGTTGGGATTTGAGGAGGTTGGGTGTTGGTTGGGTTTATTAAGGCATGTGTAGGAATGACTGTCGAAACGGGAATGGATTGTCCAAGGCTTGATACATGATGATGTTCAGCTAAGAGTGCATGCCTAAAGAAGTTAGGAGCTGCGCGATGTTGTAATGAATGGTCTCGATGTTCAAGATGGCGGTGATGAATTGCGTCGGATCACATTGCCCAAGAACTGCAGTTAGTTGTTGGAATTCTATTTCAGCAAAATAGGGGATTCAGGCGCAGAATTTAATGAATATGTGCAGCAATTTGTAGTGATGTATCTTTCGTTTAAACTGGTGGAAGAAGGACCGACGGTGCGGGGCGCAGCCTGCAGCCCGCAGCCCGCAGCCCGCAGCCAGGACAAAACGGCCGGAATGTGGCCTGTGGCTTAGGAAATCTCTAGAGTTATCGTTGTTGTGTGGGTAAGTAAACCCTCGTACAAACGTGTAAGCTCTATGAAATTTATCCTAAGTCGTGTAGAGGCAGAGGAACAACAGGCGCGAATTAGTGATGGAAATTCCTGCCCTCAGAAATGACCACTCTCCTCTTGCACAGACTTTCATCCTTCGCACATAGTTGCTCAGCCTCACGAGCAAGCCCCGTTTCTAAGCCACACTAAGATGAGTGCAAATCGCCTGACTTTCCGAGCTGCGAATCCTGCCGACAATCACTGGACGCCACTGCGAGTTGTGGGTGGACAGCGCACTTCTTACTGGATCCTACAGCCGAGCGTAACCCAAAAGGCCCACATTAGGGCTACATGTACCGGGGTATGTCCAGCCAGCGGGGCTGAGCTCGTCGTACCTCAAATTCACGCGTTTCCCACAAGGCTGTACCATGACACCTTGCGCACTTCCACCGCTCATCCTGGGCCTGCAGCCTAAGCACTGAAATCGCATCACCGCCCGATTTTCATCTTGTTCCACCTGCAAAATCCTCCATCGACCACTGCTCATGCCAATAATGAAACGGTCCTGTCCAGAAATCCAAGGAAGGAGCCACGACAAACATGAGGAGACCGGAGACGCCATGGAGAACTGTTCGCAAACACACGACAGGCACAAGCAGTTTATGCACCAACAGTCGCCACCTTCACAGCCATCTCATCCTCTTAGTCGCTTGAAGAAGATGTTCTCCCGCCAAGGGATCAAACAAACCCCCTACAGCTCGGACGATGGTGACATACATTTCCGGCGCTTGAGAATGATATTCTCCCGTCAAAAGACCAGAGAAACGCCCAGCAAATCCGACGGTGGTGACTTTCCTTACCTTACTTTGAGACTCAGCAACAGCACCCTCCGACTGCCTTGTGAAGGTGGCGATGCATCTCGTCCTGATAAGACTGTCCAGCAGAACACCGAGATAGACCAAATTCAAGACCATGAACCTGGAAGCGCGGAGCAATCCAGCGTTGTCGATTCTGCCTACGCGGGACGGGGAAACGTCAATGATAGCGATTTCGATCACCTAATTCCGGCGGAAAATACGGACGTCGACAACCTTTCCAAGTGGTGCTCCATTTGTCGCGACGTTGGAGGGTGGATGGTACGAGGCAAGGCGCCGCGCATAGACATTGGCACATGGCAAGATCTACAAGCAAGAGCAGGATGCCCGTCGTGTGACGACATGCTGAGTATGCCATCAAGCAGCAGACCAATTTACCAGCATGAGAAGCTGTACTTCCGCCCTGGTGGAACATATGGGGGATACTCGTATGAGTTTAATTTCGGGGTTGGCAATGTTTTTCTGAACCCTTCAGATCGGGCTTTAGAAAAGGGACTTATGGGGGCAGTCGTGGATCCAAATTGGTTCAGCATTGCAAAATTGCAAACGTGGCTTGGATTTTGCGATGAACACCATGGCGAAGAGTGCCATGGTCTGCCTATAACGCATGATTCTGTTTCCACAAGACCTCGGTTCCTCATTGACGTGGTACGAGGCTGTTTGGTCGAATCGCACGGGGATGAACGATACTTTGCACTGTCATACGTCTGGGGTTCCCAACAAGAAGCAGGTATGGCGACGACAGAAAACATCGAGTCACTGAAGCAGGCTGGCGCCATAACCGTGCGAAATCAAACATTCAGACTCCCCCGAACGGTCGAGGACGCTATTCAACTAACAGAGCTTCTTGGAGAGCGTTTCCTATGGGTCGACCGGCTTTGCATCATTCAAGACGATCTGGAAAATTGGCATTCGCAAATCAAAAGGATGGGATCAATCTACGCAAACGCCTATTGCACCTTCGTTGCTTCCCAAGGGGAAGATGCTGATCACGGAATAGCTGGCCTTAATCAGCGTTCTGGACCACGCAACTTAGTGAGAAGACGTATTAGGTTTCCATCACTTCAAATGGTTGAGGTGGGAGTCTCGGCTCCCACATCCACCTCGACCTGGATCACACGAGGCTGGACGTTTCAAGAATTAAAGCTTTCCCGGAGAGCGATATTCTTCAACGACGATATTCGGTGGACATGCTATCAATCCCGATGGCAAGAAGAAATACCAGTAGAGCTCGATGGAATTCCGTCTCAAATTACGAGTCAGCGAAAAAATCCATTGAGCATTCTCAGTGTTGAGCCATGGCCGGACTTCATGCAATGGGTCGTTCTAATCGGCCAGTATTGCACCCGAAAATTCAGCTTCGAGGAGGATGCAGGAGCGGCGTTTGCCGGTGTTGAGGAAATTCTGAGCCATTCCTTTCCAGGCGGATTTTGTTTTGGTATGCCGGAGTTCTATTTCGACATAGCATTGCTCTGGTGGCCCAGAACTCCGCGACGGAGAAGAACCCCCAAGCACGATGGGTCTTCTGATCTCCCTTCATGGTCATTCCTAGGCTGGAAAGGGGGTTATACTGATATGTACGGTCCAGCTTTTGCATACGAGTGGCTCACCGGAAGTCCCAACATCAGATGTCTCTGCAGAACATCATTTATACGACCAAAGGTGGACTGGATACAAACGGGACCTCACGGGCAACAGCGCCGGATCAGAAATGACTACCATGTCTGGAAGACAAGCCAGGATCGAATATCCCCAGAGGCTCACGCGGAACTCGGCTGGCGAAGGGACGGCAATAAAGATGACTGGACTCACGCTTCAATACCAAATGCCGTGTTTCGTTATCCCGTTCCAGTTGGTTTCCAGAATGTCACCGATGAATACCACACATGGTCACCATCACTTCGCTTGCGCTCCCAGAGCACTTTCCTTAAAATCTCCAATGTCATAGACTGGTGGCGCAACCCAGGCACCTGTATTGCTACAGAATTGGTGACTGACACTGGTAAATGGGCTGGGATGCTTCATCTAAACGAAAGTAAAGCTAAGAACGTACCGTTTGGTGAAAGGTGCGAGCTTGTTGCTTTATCATGTGGTAGCGTTTCTAATGAGGATGGACACGCACATATTTGGATGGAGGAGTGGAAACTGGATAGTCGTCCAAACGAATCTGAGAAGTACGAGTTCTACAATGTTATGTGGATCAGGAGAGAGGGCACGTACGTTGTTCGAGAAAATGTCGGCCGGGTGGAGAAGTCGGTGTGGGATAGTCAAGAGCTTCAAGATATCGATGTGGAGTTGCGTTGATGTAGAGTAGTATGCAGGAGGATTTAAGGCGTTATAACGGCACATCTCATTGGTCTTCAAATAGGTGATGTATTTTTGATTTACCGATACGAAATCAATAAACTATAAAAGTACGAGGCTGGAGAGGCCATATACACATTCTCCTATATGCATCTAACTAAGTATCGACATTTATCTGAAGCTGACAGTGTAGGAAGAGGTGGTCAGCTTGGCGTTGGAGCCAGTGAAGGGCTCAGTGCCGGCACCAATGTGGGTAAGGTACTGGGTGGTGGGGAGGCCCTGGCTGGAAGTGAGGTACTTGATGAAGTCGTTGAGGTTGCCGGAGAAGTTGTTGACGTTGGAGGTGGCGACAAAGGAGAAGACGGTCATCTGGCCGTTGGGGCCCTTGTAGAGCTTCCACGACGAGCCAGCAATGGTGACGGTGGCAATGGCAGAGCCGGTGGAAGAGATGGGACCGGCACCGCCGAAAGCACCAACCCAGATCATGATCTCCTGCGAATGGGGGTCAGCTGCTTGCACGTGTCTTGAAAGAAGGGACGTAGGACTTACGTATTCCTCGCTGCCGGTGGGGGTGGAGGAAGTGAAGAGGTCATAGGCAACGTTGGCGACGATGTTGCTGCCGGTGTAGCTCCAGCGCCAGATGGAGTTGATGCTGTTGATGGCGCTGAGCTGCCTGGCGGTGATGTCGACGACGGTGTTGGCGTAGGACTTGACCTGGTTCTGGACACCGGACCAGGTCCACGACGTGTGCCAGGAGATGGTGTTGCTGTTGAAGCTGTCGACGCCGGTGCACTGCGAGCCGGAGACGCCCGAGGTGCTCTTTCCCCACAGGTTGTTGTAGGTCGTGTAGGGCCCGTTCACGACGTTGTCCCAGTCACCGCAGAAGTCGGCGCGGCGCTCGAGCGGAGAGGCGGAAGCAACGGCCGCGGCGGCGGCCCAGACGATAGCTGAGGAGAACTTCATGGTCGCTCTTTGGTTGGTGAACGAGTGGATTGGTGGTGAGCTGGTTCGGAGGATGCAGGCAGGGTGCTGATCCTTGGTAACTGGTAGAGGCTGTATTTATACAGAGACAGCCGGTCTATAGCGGATAGACTACTTGTACCCCTTCGCTAAAGCAGTCGAGTGTTTGGTGGAAATCTCGCTTCGTTTTCTCTCCGCAACCCGACAAGCCGTTTCAGTTGTCCGTTAAGCATACTGCCCCCTTCCTAATGCGGTATAGATTCCGGCCCTCCTTTACGAGTTCGGTTGCCAACCCCGGCGTTTATCCAACTTTATTCGTGCACCTTATTCTGCTTCCTCTTTCGGTCGGCCCTTAGTCTCCCTTCACTAAGCCCCCAAGACCGCAGTTTGCGGGGTCACGATGTACCATCCGCCGCCCTGCAACCCCACTGCAAGCCGCGCACCCCGCGGGCGGCCAGCAAAAAGTCGGAATATTTCGTTCCTGTGGCGCCGGCTAGCGTAACGCCGAGGCGGCGCAAATTACCGCAGGGCCGTGGAACACGGTGGAAAATGATATTTTAGGCAGAGCGTCCCGACCGTGCCGACCGACCGCGGCCGCAGAAGCCCTTCGCTTCGAAGAACAATCGAACTTTCCTCATGTCACCTCTCCTGTGGCTGGGCCGACTCCACCAATCAGACGACGGCGCCTCAGCCTCAACATCGTACAGCACCATACGATGCTGAATTGCGTTTCATGCGCCTTTCGCGCACACCGGAGAATGCCTCGTCGGTTGGTGTTCAAGCGGCGTTTCTCTCCGGATAGTAGGGCCGACGTTTAAATGCTGGCTGTGTTTCCCCTCGGCGTCTTGTCACTCTGGCACCACTTTTTCCTTTTAATTGCTGCTTCCTGGCATTCTATGGACTGCTTTACGGCGGAGGCGTATGCGACGATGGTTGATGTGCGGAGGGTACTCGAGGCTGGACCGATGGCTGGACCGACGACTGGACGCCGGTGGCGTATAGGGGGAGAGGAAAGCTAGTGAGGTTTCTAAGTGTTGCTCTGTCAGCATAAGTGTCAGGGTGGTCCTGCCTCCGCGTCGAACCAAGGCTGGAATCGAGAAGCAACGTACGAGGTGTGTTAGGAAGTGGTCTAACCCACCACCACCACACCACGCCTTCAGTGTGGGCCCTTCTCAGAGCAAAGACACACTGGAATAAACGCGCTTAGCGATCGTTCAGGCGTGGTCAGTTAAGAAACCATGTCGAAACACATGTTCATGGCCGGCTGCAAAAGACTTCAAGCAGTCTCCCGTTGGGCCCTGACTTGCTATGCTGTAGCTGCACAGCGCAGTCAAGGTCGTTAGATGCTATGACATAACTCGTATAAGTCTTTCGCTAGATGATATAGATGGTCGTGATGTCTTGCCTTGTTTGGCAGTGATCATCTGCGGCACGGTGCGAACCCTCTTTAGCAAAAGACACGACCACAAGCGAGCACAAGACTTACCTGTTCTGTACCAGTTGCCTAGAGCATGTCCAACGGTGTAATAGGGTCCATGTTATTGGTCGCTCATCCCATTTGCTTTTTTCTCTTACCGTAGTTTGTCCTTCGGTAGTGCGAATACTCCTTGCGTCGGCTAGCAGGTATCTTATTGATCGACTTATGCGCTTCGTCAGTCTCTTATGGTCCAGAGCATGTCCGCTGTTTCAGTAGGACGATCCGGAATGTTTTGAGAAGTTAGGGCGATGACACGATAGAAACTCTGACCGCTGTTTTCGAGTCAGTATCCTCTTCACTGTGGACAGGCCCTTTGGAAAAGGTTAGAACCGGGAAAAAGCAATCGCAGACCGCATGATAGCGTCTGGAGTCTTGAAAACCCACACTTACCATCAAGAGCAGGTGCAAAGCAGCTCGTCCAGCGGACAAAGAGCCACATAACGACTGCTTGCTTGGACGGCGCAATGCCCATCGGCTTTGCTTATACACTTTAGAGTTTCTGGTATCTCCCGTCAGAAGACTCTGACTCGGCCGGAGATATAACACGGCAGTTTTCTCCGGGACGCGTAGCAAGCGAGCCATCTCCAAGCACAATAAGGTTGGGCATCTTGGAGGAGTCGATCGTAGCGCGGCTCAGGGGTGTCTGCACCGGTAGTTGGATGACGCTAGGACGGCAGAGGACAAGTCGCCAGTCGCCCACGAAGTATCCAAGAGGAAAAGAAGAAGTGCTAGCCTCCTCCAATATTGACTATCTTCATCCTCCAGTGTGACCTGCCCCTTTTGCCGCACCATCGTTGCAACCACTCGGTCACCGTCCACCAGCGGCATTGTCGGGCACTACTGCGTCATTAAACCTCTTTTGCGCCCATTCCAGGCGGTGGTTCGTGTAGTAACTTTGCTGGGAGGAGAAACTTGGATGCGACTACAATCTTTTAGCCGATTTTCGGATGTTGGAGGTGGCTGTTATGGGTCTGTTGCTAAGCACTTTAGCCGTATAGGTGAAAAAAAGCCGCGCTTCTTCCCTAACAGAATTTTCATCAGTAATTCGGGCCTACAACGAAGGACTCGAGAGCGAAGATCTCGGGAATCGTGAACATAGCGCAGCGATCCGGGCCAGAGGAGATCTTTTGTTCACCGGCCACGCTTAGGTCCGCGTCGAATCCATCGCGCCGATCATGAACAAGTACCGCGTCAGCCGCCTCGTGACAGAAACTGCCGCGGTTTCAGAGTCCTTTGTGATGCCTTCGCGCGCGGTACTGCGGAGGCGCGGGCCACTTTCGGGCTCCAAAGGCCTCAGATAGCAAAACATAGCTTGTAGGGCAAAACGGCGCAAGATGCGTTGCCTCTAAAAAGAATAGCCCGTGGCCAAGGCACCGCAAATGCCGTCAGTTAGGGTCGCCTTGCCGTAATCATGTGCCCCACAAGAGGGGTTAGCATCCGCGAGCTAAGGGGCTGTCATAGCAGACCCGGTCCCTGTAGTCATCAGTGAGATGCCTGCGGGTATGCGCGGAAGCAACTGGGAAGAGCCCAACACATGCTTCTGCGGAGGGATGGGCACCATGGCGTCGATCGTTCTTGTCGGTTTTACAGTTTACGTGCGTCTAAACAAGGTTGGACAGGGTGCGAAGAGGCTCGTGGAACGGCGCAGTGCGCAAAAGAAGCATAGAGGGGTCCGCGAGGCCAAAGTCAAGCCGTTTGCTACTGCAGTCGAAGGTTTATCCCGTCGTTCCGCCTACACTGGCGATAGATTGGGTCAGCATTAGAAATCGATGCCGCGGCGCGTTGTCCGAGTCAACGATGTGTCCGTGGTGTTTATCGCGCTCGCCAAAAAAGTCAGGCGAGCCGCGTCCCAAGCCTGAACGGGCGCAACATCATGCACTAAACGTCAACAGCGTGACCGTCTGGCCACAGGGCTGGTTTGCGAGTGGTGCGCTCGGTTTGCATGAGGCTCTTTGACCGCCGGAGAGATGTTGAAGTGACAGAAGTAGGCGGCTGCGATCACGGACACGATCTGGGAGATCTGATGTCGCTCAAAGGAGAAACACGGCAGTCTTTTGTTCGCGAATTGGCGAATGATTGACGGTCCTGACGTCGAGGTGCATCGGAGCAGGCTCGTATACGTAAGGCGGACCATATTAAGAGTCATGACCAACGGCTTGAGGCTGCGGGCCATGACACGCGCAACTCCGAGGCGCGTGGCAAGGGTGAGCGATGATAGGACAGCATCGTGCAACCGTCGCGGATCTCAACACAGGCTGGCGGGGCCGACTCCGGTGCGCAGGATTCGCAGGGGGCGAGTCGTGGGCTCAAAAGCAAGACGGCTCGATCATCTATCGGCAATCTCTTTGTCGACGGATTGCCGAAAGAGCCCAGCGCGGCGGGTGCTCGAGCCGCCCTGAGCTCTCGAGGCGCCGGTGGAGTTGGCCAGCGGATGGGGATCTTGATCCGCGCGAGGGACGACGGTTTCGGCGACGGATTTGCAAATTCTAGAGTTGCTAGCGCAGGGCGCGGAACACTGGGCCAGCTCCCCTTCCAGAAGGGCCCTCAAAATTTCCCGTCCGCTGATCCCCAAGAGCACCCAGCAGGCTTTCAGTCCGCCTCCGCCAGTCTGGGGATCGCCGTGGCTGAAGTCTGGCACTGCACTGTTGCATCACCGGTACACAGTGCCGGGGACTGGAGAGCGAGAGCGAGCCTTTGGCGGCCGACATAATGCCGTTGGCGCTACGGGTGGCCCAAGCAGGGCGGCCATGCGGCAGCGGCGGCTGAATCCGCCGCCGGTGCAGCACCTGGCGTCGCTCCCGTGGTGTTGACAGCGGCGCGAGACGCGCGTTCGGCCGTTGATGTGCGTGCCTGAGGCCGGCGACCCTCTTTCCAACCGTCGCTTGCTGCTGTCAGTTGCGCTGCTGCTAGGCTTCCCGCCATCCGCTTGTCCCGATGCGGCAGGCCCCCCGGTTTCAGTGAAGCTACCGGAGTGGTGGTTTTCCTATCGTCGCCTGCGCCAGAGACGGCTCCCTCCCACGTGAATGGCGGCTGTTCCTCGACCTCGTGGCTCCGGAGCTTCCTCCTCGACGGCGCGCCCAGCCTTCCAGCCTCGCCCGTCGAAGCATCGATCGCGGGAACGCGGCGACCGGACGAATCAAGACTAGGCGGGGCTGCAGATCTCTCGCGTCTGGGCGCCCCTTGCATCCTTCTCCATCGGATGCGAGTCAGACAGCCAGCCGCGCAGCCTTTAAGCAAAGGGGTGCCAGCCGCGCTCGCCCAAACCTGGACCCTGGAGCGTCCCTAGCCGGGGGCAGCCACCACTCTTGTGAAACCCAAAAGTACTCGCCTAGCAGGAGAAGCCTCCGCCTCCCCAGGGGGTTCTTATAGATCTGCCTGGCCGCCCTAGCGATTTCCGATCTCCCAGCTCCACCGCCTGCCTGCAGGCGGCATCCGACCACCATGTACAACACCAAAGAGGAGACGGGCCCGTACACGCCGGAGGACACGCCCTATGGAATCAAGGCCGCCTCCATGACCTTGTCGGTCTTTACCATCACCCTCACTGCCGTCTGCATTGATCGCTTTATCCGGAGCGTGAGGGCCTGGAAAGAGCTGCCCATTGCCCAATGGGTCCTGCTGCTGTTCTACTGTCTTTCCTTCCTGTTCAGCTCCGTGTCGGCCATCCTGAAGAACCTGGAGCCGAACACATCGCGCACCCTCTGCGACGCATCAATCCTCGTCTGCCTGCTATTCTACCTTAGCGCAAAGATCCTCCAATACCACTACCTGGTCGAGCGAGCAGTGAGCCTCACCATGCCGGTCGCGATCATCCTGAATTCCCGTACGCTGACGCCTCGAAGCATATTGTTCGTTCCGACCGCACTCCGCGAAGCAAAGACAAGATTTATCTATGCAACTGCCTTTTTCTCATTGTTCCGTACATTGGATTAGTCTGCCTGAACTTCTACTGGTCAGTCTCCATTACTAATCTTCACCTGACTACAACTGACGGTCGGCAGGCGTTTGGGATACATCAACACCAAAGGCGTTTGCATCAATGGCCTGGAGATGCAGGGCATCATTCCACTTCTGGCCTTCGAGATTCTCATCAACATCTACATGACCCTCCTCTACATCTACCCCTTCCGTCGCGTTCTGTTTAAGAAGCAACCCCTCGGCCCCAACAGCATCCTGCAGGCCATGGCCTACCGCACCTCCATCGCCACCTGTCTCATGATCTTGATCACCGTCGGCAACTTGATTGGTCTTTTGGTTCTGCATGGCGAGCCTGTCTGGCTTTGTTTCATGTGTTGCTCGGGCGACGTTGCCATCTGCGTGTTATTATTACACTGGTAAGTGGCTCACGACCGCCGTCGCACTATCTTCCAACAGAAAGCGATACTGACGACATCACTACAGGGTCACCAAAAACGACCGCGAGCGTCGAGGATTCGCCTTTTCAGAGGAGCTGAACCAGGGTCTCAAACTGCGACCCACGCAATACGACGACGCCGTCATCGACGCCTTCTGCCGCGCGACGGCCATGGGCGAACCGCAAGCACCAGGCGAGATTCGCGTCAAGAAAGAACTCAAATTCGCCGTCAACGGGCAGACGGTGCACATCACAACGACCCGCGGCGAGGAGGACGACGACGTCACGACCGAGCCGATCAAGGGCGGGCGCCTGTCGCGGCACGGGAGCGAGGACAGCATGATCGAGATGGAGCGCGGGGAAGGGCGGTTCAGGAGACGGGAGAGCCAGGACCAATTAAGCATAGGGTTGAGCGACGACAGTGTGGGGAAGGGGAGACATTACCAGCAGCATACCCATTCGACATTATAGGGCCGATTCGCTTTTTTTCCCTTTGTTTCCCAAAGCGCCCTGGAGTTTATGAATTTCATGAAATTTTCAATATCGAACCGCATTTGCATTGGAGGACGCGGGACGCTTCCAACGGATCGGCTTACCACCTCGGCATCGCAAACTGATTTCTCGCGCGGACCAATAGACCGGGAGTTTTCTTTCTTTCCGTCGCAAGGCTAATGGCGCCACCCCTCGAGCTATTCCTGAGGACCACGTTTTCCGGCGTTCAAGTCTGCGCGTTCTACTCAATACAAGAAACATGGATGTATCTACTTAGTTGCATTAACCACGCTGCAGCCACACACAGCTTGCAGCAAGAGTAGGTGAATGACGCCTCAATTTGCACGCGACAGAAGGCGTGTCCCCGTTCGCTTGGGCGCTAAAAAAGCATACTTCGGAGCCTAAATCTTTCTGCCGTGTGCCTCTTCCCAGATGACAGAAGTGCACAAGTTCGCGGCCCGCTCGTGAAACGGATCGCGAAAGTCAAAAAGATTTAGCGGGGAGCTGCGAATGCGTATCCGGCACCCCAGGATTTCCGCCACGAACCAAGCGATCAACCACCAAGGTTATCCGCTAAACGAGGTGGGTAAGGCCTGGGTCTTGGACGGGGTCTGTCATTCCCCCATTCGTGAGGGTGACGAATTCCCTCTTCATATGTCGCACATGATTCAGTGTCGCGCGGTCGGGACTCAGCCTCTTCGAAACCCCCCCAGCGGCGATCTCCATCGTTTTGTTCTCGCGCAAGCGACCGTTCGTATTATTTCCCTTCGAGCTCGAACACCGAGACACTTCGAAGGGTTATTTGTGTCATGCTTTTCTGACCTGTGTGTGGCTTTCCCTCCACCACACCTTATTTCTCCGCACCTACCACGGTTCGGACATATCAGGGAGATATCGCGTTGGAAGAACCGCGGGGGGAGTAGTAGTGGCTGTCGCCTATCGTCGACAAATCCGGCAAAAAGGGAATTGCCGTCTTCTAGTTTGCCGGTGCGGTTTTGGCGGACCATGGTGCTTATTACACGTCCGGGCCGGAAGTGTCCCAGGCCCCCGTGGCTTCCCTTTGGTCCCGAGGTTCCATAGCCTTGGTTCCAATGGTTCCGTCCCGGTGACAAACGCACTTTCCACTTGCGGTTCGGCTCGCCTTGGCACATGCGCACTACAGCGTAACTTTCGCATCCCACTCTCTCCGCGGCGATGGGAGTGTGCAGTAGAGTTGTCGGAATATATCCCTATCGCGAGTGTTATGGTTTTCCGATACTTCCCCAACCTTACGACTGCGCGGAAACGGAAGAGAAACAAGGTATCTCCCATCCGGACGCAAAAGTGCAGATCTGGTGACAAATTTCAAACAAACAACATGTGAAGAAGTCTGCAAGAGGCGAAAGGATCGTACCCACGTGAAGATCCGTCGATGCCCCTTAAAACCATCAAGTTATCCCCAGGCTCGACGATTCGTGGAGAAAAGTAACCGCGAAATCCTTCAAGGAGGATTCTTCACGAATCCCACCTTCCTTCGGCAATGACGTTGTGATGATGGGAGGGCATGGCTTGCGGTAGGTGGCTGTAGATGGCGTAGAGTGTGAACCAGAAGTCGGCACCTGGTCATTATGTCATATCCAGTTCGACGACACCATCTGTACAAGCTCTGAAACCTAGTTTCAAACCCATGAAAGGGTGATTTCAAAGCGGGAGCGGCCCTCGGGAGGCTTATATCCGACAAGCTTCAGCTGCAAGTCAGACTTGTGAAACCAAATCTCTTAAAACCGCGGCCACAGTTTGCTGCGAAGGGAGAGCAGCAGCCATGCACGTAACACCCGCTGATCCCCACCTAAACGGAGCTATCTCCTAGCAAACCACAATCCCACACCATTCCCACATGACGGGCTTCTAGAAGAATTGCCGGCGGAGGGCGTCAAGCCGAACCAGCGACCTCCCCCACGAAGCTCGTGGCAGCCGTCGCGACTACACCAGGGGTCAACACCCATCACAGAGCCACACCCAGCTCAGTACCCTCCTTCTTGTCATCCCCCATCCGTGATTTCCTATTCTGCTACAGCCGGTACACGGATGTGTACATATACAAGTCCCACGGCTCCCCGGCCTTCACGCCGCCCTCAGCAGTGACGTCAGCCATCGCCGCGACCGGAGAAGCCTTCCAACACCCTATTATGCCCGCGACGATAGTTTATCCCCGGTGCGCAAATCCGGACGAAGACGATTAGGGCGCCTGCGAAGCTGGGCATATGCGTCTCCGCGGAGGCAACCGTCAGCGAGCCCACGGTATAGACGGCGAAGTTGGAAGTCCGGCTCCGGGAACGACTGGACCAGAGGGGCGAGCCCGAGGAGAAACCCATCATCCCTTGGCGACGATATATTCGCGCAGTAAGCAGATGGATGACGACTGGTCTGCTGCCAAATATGGTAGTCTTGGCGGAGGTAGGTAGAGAGGTTCGAGAAGAGCGGGAGAAGCCTCGAGGCGAGGGCAGCAAAAAGCCCGTCAGCAGCAGCATGCGACCTCGCAGTACCAAGCTTAGGACTGTCACGCACACAAGATGCCAAGGAAGGAACGCGATGATGCAGCCGCCCGCCTGCCATTCCACGAGACGAGGCGGTGGAGCTCGTGGCTTCGCACGGGACGACGCGGCGCGCAGAACACGCCGGTCTACTTCCTTCGGATGGAATCCGTACGGCCCGCCCTGTCGTTTTCGGTAATAGGCAGGACTGGGACCATGATTGACACCTGCTCCTCCTGCTCCTACTCCGCGATGCTGTATGCGTCCCGTCTCGGCTCCATCTTGGGTCCTCCGCGGGAAGGGATGCAAAGGAGCTGCCATGTGCTACGGACCCACTGTGGCTTGATTCCGGGTCCTCCGCCTCGTGCTCCGCCATTCCGCTGGGACGTGCTGTGACGTCGTGCTATCCAGACGGAGGACGGCTCCCACAGCTATGGATCCATCCACAGTCTCTAGTTACTACATGGCGGTGAGGCCTACGCACTGGGCATCAACACTGGGACGAACCAGAGAGAGAGTAGCATCCCGAAGGCGCCGCTAAGGAAGACGAGTATGCGGGTGAGCTTGTCCGGAGTCACACTCTCCGGGAGCTGGACCCCTGCGAAGGGCGATGATGCTGACGGCAGCGGCGTTAAAGCCGGGAAGGAGCGCATACGCAGGGTCTGGAAGTGTCTTCGCCGATCCGCGAAACCCCTAAGGACAGGCTATACGTACATGGTCCAAGGCACCAGGGAGGCTAAGGATGGTGAGCACACCGTCTCGAGAGCATGTAGGAAACGTGGGAACGTGGATGACAGCAGGGCTCACGTACCGCCATAAGCAGAATGCGACTAGCTCCCCGTTCCGAGGCCTCTGTGAATGAAGTTGATGGAGAAGACAGACCATTGCCATGGTGGCTGGTTCTGGCAGTTCTTGGCAGATGCCGAACAGTTCTTGGTGCTACAGAAATGCGCCGTCAAGGCATTCGCCTCCCTGAGCTTTAGCCGGATTGGGTCCATCATCTGCTCATCATTGGCGAATCGTTTGTGAGGCTGGTGAATTGCGTCAGACTGGGCACCATGATAATGCCCAACTGAGCATCCTACTATTTAGAACCACACCGGAGGGCCGCCGAAAGCCGTGAAGCCCAACTCCCAGTTTCGCCAGGAAGGCATTCCCGAGCATCCGTCCCACAGCAGCGGCTCGGTCCTCGCCTGCCGATCTTGCCGTCTGATTGCCCTCTTTCAGGCAAACAGTTGACATTGGCGGGACGCGCTACGTTTAAGTGTGTTGCTTTTTTCGGTACAAAGATTTAGCCCTGCTGCAAGGGTCTAGGCATGCATGCAGGGGCCCGGCGTTTGTTGCGCGAGAGCAGCAGGGACGGAACGGCGGCGACGGGAAGCCGGAAGAGCGATGATGGAATTGTCGTCCAGAACACCAACACCCCCGCATCCCCCGTGGGGCCAAGGGCGGCTTGCGCCGCTTGGCCCTCGCTAGATGGCTTGGCTGCGGACGGAACGCGGACAACGTGGTTTGCTCCGAGCCGCAAAGCTTGTTGAAGAAAAGCTCATGCGATTGAATGGGGGTTGGGAATTGTCGGGGCAGGTAATTGATCCTGCGTGTTTACCATTGACATGATTGCGGTGCTTAATTTTTTTTCCTCGGTGGTTGCATGTATTCAGGAACTTTTGACGAGCGAGTCATGAACTCAGGTGATACGGATATTGTGGCTGAAGCTTTTCTGCGGCGGTGAAGACGGATTGAGAAGGTCAAGAAGTGGGCTCGTACGGCATCTCAAACAGCATCAGCCACATTCTGGCCGGGAACCACAGAGCGTGATGAGATAAATTGGTTTCCAGCGATAGAAAGCCGTCCCTGCATTAGTTGTGGACCTCTTTGCCCGGCAGAGCTAGCCCATGCAAGATATGCGGGGCAAAACATCAGATTTGTGCTACGCCCGGAGGAAGTTCGACAGAAATCACTGTTGCGTCCGGGGTCGCAAAAACATCCTATTGGCTGATCGCCTGTGCTGACAGCCGGTGTGGGAACTGCCAGCGGAATGCACCCCCATCTGCAGCGGATCCTCTTAAATCCTTATAACGTCTCCTGAAGGTCCTCGAGGAACATTCCGCGCTTCAAACTCCCATTGCCTCAAGATGCGGTCTCGACAATTCGCCGTTGCGGCACTGCTCGGCTCGGCCCTGGCAGCCGACAACTGCCGCTGCTTACCCGGCGACGACTGCTGGCCCACGCCATCCGACTGGCAGCAGCTTAACGACACGGTCGACGGCCGCCTGGTGGCAACCACTCCGCTCGCCGCCCCATGCCACGACCCGGAATACGACGATGCCACCTGCGAGTCCCTGCGCGAGAATTGGCAGTGGCCGCAAGGCCATTATGAGTCCTCAAGCTCCGTCATGGCTCCGTTCTTCGCCAACCGCAGCTGCGACCCGTTCACGTCCGAGGACACGCCTTGCGAATTTGGCAACTACGTCCGATATGCGATCAATGTGTCTACGAGCGACCATGTAGCAGCCGGAATCAAGTTTGCCACTGAGAAGAACATCCGTCTTGTTGTCCGCAATACCGGCCATGAGTAAGCCATCATCTCCAATTTCCCCGCGATCCCGCGCAATGCGTACAGTCCCCTCTCGCAGCCGATGGCTAGCGTGAATTTGTCTTTTGCTCATGGGTAGTTGAAGCTATCGTCGGGACGTATATGTAGAGTTTTTAATTCGACATTCTCGTCCCGACGATAGCTTCAACTACCCGTGCGTTATTCTGTTTTTGTTTTTTTTTTAAAAAGGAAAAAGACGAGGCATGGTTACCCTTGAGGATCTCGTATTCTTCGCGCTAGCCACATCGGCAGCAGCACCCCTCTGTATTTTCTTTATCCTCCAAAAAAAAACAAAAAACAAAAGAAACTGTCCTGTTCAACCCACTCATCTCCATTCGCGTCCACATTCCGAGACATGTCTCCAACCCCCGCCCCCCACTCCAATAAATCCTTAGACCAATTTCCCCATGCAAACCCCCACTAACCGTCATCCCCAGCTACAACGGCAAATCCACCGGCGCCGGCGCCCTCGCCATCTGGACCCACCACCTAAAATCCCTCTCCCTAACCAACTACACCTCCCCCACCTACACCGGCCCCGCCATCCGCGTCGGCGCCGGCGTCCAAGGCGGCGAAGCCTACGCGCTCGCCAGCTCCGCCGGCCTCGCCGTCGTCGGCGGCGAGTGTCCGACCGTCGGCATCGCGGGCGGCTACAGCCAAGGCGGCGGGCACTCGGCCTTGTCTTCTCGCTACGGACTGGGGGCGGACCAGGTGCTCGAGTGGGAAGTGGTCGACGGGACGGGTGTGGTGAGGAGGGCGAGCAGGGAGGAGAATGCGGATTTGTACTGGGCGCTGAGTGGTGGCGGGGCCGGGTCGTGGGGGGTGGTGGTGGGGATGGTGAGTAAGGCGCATGAGGATGTTGTGGTGTCGGGGGCGAATTTGACGTTTTCGCTGGACAGCGGCGTGCCCGGGGGTGACAAGGAGGTGTTTTGGAAGGCCATTGCGGCGTGGCAGCTGGAGTTGCCGAGGTTTGTGGATAAGGGCGCGATGGTGATTTGGTCGTTTACGGAGAGTTGGTTTGGGATTACGCCGATTACGGCGCCGGGGGTGACGGGGGAGGAGTTGGTGGAGTTGCTGCGGCCGTTCAAGGAGAAGCTGGCTGGCTGGAACATCACGTATGACAGCTACGTGAACCAGTTTGATGGGTACTACGAGCAGTTCACGACGATGCAGAGCCCGATTCAGGTTGGTATTGCGCAGTATGGTGGATGGTTGCTGCCAAGGAGTGTGGTGCAGGAGAGGAACGATGATATTGTGGCGGTTTACCGGAACATTGTGGAGGATGGGGCGACATTTATCAATGTTGCGCTTAATGTGTCGAAGGAAGTTGCCGGGGATGTGTACAACTCTGTTTTGCCGGCGTGGAGAGATGCACTTGTCGATACGGTTGTCACAACGTAAGGATCACCCCGAAGCTTTGGTTGCTGGATTGCAAGACTGACTGACGTGTCGAACATAGGCCGTGGAACTTCACCGCTCCGTGGGAGGAGATGATCGAATGGCAGGACAAGATGACTAACAACTACATCCCCCAGCTCACTGCGCTGGCTCCCGAGTCTGGCTGTTACGCGAACGAGGTGAGTGGTGACAACATCAACAACCCCCGGAACCTTTACTAATATCCGGAACAGGGTGACTTCCGTCAGCCAAACTGGCAGAAGTACTTCTACGGCAGCAACTACGCTAAGCTGAGGGAAATCAAGAAGAAGTACGATCCCTTGGATCTATTCTACGGCGTTGCGGCTGTAGGGAGCGAGGAATGGAATGTTGCGGAAGATGGAAGGATGTGCAGGACGAGCAACTCATCAGCCAGGACCTTCACTAGGTCCACTATCCATCATGCCCTGCCTGAACTTTGAGAAGCTATTGGTGTAGCATTGTAGATAAACTTTAATGAGTAGCCATTATCTCGGCGAGCAACTACTATACTTTCCAGCGAAAGGATATCTATCCGCGGAAATAACGTGGCCACTAACTAGCCTGTACTAGTAATCCCCTGAGCTTGGTCTGGAAGCTTGGCCTAGCAAGCCGTCTGAATCCTCTCCCAGTGTCGTCATAGACGCTAAAAATGTTCGGTCCTGAAGACAATTTGCTCCGAATGCTCTGACATTTCCGCACGTCCGTGAACAGCAGATTGAAGCTTTTCCCCGAACCATGATTCGATGATTCCGTCTGTTGCAAGAGCATTTCAAGCGCTCGTGCAATATCGTCCTCCGCAGCGTTCCCCTCCAACGCAGTCCAACGGTCAATGATGCAGAAACAACGAACGTTGCTTGACCGAGATACGACTTCGTTAAAAAGACTGTAGAGAGAGTCGATGTCGTCAGCAGCAAAGCCATCCGGAGACTGGAATCCCGCAAGGTCCGAAATTTCGAGCAGCTGCAAAATAAGACTGCGCATCATGTCCTTCAAAATGGAAGAGTCCTGGGTGGCGCCCAGCGTCGTGGAGCAGCAGTAGGAGATGACATGAGTAGCAGGCTCGTCCTTCAATGCGTCGATGATTGCATAACGGACAAAGTCTGTCGAAAGACCGCCTTTGCGGAGGCTCATGTCATCTTCAATCAGCCGCACCGAGGATTCTGCACCGCTGAAGAACCGGCTGATGTTGAATTTTGACGACAGCAGTACGCCTTGCGCTCTCTCCTCTCGGCCTCGGTTGACTACACTAGTCGGAGCCGGCGGTGTAGCATCATGGGAGAGAACGTTTGTGTATTTGCCCAGAGATTCTCGGAGTTGTGCCCTGATAGTCGCCGAAGAGAGACTTGAAGATGCAGATTCATGACTGGGATTGTGAGACTCGTCATCTAAAGGTGCTTCATCGTTCGTCTGAGCTATTTCCTTCATCTGGATATAGTCAATCGTCTGATCATGCTTCCATTCTTTATCCGTAGAAGGATAGGATTCGGCTGATTCACTCGAGGGCGATGTTGGGGCCAGGCTGAGCAGAGAAAACTCATCAGATGGACTCGCGACTTGAGGCTTGATGACTTGTGACTCAGCAAGATGCTGCATGACTTTCTCAGTTGAGTGGTATTCAGGTGTAGTATCGGATCCACTTTCGTATTGGACGGCGCTGTGTCGGTTCGTGGGTGTCAAATTGAGATAGGACTCTTTCTGTGGGCTTGGTGTACTTTGATTCCACCGTGCGAGAGGCTCTTGAAAACCGCATAGCTTTAGTTCTACGGCCCATGAACGCTTAAGGGATTTTTACGCACCTACTCCAAGCATCACAGGTGTGGTAGCAGCAGTAATGCTTGGTGATGAAGATCTCTGGGCAGAGAATAAGCGATCAGACTGGCCTTGCTGCTCTGCAATCCACTGAGGGAGCGGGGAACCTGAACGTCGTACTGCAAAGACAGACGGTCAGACCTGCCATGGAGGCTCATTGTGCGGGAGTATGCTTACTGTCTCTACCAACAGCCGACCTTTCAACCAAGATGTTGATGATGTTTCTTTCCGTCTTCTCCAGGAGAGCACGAAGCTGCTCCACTTTCATGTGGATTTCTCGGTCTTCAAAGTATTCGTCCGTGGCGCTGGCGATCAGCGGAATGTCTTTGTATTCCTCCAAGCCTACATCACCCAGACCCGCAGTGACATTGAACCGAAAGTATCGCAAAGGGTCATTGGTAAGTTCGAGGTGATTGTCCAAAAAGTGCCTTGCAGAAGATTCGGCATCCCTTGAGATGGCCTCGAGGGTGCTCCAAACTTCCGGAAGGAAGCTTCCGAATGCCTTCGAGGTTGGTTCACCAGTGCCGATCGACACAAGGCAGTTAATGCTCTTGGCCAGCGGTTGTCCCCATTGCTGTTCGGCCTCTGACCAAAGGTGGTTGACCGGATTGTTTGCACCAGTCGAGCCACTGAGAAATGCCTGCTTGAATCTGCCGATCTGGATGCGTTCGAAAAAGGTGGGCTCTGCAGAGGTGGCACGAGCCGCCTCCCAGATTTTTGCGTCCTTGGGTGTGCCCTTACTTCTTGGGTAATTGGTGAACAAAACCGACTTCCTGTTCTGGGCGCTCGTTGCACAGACGAAACTAAAGGTCGATAAGCACCTCAAAGGCAAGACCGGGTGGACGATCTTACACTTTGCATCTCGGCAATTCCTCGCGGAACGGCTCATCCTCCTTTCCCCGGAGGAGGTCTTTGATTCCCCTTTCCAAAGCTTCCGTATCGAATCTCGCTTGCATCTTCTGATTAGAATCATAACCATGAGTGCCTTCCTCTGCAAAAACGGTCTCCATGAGATTATTGTAGGCCTCAATGCAGGTCGACACATCCATGTGCAAGCGGCCGAGCATGATCGCAATAAGTCTAGATACGTGTTATTCAACGATTATGACAGTAATTCAATTGCAGTTCCACTTACCCGCCGGTGCTGGTGCCTCCTATCATGTCAAAATAGTCGCAAGGTTTTGGAGGATTCTTCTCGTCGATTTGCAGCATCAGCTTCTCCAGGATGAGAAGGGACGACAGCCCACGGACGCCACCGCCATCCAGGCTAAGCAGATTCAGATCATGTTGCAGTTGAACAAGCATTTTTTTTTAGACAAACAAACAATTTTCTCGAAGACAGAACGGTGAGCCACCAAGCTTGGAGGTGGTGGGACAGGTAATGATATAGGCAGCACTGCCAGGTGGGGCAGTCCCATGGCTGATTGGCATTCCTATTTTTGGCTTCGGGGCCCAACGGCTTTGGTCTAGCCCAATGCATGTCGGAAGAAACCGTGCATAATGTAACCCCATGCGAGAGACGACAGCAACCCCTGCAAATGGAATACCCGATATAGCTGACCACCAGTATCACACACTAGCCGAGGTGTATCGTTATGGTGAAATTCTTACTCAACGATACAGATTCCTTAAGATAATTACACGTTGAACTACACAACAGGATGCAAATTGCATCAAGATTCAGTCAAGATCAATGAAAGAGAGTTACTGTATTGACGAAGCTGTGACGAAAACAGATGGGCGAAAATCATTTCTCCTTTTTGACGATGCTCCACTCGTCACTTCTTAAGGTTAACTCGGTCGCCCGCTGCGAATCATTGCCTCTGATATCTTCCAAGTAGCTTTCAAAGTAAGCATGAAATTGCCAGGCCTGCTCAAAATGCTTCCATCGTAATGGAAGTGGTCTCAAAGTCGATTCATCGGGAAATTCTTCTTCGGCAAGTGCCAGCGCCACTTGGGAAATGTTTCGAAGGACTCGACCGTTGACTGACTTTAGATTCATCTTCTCGCGAATGAATTTCATGCACTGGCGTACGATGTCTCGGATATTCACATCCAGTCGTGATTTGTACTCGGGGCTGGACTTCAGACGCTGCAGAGTGTTGCGGATCAGCTCTTCCATGACGTCCTCACTAAGATTCGGGTAGTGTAGGGCAAGATGGATGCGAGACTTTATAGCCTCATCGATATGGCCGACCCTGTTGGTAGTCAAGAAAAGCACGCCCTGATAGTACTCGAGTTTCCGAAGAAAAACTGCAGTCCATGTAAGAGTCCGGCCGTGATATTTCTGCAAGGGGACCTACCGGAGCACACCTCGTTCTCCTTGAACTGGTCACGGCCTCTTTCAACCAATACGACATCTGCTTCGTCTAAAAGGGTTAGGCAATTCCAAAGCTGCGCTCTGTAGAAAAGCATCTCCAAGTTTCGTTCAATCTCTTGTGCATCGTTCCCCAGGTTTCCGCAAGACAGCGAAAGCAGAGGCACTTGAAGCTCGTCTCTCAGACATTCCACAGTAGATGTTTTCCCAAGCTATTACAGTGTGTCAGCAGGAACGGAGTGAGGGTATTTGGAGAACGTACACCGGGAGCCCCGTGAAGGAGAATGATGAGTCCTTCGCCCTTGCCAGCAACTAGATCGTGAGTCGGCTTGCTCTTTTGTGAAGCTCCTTGCTGATGTTTCATCCTGTGTCTCTTTACTAGTGCCTTGATTACGGTTTGATGGGTGGACTCTAGGAGCAGATCATTCCAGCCTTGAGAATTTTGGATGGGATCTTGCAGGCCCTTCACGGCTAGAAGTGCAAAACACATACGGTCGAGGATAAACGCGCAGACGGTTTCTGGCAGAATCAGTTTGTTATCCGTGAAGAATTTCTTCTCGAAATCCTCGACTGTGATGCACTCGTCCTCGCTGCTCCTCTGAAACTCGCTCAGAAAGGGATCGTCGCTCACGAGCTTCAGTCTGATTGTCCGATTGACGTGTGAATCGTTGTAGATGTGCTCGTCGTATATTGTGCGGCGGTAAGGCTGCCGTTCTACTTTCTTCTCGCCCTCGCTCTTTGAAGACTCGTTTTCTTCCTTGGCTCTCCACACATTGAACGGCCATGTCTCGGTAAATTCTACTGGATCCGCAGCCAACGGATCGAGGAACCCTAGGAAAGGAGTCCATCTGGCATCTTCCTTGAAGGCAGAGGCGAAATCTACAATGACCGATCCCTGAATGTGCTTGGGCGTGGAACCAAGCCCCTCTACCGCAGGGTCGGACTCGGCTCCGTTCGCACAACGTGTGTACTTCTTACCGGTGTACATCTGGTGGCAGAATGGCGGCTTTGTGACGCTGATGAACTTATAAGCAATGCTTTCAAGTTGTTGCTGCAGTTTCTCCCGATCCTTTGCGCACCGAAGCGGGACTAGACGGAGCGAGTTGATCTCCCTTTCGCCTTCGAAATGAGAAATGGAAAAGGAGTTGACCGTTGGTCCCATATTAGTCCCACTGAAACCGACCCTGTAGCATTGGATTTCGAATGCGTTGAAAATCTTCCCCGTTTGCATGTACTCATCTTCTTCTGAAATCCCAGGGCTTAAACGAGGCCGTCCGTTGGTTACATCGAGTATCTTCCATGCAGTTGGCCCACTCGTTCGGTCATCCTCTCGGCTCAAGGCATGGGCGTCCTCTTCGTTCGATCCTCGGGAAATGACAACTTCTCCGGGGCGGAACAAATACCAGAGATCCCAAAACGCTATCGTCTGAGGCGGGTTCTCTCTGTCCCAATATTTGCGAGCTACAGGCGTGACTGCAGTTTCGATGAAACGTATCAAGGATTTCAGGTCTTCCAGCAGCTTTCGCGTTTGCTGAAGCTCCTCCTGCGTCTCTTTCTCCTGCGATGATTCTTCCGGCTCTACAGAATTGCTGCCAAAAATCTCCGTTGTTGTTTCCAACCAGCGGATCTTTTCTTCCAGCTCATCTTTCTTCTTGATAATATTCTCCCGGTAGTGCCAGAAAAATCTGTATGGTCTAAGGAAAACCACCGAGGGGTTCTCGAGCTGATTGTCTGGAGCATCAAATACGGCCCATTCTCCCTCTGAAACATCTCTCAAAGCTCGAATAAGGTCGATTGAGTTGATGCGGACTCGCTCAGGTATCTCGCGCCCGCTCCTCCACTTCTCCTCCCAGACTTCGAGGGGAACGCGGGCTTCAGAGTCAACGCTGAAGGGTTTAGTTTCATCCGCCGATTTCTGCCAGTAGAGTTTGGGTTTGCCAGCAAGCGCTTGGATGGCGGCAGGCGGGTTGCCCTCGACAAACTGCTTGAAGACCGGCCAAGAGTCGACGTGAAGGCCTGAACGAATCTCTTGACGTTTCGACTCCGGCTCTTTCTCTTTGAGTTTTGATTCAAGCAGTGCTATTGTTGACCTGAGGGATTCGATAGCTCTTTCAGACTCGTTGTGCTTCTCGGAGAGAATTTTGACGAAGTCGTCCAGAGAATCCAGCCTGATAGACCCGTCGTCGTTGACGTACTCGGCAAAGTAGGACCTCTCCTCTACGTGAAGTCGGCCCAAAGCGTAGGCTATTTGGTCTTGTTCCGTCGGGTACATTTCCTTGTCCCACAGAAGTTTCTGTCGGAGATTCTGAATGAATAGCGGCAGCTCTAGCAGGTCGACGTTACTCCCGCCGAACATCGGCGCGTCTGGGTACTCCTTCCGTAGATCGATGCCAATCTGATTCAGTCGGAAATTGATGACAGAAGGATTGGCTGGCACCACCACCGTCTGTATCTCGCCCGTCACCATGGCCGGCTGTTTGGCTCGCTGGCTCGGATCGGTACGAACAACCGCATCTTCGGTCTTCATCACACTCACGTCTTCTGTGCTGCTGATTGGACCTGTCTCAGGACAGAATATTGCTTCTTCCGACTCAATACCATCCTCTGGTTCGCTTGTGTGCGGTCGCTCTCTTATCACTAACCCCGTCTCTTGCCTTGAGGGTGGAGGAGGTGGTTGCGGTAGATCGTCGGGATCAGGCTCTTTCTGCACTCTGGAAGGAGTTGATTCCATGGCCCTTGAGGACCAAATAAAAGAAAAACTTGAGTAAAATAATCGTAACATCGCCCGTGGCCAAGAAGGATGCAGAAGACAGATGGAGAGGGAGAGAGAACAAAAGAGTAACAGAATTATCATGAATGATCACTTTTTGTCGTGAGGAAATTTCGGAGGGAGTTAACAGGCAATGACAAAAGACCTCATTCTCATTCAACCTCGCGATATACTTTGCAAGAGAAATCAGGCACCGGACAATCTGCATCCACATCTTGCTAAAACAGAGCAACTTAAAGTGGAGCTGCGTAGCATTGCAGCCTGCAAAGGCTTACGCAGCTGGGGGCCAAAATACAAAAATGTGAAAAGTTGTCAACCCGTGTAGAGGTGGGTCTGTAGTTCTATTTCCTTTTTAATGACTTGCGACTTCCCTTTTCGCACACTGCGACCGGGGAGCCCGGCGCCGTTGGGTGGGGTGCCAAGGGTGGCTGCTTGTTGGGACGGGCTGAGAAATCCTGCCACGCCTTGACAGCCTCAGCATCGTGACGTGGGGGCCAACCATCGAGGTGCTGCCCCGCCCGCCATCTGGCTCTTGGTTTTTTCCATACCGCCCCAATCCATTGACCACAAAGTTCTCTTTCTTGCATTGCTAAAAGCGGAAATCCCTCACGTCTTCCGTCAAGCATCACTGACAAAGAAACGGCATGGATCATCTACGAACAGATTTCCAACCTGTTCCCTTCCGAGAGAAGTTTTACACAGACGAAGACGGCGGGTTTCACACCTTTCCAGCGCGTTGCGGTTGGACGATCGACGAGGAGGACAGATGCTTTTCAGAAAGCTCTTCAGATCGAAAGCAGCTTGAAGCCTTTCTACAGGCCTGGCTATTCTTCGGCTTGCTCCATGCCACTCTCGGTGAAGAGGTCCTTGGAGAAGCTCCAGACTGCTTCCACCAATTTGTTGATTGGAATGGTCCTATGCCATATATCACAACGAAACATCTCCCAGATCTGCTTCAAACATGGATAAATCGCGAGAAGGACCCAGCATCCAGGAAAGACAGAGGCTTGCGTATGATTCGAACGCAAATGGCTCTCGATCGTGCTGAAGCTGTAGTCCGAAGATACTTCACGGTGGAAGGGCAGAGCAGTAATGCAGATGACATGGACGAGTCTCTCGGCCTGTCTTTGCTCCTTCTGGGCGAAGCTTTGTCTTGCACGAAGAACAAGATCATCACCCAAGGCAGCCTTACCATCCGCGGCTGGCATAGCGAAGCGCACGAAGGGTGGGGTTCCAGCATCGCAGTCACAAAGGGGATGGTTGAAAAGGGTTGGTGTCCCAAATCCGTCTACGTGCTGAGAAACCAACTCCAAGGGAACACAACCGCTTTGCACGAAGCTTACATGGTTCGACGCCCGAAGCAACGCTCATCTCATGAGTCCTGCACAGAGACCACATGCGCAGCCAGGACTGTGGCTGGTGGTGCTAAGTACAAGCAACGACATAGATGCGCATCCGGCGACTGCGGCTCCGAGGGACCCAACGTCGCTGATCTCGTTGACGTCATCAGAAAAGGTCAATTTCCCGTTCTTGAATTGAAAGATGACTTGACCATCACGGTCAGGGCACATGAGCCAAAGGAGGACTACGGCACAATCACCCACGTATGGAGCGATGGCTTCGGCAATCCTCTTCGCAACGAGATGCCTCGGTGTCAGCTAGAGTTCCTGGCTGAAGCCATCACGGAGTCAGAGCGTCATCTGAAGATGCGGAACCATGGCCGAAAGTTGTTCTGGATCGATACGATGGCAATTCCCGTCGGAGCGGAAAATAAACCCGAACGGAAGACGTCCATCGGCCAGATCCATGACATTTTCATCAACTCGAAGTATACTATCGTGTTTGACTCTGAGCTCTGTGCAATGAAAGTTGGGAACAGGTACGTGGAGACAGCAATAAACATCCTTGCCAGCGGATGGATGCAGAGACTCTGGACTCTTCAAGAAGCCTATCTCAGCAAGCGGCTGTTCTTCAAATTTCAAGACACGGCGTTGGACCTGGAAAACCTGGAAGAGCTTTTCCCTCAAGCAAAGGGGAACAGCTCCTCAATTCTCCCGGATGCTGCAAGGGGTTACTTCCACAGCATTATGGGAACGGCACGAGAAGCACGAATCCATCAAATGACTCCCAGAGACGGCGTGAGCTTGATTGCGTCTATATGGAAGGCAGCTTACTGGCGAACCACGAGCAAGAAACAGCACGAAGCGGTTGCAATCGCTACCCTCCTTGGCTTGAACTCCGGATCATCTACAATGGCCAGCTTTCTCAACGACGCATTCGTTACTGGAGATGGAGAATTCAACACGGCCAAATACCATGAAAGCATGAAGCATCTATGGGCGCTTATCCACGATGTTTACCCCGGATCCATCCCGGCTGGTGTTATTTTCCTTCCACCACCGAGGCTCTCGATGGACGGATTTGGGTGGGCGCCCGTGTCTTGGCTGGCAGGGAAAGATTCAGATGATCTAAAGCCGCTTTTTGCGCAGAATCCACCGACACAACTGGATCAGAATGGCCTTCTCGTCGAGTTTCCCGGGTTCCTTCTTCACTGTAGCTCAGCTGCAAGATCTCAGTTGCAACTCTTAAGCGAAGGGAAAAGCGAGCTCTGCTTCCCGTACGGCAGCAATCTCTTGGAATGGTACCAAGTTCGCAAGCTTTTTGGCGACGAAGAAAAGGATATCACTCTTCGCTCTGACGAGACGACAGACTACGCAATCATCATCCCGCAGGAACAGCCAAGTATTATTGAAGATGTTGGGCTCTTTGTGGAGATTCGACGGACTCAATTGCAACGATCTTTGGAGAATAGCAGGACAACTCGCATCTTTCATGTTTCCAGTCTCTTCCGTGTGCTAGTCAGGCGTGATATGGGAGACAACATCGAGGAGAATAAGGAGCAATTCTTTCTCGATACTGACCTGATACTCGGAGAGTTGGTGGACCGAAGCCAGAAATGGTACTTAAACTAGGAAGCTAGTCAGCGGAAACTCTGACCAAGGAACATTGGGAATCCGGCTGATTACCTTTGAAGCTTGTTCAGGTATTACATTATACAGCAACCTGCTTGCATTATTCACCGAGTTTGGAAGAGGGAAAAGACGATGGAGTTGGAGAAGAGCGAGAGTTGGAGAAAAGCGGGGGTGTTGGAGAAAGCTTAGTAATACGGATTGGTCACTCCATTGCTTTGGAACTAACGAAGCTCTATCGCCTCTCTTTTTTTTTTTCGTCGCACCAGTTCATCGACGTGCTTTCCCTACAAGCCATTACAACTTCTCACGTAATCCATGCTTGAGTCGAAGGCTGTGTTATCATTTCCAACAGACATGCCGGCTTCTTGGTGACCTCCTTCACCGCCAGCTCCCTCAGCTGCTAAGAATACTCCTCTCTCAACCATCGTTTACCAACCGCCACAAGGTCCTCACGTGCGACATATCAATTCAATTTGATGGGACTACTGTCACAGCTTTGAAATTTTAGGGATGAATGATGTGCGCGATTTACGTCGGAGTATCATACGCAGCCGCTCATCACGAACGCAATGTCTAAACCTAGGTCATCAAATAGCCAGCGTGTTTAATTTGTCAGCATAATTTTAAAAGCCTAAGCGAGTAGATATTGGGTTTGAGTTGGAGAAGCCTATGTCATCCAAGTTCGTGTGCTCCAAGAAGAAAAATTTGATTAGGGCCGGGCTTAACCTACATAAAGGCGCGGGGACAGAACCAAACCACTCCAAACACAACGCATCCTCACCCAAGTCACCGTAGAGAGAAGCTAATGTAAGCAACGACAACATTTCTCCGCCCGGTATTCGCTTCTGTGATATTGGGCTATCGCTAAACGGATCCAGTCTTGCCACCAAGCCATGTCCTCTCTCCAGTACTTTAACGAAGAAGGCGCCGGCTAAAAGCACAGCGACCTGTGCCACTACTCCCAAGCCGTCGTTCTTGGCAACATTGTCAAATGCTCCGGCCAAGGTGGTTGGGACAAGACCGGCGCCCTTGATGCCAACGATATTCCACGCCAAGTGGAGCTCGCCTTTGAGAATGTCGATCGGGTGCTTCAAGCCGCTGGCCTGCGGGGATGGGAGGACGTTTACAGTGTCCGGAGCTACCACGTTGTCGACATTGGCCTTTCGTACGACAAGACGGTGGAAATGTTGAAGAAGAGGATTCCCGGGCACAGACCCATCTGGACCGCAATCGCGGTTCCGGCTTTAGCCTTTCCGCAGATGAAGATCGAGATTGAGGTCGAGGCATATGTAGCTGAGAAATAGAGAGCATGAGATATGTGCTCCAGCGAAAACTACCCAATACTTTCATATGAGTCCAGTGGCAGGACGGGCAGTCTCAACCGAGCCGTTTCTTCTTACGTGTAGAACGTAGTTGAGTGTCAATTCCATACCCTTTTCTAACAAACAGGAACCAACATGTAGCGCAAGCTCCAAATATGTGTACTGAGCCTGCTTGAGATGTTGAATTGTTCTGCCTTTTCTCTTATGGATCGTCCTGAACGATACATAGGCTATGAACCCATAGGTATGTGTACCGGCCCTTCGGAGTACTTCCATCGCATCAGCTATTGTTTGCGGGATTTTCAAGCCGTTTGACGATTTGCTCAATAGGTCTCTCGACAGAGCTTTCGGAATTCTCAATTTCGTAACATTGGGCTTTGTTCCTTTCAACACTCTAGGAATAGCTCCCTAGATGTAGGACAATGCTGCATAGCCACAAGCGTCATGCTTCTGAACTAGGCACTCTCGAACACGTCTACAAGACGGAAGCCATGCTCACGATGAAATGGATTCCTTAAATTATTTCTACAAGGAAAAGCCACGCGTCGATGCAGTTTGCAGCTTTCCAACCACTGCTTCATCATTCTAATATCGAACTCAGGCTGTATCGATCGCCGGCAAATCAGTGTAGTATGACCATGAGGACCAGTGGAAGCAAATGCGGCCTTGGTCTCCTGTGACAGGGCCTCCCAACTTAGCAATGTCGAAGCGGGTCTTGGCTTTGGTGAACTCCTTCTATTGCTGATTTGAAGCAATCCCTGACGGCGTACGGTTAACTGTGAGGACTATGTTGGTTGCCAATGACGTTGGTACTCCCAGTCTTGTAAGTACATCCGTCTCTTTTCCGGTAGAACTAAACTCTCGCACGATATGCTCCTGATGAAAATTTTCGACGGATCCTCTGAAGTATGATTCAATTCCTCCAAGCCTACAGACTCTTCCCGGGCAAGCTTGGGGGCCTTGCTGACGAGGCTGTAGAACGGGCACTTTGTGTCGACGGGAGGAATGGTGCCAAACTTCGTTTCAGCGCACTCATCGGTTAGGATGCACTCGAAGTAAATCTTGATTCGAGCATAGCTGGGGAGCATGCGGTTCGATGACCTTGAACGGGGGATTCGGGGAGCGATACTGTTCACTGTTCGCCAATGTTTCGCTGACGTGATCAGTACCAGTTTCCCTTGGGCGAAAACGCATTGAGGCCCAGAATGAGAATCGGAATGAGCAGGAAAATGAAACCATTCCAAGTTGCCCAGACGAAATAAAGGTGTGGTTTTGAAGAGAAAATATAGCTTGGTGGTCGTGCAACAGCCTCGTTATGATTTCGTGGAAAGACTGGTGAAGAGAGATAATATGTTTGTTCTGAAAGCACAGCCGCACAGACGCGTACCACTTGTCGGGCCAGGCCTTGCAAGGCTGACTTGGAGCGACTACGTGTCACGCGCGGATTGGAAGTTGTCCAGCAAACGCAGCCTTGCTTCTCCGTGCTGAGGAAAAGAAGTCGGATAAATTCTGCTGCATCACACTACTACCAATTCACCCACGCATAGAAGAAACGCTGGAGCCGGGTAGTTCAGGCTCGAGTTAGATATATTGAAGATTAAACAGATGAAACCCCCGATCCCCCCTCCCTACAGCGCTAGGTCTAGCTACGTCTCCGCGCTGATGCATGTAAGACGACATACAGGCAACTCAGGTGCGACGACAAAGCTTGTACTACGAATTAAGTTTGCCCAGCTGATGATCTGCGTCTGACTGTATTGATCAACGATTGGCCAGAGCAATTCACGTTGAGAAATGCTGAGTGGCTCAACATCTTACGCTGTGCAGGATTGGAGCGTGAGGGCACATGCACTGTGGCTGTGGGAAGGGCTTAGATCGAGTTGTATAATGTATTAAAGATGACTGTATGCTCCGCCACTGTGTCAAATTGATCGGCTGGGTGGCGTATACTTTACCTCGCTGAATTATAACACGATGCGCAGTGGGAAGCTTGACAAGTATTAATGAAATGAGGAGGGGGGGAAGTTATTAAAAACATACACGAAAGCTTAGGAGAGTTTCCCCATAAGCTGCGTCAGAACTCGTAATGACATCTGGCCACTCAATCCCAAGTCTGCTAAATACTGGCGCTGTATTCATCTTAACACGCATACCATCGTAATGTCAACCTACCCGTTTCTCAATGACGTGCGCATAGATACAATAACACTTTAGGGTTCGGCATCCAGAATCACGAAAACAAAGGACCATGCAAATGCTATGTCCTGGCCTTCCGACCAGACCAAGCGGACTCACTTATGATGCTGTGGGGACATGTCAGCCACCTGGTCTCCCAAACCGCTACAGCCCAGATGTTGGTATTCAATACGTCAATATGATAAAGATTTATTTTCTTTTTAGAAAGGGAAAAAAGGACAAAGCGTCGCAGGGCAATTACCGAAATGCTCAGGGGCAGAGTGTAAAACGCACAGTACAGATGGCTAACGAGCAAGTAGTAGTAGAAGCTGAAAGCATAGAATCGGCTTATACTTCATCACAAGAGCTACAACACCTTCATGGCCAGAGAACGTTGTCGAGTTTATGCTCGCTTTTCCCTCCCTCGTCTAGTCGCAAAGACCGTTCTACCTCCTTCCATAACCGATAGGTAGCAGGATCCTCTCGCACGTCCTGTTCTAAAGGTTTCCAAAGATCGTAGGCCGTACTGCCATTTTCGTCCCGTGCATGCAGATCTAAACCATTCTGAATGAGACTTTGAATAGCCTCAAAAGCCCTCCGCACTCTTTTCTCAATATTGTGCCGACGAGAAAAAGGCTGAAAGTTTAAAGCGCTAAGTAGTGCAGTCTTACCACTCGGCGTCCTGTGATTGACATTAGCGCCAGCGTTGATCAATAGCGGGAACGACTTGAATAAGCCGTGCAAACCTGCTGTGATTAGCGGAGTCTGCCCCTTGTTGTCCTCAGCATTAGGATCTGCGCCAAGCATGAGTAGCCATTCCGTTCCGTCTAATGAGCGGACCGCCTTATGCAGCGCCGTCTTTCCCTTGTAGTCACGGGCTTGAATGTCAGCCTCGTACGAGAGCAAAAGCTGTATGACGTCCAAAGTGTGGCTTGTAGAGGAAGCCTTGTGTAGCACCGTCCTTCCCTTATGGTCAGGCACGTGAACGTCAGACCCGTGCGAGAGTAAAAGCTGTAGGATGTCCAACTTGTCAGGTGTAGAGGCAGCCTTGTGCAGCGCCGTTTTTCCCTTATGGTCAAGCGCTTGAACATCAGCCCCGTGCGAGAGCAAAAGCTGTATGATCTCCGGATTTTCGGTTTCAGAAGCAGCCTTGTGTAAAGCCGTTTTTCCCTTGTGGTCACGCACTTGAACGTCAGCCCCGTGAGAGATTAGAAGTTGCACGACGTCCAAATCATTAGTTTGAGAGGCTCTCATCAGAGCGGTTTTGTTTTTCTTGTCTCGAGCATTGACTTCCGCCCCTTTTCGCAAAAGAAGCTCCACTAGTGGACCACTGTCGTTCTCCCTGCAGGCTGAGGACAACGGATATGCACCATAAAGTTCTCCCCACTTGTTGACCATGGAACGAGGATCTTCTCCCATTCCAATGAGTCGAGAGGCGGTATTGAACCACTTCATACCTGCCCTGCAACATACGTGATGTAGACCGTTATAGATTGCATCGTCCCAGGGCAAAAGGGGATATATTTCGGCAAGCATCTGGTTCAGGGTCCTCAGTGATGCCTCCTGGGAAAAGCCTTCCTTCTCAGCGATTTCGATATGCGTGAGGATATTCCAAGGGTTGTAGACTTCCAGTTCCAAGTCTTTCATCACGTGGTATCTCGTATTGATCCAGGAGGAATTGCCACAGCCTTCGCGTTTCAGTCTCTTCTTGTTCGATCTATTTTCGAAGGTTTCGGAAACCTTCAGGAAAAGATTGGTAAATCCGGTGAAAACTGCTCGGGAGTAGTTGACCGTAGAGGTTACGAGTCCCGAATGACACCACCCCACAACGTGAAGATTGTCCTGCGGTATGGAGAGGCTCTTGAACCCCCCATATCTCAAAAAGTAGTCCCTAACGGACTCATGAATAAATTGACATGTTGATCGCTCATCTTTGTCAAATTCCAGCAGTCCGCCGGATAAATTGATGATCATAGCCTTTTGGTTCTCCAATCCATTTATGCGTTCGCCAGACGCAGTCCATTCTTCTATTGTCTGGAAGCGGGTCTCGGAATGGAAGGACATAACAGCAGCTATGTATCCTGCCGACAGACGTTCTTCGGTAAATAAGACCAATTGAAACATGGAGATGACTCGGCGGTGTTCGGCAGGGTGAATATTCCCAAGAAGACTACCAAACAGTTCTCCCAGCTCTGGAGGTATGTCCGTGAGTCTTTTATTGAGGAAACTCATTGGGCGGCCGGAGTACATGTCCTCCTCTTCCCTTAGTTTTTTGATTGCCAATCGAACCCAGAGGAATACGCCAGAAGACCTTTCGAAGAGCGGGTCCCGAAGTTCCAACAAAGACCGGTAGTTCTTCAACTCTGTCTCAATGTAGGTATAAATATCGTCTTTGTTGTGATGTTCCACGGTGATCTCTGGGTAACCGAAAGTTGGAGGGCGTGGGCAATGGCGGCTTGAAATGCACACTCGCAAATTTGCATTGGTATCTTTTTTGTGGTCCACAAGACCCTGGAAGAACTCGACCAATCGGGAGATCTCGGGATTCGTGCATTCGTCGAGGGCGTCGATAAAAACAAGTACGGGCATAGAGATGCCGCGCTGGCAAACTCGTGATACGTAATCCTTTAGAAGCTCCTCCGTCCATTCTACACGGCCCCCTATTTTCCCCGTTTTCTTCTCTAGATAATCCGGCAAAAGGTAGGCTAGGGCGTTTAGATCATATTTGAGAATCTGGTGCAGAAACGATCGGTAGAGTCCTTGTGTTGTTTTCTCCAATTCCTCTCCACGGGCGTTGAAGAAGAAGCTTACAATGCTTGTTGAGGCTTGTGAGACATAGTCTTGCGTGCGGCGCAAAGCTTCTCTCATCAAAGTAGACTTCCCTACCCCTGGATTTCCTTTTACCCAGAGTAAGCCTTTTCCTTTAGCGTTGCTTTCTGAATCGATCCATGCTCGAAATTCATGAGAGCGGAAAAACCATTCGCATGTGTTTTCCGTAGCTCTGGAAATGCTGTCCCTTCGGCTATCTTGTCTCTTGAAGTCGAGGCTGCCAAGGAACTCTACATAAAGATCAGCTATTTTCACCCATATGGCCGTGGGATTGGTCTGTAAATACCTTCTTGTTGCTTTGTTAAACTGCATACCATAACTAATTTACCATCAGTCTACAACAGAATATCCCTATCGCGGCTTAAATAGGCCGACTAACCTGACGTCGGAGAAAACATGATGTTCTTAAGGTCTGCAAGAGCTTGCCTGTAGACCTCATCTGTAGAACCCTGGAACTTGACCATGTCTGAATGATTCCTTTTGACAGGACGCACCGTGTGGCGTCCATAATCATGAGGCATCCCGTTTGTTGCAGACGAAATGTCCACAAGTCTACGTTTTGGTCCATCCATGGTCCATCCACCATTCTCGCACTATAGCTCGTCAGTCTCATTTCAAAGGCTTACAAGAGTGAAATTTCCATACTTGGCGAGAAGTAGGGCTCTCCGTTGTTTCATAATACCAAACCGCGGAAAAGCTCATCCGCTCAAATGAATTACGAAAATCATTCATCTGATTTCGAAGCATACCGCTCGAAGGACCTAAGGTCCTAACGAGGAGTTCGTTTGGCTGTCCATCCACCATCGGAAGCATTGTCTCGATATCCATTCCTTGGCTAGGCGTTCCGAAGAACATTGACCCAAGGAGTCGTTCAAGAGTCCGTTTTTCATGGACTGAACCTATGTTCTTGTCTAGGGAAGTGATAGCCTATGGCGCGTAAGTCTAAATTTTGCCATTCCAGGGAATGGTGTTTGACCTGTTTTACCAAGATGCCTCCCAAGCTATGTCCAATCAGAATGAGACGTCTCATGCCTGACGGAGCCGAACTCTGAGTAAGCTGGACTATCTTGTTTTTAAATTCGAGGCCAAGGTCCGAGATCTCTTGAAAAGAATCACTCTTTATCAGCCGGGAATCGTAACCGTAGGTGAACACCCGAGCATGCACTCCTGCCTGGGTTAAGTGCTGCGGAAGGGCGTCGCGAAGCCACATGAAGCTGCTCTCGCCTCGTTGCTTGAACGAGCCGAATGCATGGCCGTTCAAACCTGGCAGAGCGACGATGCTGTACAATATTAGTCTGTAGTAATATCAATTAACGTCCCTTATTTTACCTACTCGTATGTGCAGTCTGCATCAGCTTCACGATGAAGTGGTGTAAGGCCGAAAAATTCCAAGTCAAGAGCCAACTTTATTGAATCTTCGCCATCCCCTCGAAGAGCCGTCGTCCACTTCTGCGCAGGACGGGACATGAACTGAGCAGGAGCATTGAATGCGAGAGTGGCAATCTTCTTCGTGTCATCCGACGGGTCCGTGGCGAGCGAATGGATAACGATAGCGGTACCGTCATCGATGTTCCACGCCTTTCTGATAAGGCAGATGACATCCTCCTTAGAAGCAGGGCGACTAGAAAGTAATGCTGGTATTCCCTGCAAACGAAAGGTGGTGTTTCGTGGGTAAAAGTTCTTTGAGTTGCTTGTAGGAGCTGACGGCTTTTTCAGAAAGAGCACAAGGAAGCAGGCGCCCACTAGCGCAATGCAGGATGTAAACCAGAGCCTAGGATCCCACACCTGCAAGCGCATCTCCTTGAATCCGGCGCGAATGTTTAAGAGGCGGATGAGGAGCGAGCGGGCAGCCTCGCTCTCGTTCAGCCTGCTTGATTGTCAGCATCATAACCGCTGTTATTACATCTGGTCGAGTACTATGGTAGCTCAGAAAGCGCAAATGCTTACATTGAGGACTAGATGCAATAACGGTGGTAGAGGAGATGGGTTTTGGATTCGAACTGCTACCAGTCGTGCGAAGGAAGGAGTTAAAGAGTTTTTCGAGAAAGCGAGGGGCATAGTGTCAACTCGGCTTAGATTCCTGGTTCAGCGCCGTAGTAGCACGAGATTAGGCACCCGTGAGGCGGTGCCGAGGGGGCTGACTTGAAGCAGCTTAGAAGCTAATGTGAGCTTACAAAGGGTCACACAAGTCTCACTTTGTTACATCCCAGTTTAGCGCGACTGGGCTTCGCCTACTAATGTCGTCATGAGATACGCATAATCCATACATACCTCACATCTCCATAATTACTTCTATTTCAACAACCCCAAGGTGCGTCTCTTAGCTATTTGGTCAAGGAAACAAGTAGTTCATGGAGATGTATCGTGGATTTTCTTCTTTTCTGCTATTGTATTAGCCTAGATTTATCCTTACTTTTACTAAGTCTTTAATGCTGGTCAACCTTTTCATTATAATTGTAGAACGCTCTTTACATGGAGTGCTAATGTCACTGTACAGTCTACGTCTTATAAACATATACTTTGTTTAACAATCTCAAACCCTTTGCCTTACTCTGCGGCAACGTAGTCATTTGTTAACTACATATTGCTTGAAGCTTAGGGTTCATTAAAGGCAGAAAAACTCCGAACAAGAGTTTGAATGAGATGTAGAGGCCCCCGATACACCTGCCACCTAATGGGGGACTGCATCATTCATACTTCCTCTCCCAGCGCAAAGTAGCTCCAGCCCCCAGCTCTTTCTGATCACTAAACGCAATCCTCCCCACATCATCCTCCGGCTTGACATCCTGAATCCTTACCCACACATCCTGCAGGTGTCTCGCTCGATCCGACCCCGAGAGCGAACTTCCTCCCTCAGGCACGCGGGTCATGAAAGCCGAGTCCCTGGTCAACGACGACACGCCACAGAACAGGTCCGGGGCACGTGTGAGCGCGCTGATAGTGACACTCGCAATCGCGCAGACGGCTAGAACGGTCGTCGAGACGAGGTACAGCGTCAACCAGGCCGGCTTGACCTCGTACCTCGACGGCGTGAACTCCGTCCACGTCCCGGTCGCGTTGCCGTGCTGCAGCGAGGGGCTCCCCGGGAATGAAGGGTCATCCGGGCTGTCCGTACCGTTGACGCCATCGGCACCGACAAATTTGCTCGTGTTGAGGCTGGCGTGGAAGAATGAGTTGACGATGAGTGCCAGGCGGGCCTGGAAGGTGTCCAACGGGATTCTTGTGTAGTCGCCGACATCGAAGCCACTGAAGGATGTCGGGGGGTCCAGGAGGTAGAGCTCAAGGCCGGATGCCTCGCCGGTGCGGCTGGACTGGATAGTGTTGGGGATGTCGTAGAGGAACTCGCCTCCACGCACCCCCCAGTTCACAGCGCTCCAGTTCGAAGGAGGCATACCTGGTGTTTCTCGCATTCTTATCGCAGCGCAGGATAGCGTACCGCCTACCGTTGCCCGAACGCAGTTGACTTCGGTATCCACGTATATAGCAGTTGTCTCGCAGTGAGTCATGTTGATTTGTTCATACAACGTTTCAGAATACAGGGACCCTCTGATGCCAAACACCACGACAGCCCTCTCAGCCTTGTTTGTAGGCTTGATCAAGGGGTATGGTAGGGGCGGGATTTTGTCCGTCTGGTTTGTTGGGAATAGAATGTCAAGGAATATGTTGCCATTGGTTCCACCCGGACCAGGCTCCCTGAATATTGAAGAGTTGGTCAATTTATGCTTTCCAAGGCGGCCCGGATTATGTTGAAGCCATTCAGTACCATTGAAGAAAGGAGCACACTAATACGCTATGTCAACTAACAGCTGTGAAGGAGCCATTGGGCAGCTTTGGGCACTGACCGAGAGAGTGTGGTAGACCGTCTGCAGAGCTGTGCTCACGTTTCCAATGGAGGACAATGGGATTTTGCGAGTTGTGTGGCCAACCAAAGACGAGTACGGAGCTATATCAGTCTGAGATACCTCCACCCACCTGCTCCTATCATCGTCGATGTAGCCCGGTAAAAGGTGGAGAAAGGGGATCCGCACGTTACCCCAAAGGTCCATCCGGGCAGACTCAGCTGCTTGTAACTCACCTCCCAGTCTTGCTATTGCAGCATCGAACCCTGAACTAACGCCTTTCGAAAACAAGACTGCAGCATCAGGAGAGGAGATAGTAGCGTCGACTACTCGATGTAAATCTTTTCTGGCCGATTGTGCACTGGAGGCACCAATAAACGGTGAATAGTTTAAAATGGGCCAAATACTGTTGGATGGATAGTATATCAAGTCAAAATCATAGGACTGCCTATGGACGGCGGATTCGACAGATCTGAGCACTGCTTGACCACCAGCAGGGCTGAGACTCCAAATGACAATCAGGACGGCGGTCCAAACCCGGAAGATTCGATGGCTGAAACATCCGCGAACCGTGCTTACCAAGGTTTGACTGGTGGTGAGTACTTCAAGGGTCTGTGTACTTGTTAAATTTACTCAAGCACGCATAGACAAGAACGTGACTTGCCCCGAGACTTGTCCCCCTTTCGGCATGAAATAATGTGATCGCTTTGAGCATGGAACCCACTACCGCGGCATACAAGATAGGCCACAGTGTTGAAGCAATTTTGACCGCTTGTATCACAATATCGCCGGCATCCTGGTCGGGACTTTCAGGTTGTCCATTTAGTCTGAGAATGAAAATACCCAGAACTGTAGTCGATGTTATTCCCAGATGAAATGGCGAAATTGATTGATACCATACCATAAAATGCTGACGGCACCAGCAAGAGAAGGATGTTCGGGAGCAGTCGAATGAATGTGGATGGAGATGAGCTTTTGAGAGTGTTTGGAGATGTGGGCCAGTCCAGAAAAGGTGATTTCTGGAGCTCTGAAGCCGCTTGTGATGGGGCTGAGATCTTTGTCAGTCGAGAAATGTTTAGTTTGGTCTTACATACCATTTTCCTCGTCAAAGGGTGGATCTTGAGGAATATTGTGAGTTAATAATTGCATCTCAGCAGAATCTGATTCTTCCGTACGATGCATTGTAGAAGATCGCTAGAGAAATTGGTCGATAATGAGATAAGAGAGCACAGGACGGACGAGGACACAAACGAGGCTGGAGAAATAGGGGGGATATGTTCGGAAAACTTATTTTAGGAAAGAGAATGTCAGACCGCAAGGCTACAAGAGTGTGGGGGCGCAGTGATGGCATGATACGACTGGAAAAGCTGTGAACAGATTATTTGCCTAGTCGTGTTGCACTGATGCGCATTCCACTTTCGCCACAAAGTGGGGTCAAAAGTTTGTGCCACGAGCCTTCTGATCTGCCTAAAAGCAGACAGGAAGCTAATGTGGCGGAGCAGCTAAGCTGATGGTACACATGCACCGCGAAAATCTATATAGCCAATGTTCTCCCCGGTGGTGGTATCACATTGACATATGCTGCGATACCATCCCCCATGCACCGCCGGCTACCCCGATCAGGCTGACAAGAATGCTACATCCGAAATTTGTCCGCCGTCAACCATCCTGCTGTGCTCCACACCGTTGCAAATCTGCTCCCGACCGGAATACTGCTTCGCATGTTCGACTGTTTTTACGGGTTGAAGGATCCCAGGCAGAGGTGGGATGCGATAAACAGAACAGCCGAGAAACGTAGCATTAAGTGGACCTGCCTCATCAGCCACTTGTAACCACACTTCACAACTGCCTCGTAGGACGAAAATACCGAGGAGGAAAAAAGCCAGAAATAAAAATAACTGCCACACCGTGATAAATCAGATCCCGTTCGCGCTTAATGGGGCCTTCGGAAATACCGGGGAAAAAAAACTGTTCGTGATACGAGCTATTGTATCTAGTTTAAAAACGGTTCTAGTATAAAAAAAAATAAACAATAGAGAAGTTTGAAGAAAGCCACAGATTTTGCAACTCTGTTCACATTTGGATGTGGAAAACGGTAGAAATATGGCTGTCTAACCAGCACATAACGCATCAGCAAGAGGCTCCAAAAGCCTTATATGCCTGACATAAGACTTCTAGTAAAACAGTAACCCGAAATTGACCTTAGCGCCTGTTGAACAGTGCAACGTGATTGAATTGTACACTGCTGAAGAGCAGAATAACAGCGAAAACTACCTGTTTATATACATGGCTGTTGTGTGCACGCGTCTTGAAGTATCGTGAGTAAGTCACGCTTGGTGGTGAGATAAACAGGGGTTCTGCCTTGGTGTTGAGAAAAGAACACGAGATATACGGCAAATAAACTCGGGGCAAAAGTAAATGCACAGTCTGACAGCGCCCTTTTCTCAGTATATCAACAATCTCCTTATGGCCCGTCCGTCTTGCAAAGTCCACCGGCGTCGAGCCACGCCAGCCTCTCGCCGTAACCCTGGCACCATTACTGAGCAGCAGTTCTACTAAAGACATGCTTCCTTGACGCGCGGCGTAATGCAAAGGCGTAAGTTTTGACTTATCCTTCGCGTTGACGTTGGCACCTTTGTTGAGTAGTAGCAACGCCGTTGCTTCATCTTCCTTCTCGACAGCTAGATGCAATAGCGATATGCAATCTATGCCTTTCGTGTTTGGATTAACGCCGCTACTGATGAGAAACGCGATCATGGCGCTTTTGCTGCAGTTTATCGCGTGCCACAACGGTATTTTCTTTTTCAGTCCGCACGCTTTGTTTACGTCTGCACCATTTTCGACCAACAACCGCACCAACTGCTCATTTCCGAAGTGCACAGCCCAGTAAAGGAGCGTTGCAGTTTCGGGGTTCGCCATATTGACGTCGCAGCGATTATCAGAGAGTAATCGCATGATCGCGGGCTTGAACATATATCCGATTGCTATGTGCAATCCCGTGCTGCCTTTGTTGTCCATAAGGTTCGGATCAGCTCCTGCCCCGAGGAGTCGTCCGATGATAGGCTCATTTTCGGTACTGACTGCCATATGTAGAGCCGTGTCACCGTTGTTGTCCATAAGATTCGGATCGGCTCGAGTCTCTAGTATTCGTCCAATTAGAGGCTCGCATCCGTTTCTGACTGCTATATGTAGGGCTGTAGTCTTACCTTTGTCCATAATGTCTGGGCCAACTCCATTCTTGAGCAGCGTGTCCATGGTAATCTCAGAGCATGCAAATACTGCGCGGTGAAGTGATGTCTGTCCCTTCGTGCATGAGGCATTTAGGATAGCTGTCTTGCGGTGAACGTCGCTCCCACACCTAGCAAAGAACTCGGCAAGTAAGTCGTAGAACATCTCTGCATGCCCTCGATCGGCTGCTAGATGTAAGGGTAGCTGCCCCAAATCATCCTGCGCCTCAATGTCGGATATTTTGAGTAATGCCTGGAATGAGGTGCGGTCGTTCCGTAAGACTGCGTAGTGCAGTGCTGTCCTTCCTGTGCCTGGTTCACGAATCAGTTGATCCCCGTTTGGCCATAAGGCTAGGATGGTTTCATCTGATATTCTTTGGAATTTTTTGGTGCTCGGTTTTCGGGGGGGACGTCTCTCTTCACTTTCACTCTTCTTGACATATTCCCATGCATTTGCTTGTTGGTTCGCCGAGTACCTGTTTGCATCGCCAAGAATTCTTCCGTCGATATTCACGTATTCCATCTTCGGCAGGCCAGGATGGAAGTGAAGCGCGCCGACATATTGGAAGCAAAGTCCCTCTCCTACTTCCTCTTTATGCTTTAACTTAACCAGCAAAGCCCTGGCAACAGTCTGAGTACCGCACTCGGTCAAAAGGACACATTTGTCGACATCTTGTAGAGCAAGTTGAAGTTGCATTTTCAGCAGTAAATGTGTGCCAGTCCAGACACAATTTTGCTCGACCATGTCATTTACGGGGACTATATCCCACGTGCCAGCAAGATCCAGGCTGTCTTCAATTGTCAGCGAGGGAGTCTGTCCAGAGATCGGAATACTGAACAAGTTGATTGGACACCAGCTGGATCCTTTGAAGATAGTCGCCGAGTTGTGGAACAAATGTCCTGCTGATAACTTTCCTATCCTTTTCAGGATGCTTTTGTAAATATCTTGTTGAAGCACACCTTGACTTTGCGATCGAGGCGAGATGTCGACACCGACTAAAAGCCCAGAAATGATGGCAATATCCTTCGGCCAAGACGTGCAACGCGCACCCAAGACAACCAAGAGGTCATCGAGGGTTGTTACTCCCCTTCTGAGGCTTTTGATTAGGTCTGTCGCCCGTTTATGCGCCTCAGAAGCGTGTTCGTCTTTTGCGAGGATTTCCTCGTCAAGATCCTTTACCAACAACCCATGAGGGCCTCTGAACAATACCTTCACTCTTCGCGAATTTGCCAATTCAAGTGCCGTCCAACCGCGGCTAAACCAGGGTGACATAAGGATGGCAAAACATGCAGCCTCAGCATCAACCCATTCGGAGTTTCGCAGAAAGCAATCATGCACCAGAGTCAGTCTAGCAGCCTGATAGCTGCTCTGGATCCCGCGAATCGCTCTTGTGCGCGCTGCCTTCTCCCTCGGGATGCTGATAGTGTCCCACCATATCCCTTCACACCCCAGCATCTCCGCAATATCGTAGAAAAACCGGTACAAGCACAAGTTGACACTTCCAGCAGACCATGCTCCAGCTCCAGTCCCATCTGACCAAACATGGGAGATTGCCATATATGGCCGATGAGCCGGAAGTAAATATGCATGGTTTATCACGCAGTTCGGTCTAGCGGCCCGAGAGCTTTTGAGCAGCGAACGTCGAGATGACCGAGCATTGAATGCCCAAACGGTCGATATGCCGTCCTTGGCAGCTTGCACAAGTGTGTCTTGATGAAACTGGATACGCCCACATCCGGTTTCACACTCATGGCGCTGTTCGACGGTCGTGAAGTCGCGTTGCGAGTATTCGCAGAGATCAATGGTGCATTGCCTGTGATCGTCCGGGCATTGAATCGCCTTGGCTGCTGGAATAAGCCTTGGAAGATCGTGTCTTGCTACTGCCCACACCCTGTTTGGGCAAAGGTTGAAGGTAGCCGTTGCCTTTTCGAACGCTTCTAGGACTTCTTTGGGCGATGCTGCAAGGTCGAAGCTCATGGTACTGACGATGTCGTAGCTGTTTGCGGTTTGTTAGCCGACCGCCCTGCAAGGCTAGGGCCCCGCCTCTGGAAGATCATCGTACAATTTTTCGCGAGGGATGATTGTGATGTGTAGGTGAAGTTGTAATGTACTCGACTCTTCGAAGAAACGAGGTCGATTGTTCTCGCGACCAGATGCTAAGGGAGGTCGGAGTTGAAGATGAGAGCGGCAGTGGTAAGGCAGCAACGGGTATTTGTTTGAAGAGGCCACCCTGCTCAGCCTCCTTCAAATCGAATGCATAGCACATGGTTGGCGAATGTGGTGGCCAATGGGAGGTGAACAGCAATAGCTGCATGTGGCTGTGCCGCTTCATTGGAGAGCCCAGCAGCACTGTGAGCTGTACCGAAGCAAGCTCGTCGGGTGTACCCGCTGTGGAGATCAAGTCTCACGTGGCAAGAGGCGGGCTCTCAACGCTGGGACAATCACTGTTAGACATTAAGAAATCCCAAAAGGCGTGGGTCTGTGATTGCAACAGGCGATGCGAACAGCCGTCTCAAGATAGAGCTTCGACCCTCGATGCCGCGAGAAATCTCCGACCAACCTGTGCGAAGCTCAATCCTTATCGCGCAATGATCAAACCCAAGATCAGGAAAGCTGATACGTTTCAAATTCCCCCGCGCGATTGTGTTTCGCGTCAGCAGCAAGGGCGCGCGTGCACGCACGCATGCATGGGGCCATTGCGGGAAAAAATTTGGTGAGGGTCTAACAAGGCGCAATCCAGTGCCTGAGGATGGGGTGACAATGGTGCGTACCTGCGCAGGGCACCGGGAACGGCTGGAGCCGAGCTAGCCCTACGTAGCACCAAATCAGCTACAGCGTGGCATTTGTGGGGTGATGTGCGGGCGAGATTTCAGCGATTTCAGGAGAAACCCTCACCAAAAGTGCCGACGGCAGGGCGCTCGCGCCGAAAACATTCGATCTGGCCGATCATGCCGATCCGGGATGCCGACTGCTACTTAAGAAGCGTACGGCGCACCGACAACCAGCCCTGCCGCTCTGCTCACCCAACCCGGGCGTTTGCTCCAACTCCTGCCAATTGGAACCCTCTGTCCCCTCTCTCGGATTACGGCATCTTACGCAATAACAACAATGGCCTCATCATCCTGCCCCGCCGACGACCCGATGACGGCCCGGCTCTCGTGCGCCGCGTCGGCCCTGTACGCCAACCGCGCCGACTACTTAAAACCGGTGCTGGAGCAGGGCTCGGTGCTCGTCTGGATCGCCATCTGCACCGTCATCGTCCACATCATCGTCAAGAAGGTCACGCCGCCCGAGAACGACGCCGAGAGCTGGAATGGATTCGTGCAATCAACGTACGGCGACGACCGCGACGAGGCGGGGAAGACGTAATCATTATCACGAATCGAACGACGATGACGACGACGACCACCGGGGGAAGAGTTGTTGCGCTTGGACGGGGGGAAGGCGGTTGGGCAGCCCTGTACGATTTTCTTTTTTCTCACGCCAGACGAGGGAAGCACCGGGCTGACGAGTGGGTGGCAGACGGCATTCGCGCTTGGAGCATTCGCCACGACGATTACGACGCTCGCGTGCGCGCTGGTGGAGTGGCGCGGGCTGTCGACGGCGAACGCGTTCGTCGGGAATTTCTTCTTCATCGCGGGCATCGGCATGGTTCTCTCGGCGCAGTGGGAGCTGGTGCGCGGCAATTCTTACAACTATACTGTATTTAGTGCTTATGGTGATTACTACCACTCCACCACCAAAACTAATATCTTGAAAAATAAAGATGACTTATGCGAATTCAGGCATGTTCTACGGCGGGTTCGGTGCGATTTTGACGCCGTTGTTTGGGGTCGAGGCGGCGTTTGCGGATGATGCAGCTGGCTACAACAATGCCTTAGGGTTCTTTTGCATCCGTATGTTGTCGTTGTGTGCATTGTGAGAGGCTGAAGATCTGACGAGTTGCAAGTTTGGACCGTTTTCAACACGTTCTTCCTCATGGGCTCGTTTACCACGTACGTCTGCCGATCTCCAACGCCGGTGTATTTGTCTGATAAAAATGCAGGGATGTTGTGACCATCGCAACCTACTCCGCCCTGGAAATCTACCTTTGTCTGCTGGGTGCCAGCTATTTCGTGGCCGCAGATGGCCGCGCAGATGGCGGTGTTGCAATCAAAAAGGCGGCGGGTTCGTTCGCCTTCATCGCCGGAATGCTGGGCTATTACAGTATGGGAAACGCCATTTGCAACGATCAGGGCCTCCCTTCGTATCTGTTTCCGATGGGAAAGGTCAACTTTGGACGGTCGAAGCGGAATTAATCAGCGCGTCTCCATCTATCGTCAGGTGGGAGATCCGATTTAATGCAGAAAGCCTCTTGACTTTAGTCCTGCACTAGCTCTAACGTGTTACCGATGTTTGAAGGCCGTTTAGTTGATGGGTTGTGGTTGATAGGGGTGGGAGAAGCGGAGAAGATGAGTCAGGCGACGCGATGTTCGGATTGGGAAAGCGCGGCGCGTCTTCTCTTCTCGCACCACCTCTGTTTCTTCACCGTTCACCTTGACCATCATCACCACTATCACCGCTGCAAGCACCGCTACGCTATGCCATTCTCCGAATCTTGCGTCCGCGAGGCGTGTGTGGCGTTCGACATGGCTCCTATCGAGTCATCCACCGACGCGGGGTCCGAAACGCGCTGGTGCCTGGACGTTGGAGCCTGCGCGACACCGTCACCACTACTTCGAATCCGGTCTCCAGACAGTCGCGCAGTGGGAGACTCATCACCCTTGCTCTACAGCGACGCAGCCGGAGTCTACCGCTGGAAATAGCTCGATGGATGGCCTAATGTTGAGCGCGACACCGCCACAATGAAGCGCGAGGCAATCCTTCACTCCAGATTGCACGTAGTACCTGCATTCTGCGGTACTGCGCCAGAGCTAATCATCGCCAGTAGCACTGTGAATGAGCTCTGATAGACTGTGGCTGCAAGATGATTCTACTCACGAAACGTCAATGGCTGGAATTATTATTGGTGCGCCAGATCGATTGCAGACACCGCCCCCGTTCCTTCCAAATAAGGCAAAAGTAGGATGCGACGCTCGGGCCCAATGACCTCCAACCTTCTTCCGTGACTCAGCCCGCTTTGTTTCCATATATAAACCCGCCTAATGCATCAAGTCTTGGACATCATCAGCAACCATGAATACCATGCATACCATGAATGCGATGAGCTTCAGCGCGGACGCCACCCGCCGTCGGGTAGACGCCGTCTGGAAGCAGCCCGCCGACGCCGAACGCCAGCGCATCGAATACATTCCGCTCGAGAGCGCCCGTCAGTTCTTCGCCGTTGACGCTTCTGGTTCGACTGCCGGCGCCATCATCGCCCGAGAGCATGAGTTCGTCAAGAGACTGACCGAGGGCCACCCCAATGATCAAGCCGCTACCTGGGGCTCCAACTGCAACGACCCTACCAACGACTTCTCCCAAATCTCCTGGTCCGCCGACCAGGGCGGCACCGAGCCTTCCCGCATTCTGAAGAACCAGCGAGCCCTGGACACCATCCTCGCTTCCGATGTCTGGTACCTGCTTACCGACGGCGAGATCTGGAACAATGATGTCCAGGTCTTGTGCAACCTGGCAATCGAGACAGGCGTTCTCAATGTCCCCACCATTTTCGTCATCACCGGCTCCAAGCGCCAGTCTCCCTCGGCTCTGAACGTCTCGGTCGGCATCTCCTTCTTCGCTAATGCCCAAGACGTCCTTGTCCTCTTCAAGGAAACATCGTCGGGCCTGTTGTACATCATCGCTGCCAAGGGCTGTTTCGCCCCCCTGGACCCCAACCACACAGATGGCGCTCCCGACCTTGAGAGCTGGGCTCCGCTGAAGGAGATTTACGACGAGGCCAAGCTGGTTGACCTGCTCCGCGCAGCTAACATCAAGGTTCCCGCTGCCCGGACCCGCCCCAGCCCTACTCCGGGATCCGTAAGCCTGGGGGCAGAGTGGGAGAGGCACAATCCCGGCCTACTCGTCAACCTGGATCTCCTCCTCAGCGGAGGCGGCCAGCTCAGCTACGACAACCTCGAGCAGCTGCTTGCCGAAGAGGCCCTGGGAAAGCTTGCACTGGCCTTCAAGACTCGCGGCCGCCTCCAGGACCTCCGCACCTTTTTAAGCTGGCAGAAGACTGACCAGCAGATGAACATCACTCTCGTCGACATTTCCGGCGCCCACAAACTAGTCGCCCAGCTCAGCCAGCCCGACCTAGATGACAAGACGCGAAATACCCTTCAGGTCGAGCTACGCGAGGCTCATGAACGCAACCGCCGCCACTACCAGGCCCAGGTCTGGAAGTACAAGGAGTCCGGTGATGCTCAGAAGGCGCACAACCGTCACAGGCTTCTGAGCCACGCCCTGGAGTACCTCGCCCAAATGGAGAACTCGGGCTACACTGCCGACATCCTCGCTCGCCGCAGCAACCGTGCTCGCCGAGCTCAAATGGTCTCGGACAGCAGCGAGATGTCGCTCCAGAGCCTCGACCTGGAGACTCCGGACGTTTTCCGCGCCACGTGTCACGTCTGCTGTGGCGAGAACGAGATCATGTCGATTGCAGTGAAGGCCGGTGCCGACAGCGCCGCCAACACGGACAACTTCGCCCTCGACTTCCCTCTCGCCGCCGGCCGCTTCAAGTCCAACAAAGACCTCATCTCCAGCCAGCTGATCTGCTTCCAGTGCGCCCTTGCGTTCCAAGGGAAGTCGATTTTCAACGAACAGCTAGCGGCGGTACTGCCGACGGTTGACTGCCATGGCCCTAACAAGAAGTACATCTCTGAGCAGCTGCACCGCGCTCTGACTGGCGGCCTCCGGGTAGGCGCGTCCGGTACCTCGCAGCTTTTCATGACCATCCTGGCCGGCACGCTCAGGAAGAAGGAATGGGCCGGTGCCGGCCTCTCCGAGGAGTCGATGGACGCCGAGACATCGGTGCGGCGCGCCATGTTCCGCTGGGCGCTGGACAACATGCTCGAGCGGACCAGCTGCAGGGAGACTTTCAACGAGCAGGGCGAGTGGGTCACGTACCCCAAGGCACTCGCGTGGGCGGCCACAGATTTCCGAGAGCAGCAGCTCGACAGCTGGGCCGTAGGCTACCCGGTGGCCGGCTTCATGCAGCTGATCCAGTTCGGCCGGCACGTCAATGCCTTCGATGCCCAAACAGCGCGTGACCTGCGTCTGGCGAAGGTGCTACACTCAGTCGCCTCTGCTTACCTGGCGCTGCTCTACAAGAACATGCACAGCGGCAGCCAGCTGTGGAAGCAGCCCCTCCTCGCCCTCATCTACGCCTCGTTCAACGCCGACCTCATCCCCCTCGACCAGCGCGGCGCCGCGTCCCTCCTCTCCGACCCGGCCATCTTCTGGCAGCGCCTGTCCGCCTTCCTCTCGGCCGACGCCGAGCTCCTCGCCAACTGGGACGCCGCCTCCATGGACCGCGCCATGGGCCGCGTGCAGCTGCTCCTCTTCTGGCTCGTCTACACGCAGCGCGACCACACGCGCGCCAAGACCTTCTTCCACAACCTCCGCGAGGACCAGCCGCTCGCCGCCGCCGCGCTGGACTGCCGCACCCGCGACCCCCTCTCCCCCTCCATCACCCTCCCCACCCTCCTCTCCATCTTCCGTGGCCCCGTCACGGCTGACCCCGCGACGCTCGAGCTGCGTGCAAGACATACCGGCCTCGCGCCGTTCGCGACGCCCTTCGGCCCGAGTGTCCTGCGGTGCTGCTTCCCGGCGTGCCGCGAGCCGTTCTTGGACGCGACGCAGATGGCCGAGGTGGAAAGGCTGGCGCGGGACGACAAGCCGTGGCCGGAACGCGTCTTGGACGCGCTAAGGCGTGGTCGCGCGGCGCACTTGGTTAAGGTTTTCGCGACCGAGGAGGCGTTCAGCAAGGAGAGTCAAACGGGCTTGCCCGCCGTGACGAGCACTCCCGAGCCGCCCCGCAGCACGCATTGCAATCTGCACGTCAGCGTTGCGCGGGTGTGGGCGGCAGTGGAGGATCGCGAGAGGCGTAAGGCTATCGCTGAGGCTGTTTCTGCGGGAGGGGCAGGGGAGGTGGTTGATGCGTTCGTGGCGGATGTGCGGAGGGAAATTTGCGGGTCCAGGCGCGGCGATGTGTTTCAGGAGGGGTTGGATGGGTTTGTGAGGGAGATTTTGCCGAGTTTTGTGGAGGCGGTGGGGTGTGCGGTTAGGTTGGAGCGCGGGGGTGGGGATGGGGATGGTGGTGAGGGTCAGGAGGAGGTTGGGGAGGTGGATGTTGCGGCGTATGAGCATGATTGGAGTAGGAACAAGTTGGAGGCTAAGGCGAGGTGGGAGTTAAAGAGGGAGAGGGCGGAGGCGGAGGAGTGGGAGTGTTTGTAGTGGATGGTGTTGAGATTTTGTGGAGTTTCTTTTTGGGGAGTTTTGTAATAGCGGGGTTTTGGGTATATCAAATTAGATTCCGAGAGAAGAGTACTGGTATATTAAACGGAGCAAACTTCTCTGAGCTTAGTATGAAATATGTGGGCTGTGGAAAGAAAGTTTGTTGTTGCTCATTAGTTTGAAAATATGTATTTCTGACTACTGCTCGTTTCTCCTCGGCAATTCCTTTTACTACATGCGTTACCTTGATATCTGCATTTGGAACTTGGCACGGTCAAATATCAACTAGTGAGGCGTTCACCTCGCATTTACATGTCGCGGTGCATTCAGCTTTTTCAAATTGCGAAATTGGTGATACTACATCGTCATTTTCAAGGCAGTTGAAAGTCTGCGTGGTTCTTTCATTCTAATGTAGTAGCAGTCTCCTTGTTCGGGATCTGATGACTGTCAGATAGCGGGTCGTATGGTGAGCAAGTTTCTTCGAATTGACGAAGAGTAGGCCGGTACCAGGTCATATTCTTGGCGCAAAACTCCAGGTAACGATCCACAGTAGCCTCTACGTCTGCGCCTAGCTGGCTGATTCTCAGATCAAGGAGCGCACCGTCGCAGATGTCCGAAAGCTTCACTGTGATTCCCTGCTCGGCAAGCCAGCTGTAACTTTGACACATATCTCTCGTGATACAACCATCTTCAAAGTGGTGCTTCAGTGCCACCCGGAAGATATCATCTTCGGGGCCCACCCACTCACGTGCAAGGAATAGGGCGGTCCACCTGGCAAAGTATCTCCTCGTATGCTCGAGAGCGGCCAAGAGCACTTCGTGCGAAACTTGATCGGATTCCAGTCTCCCACTGTCCACTAGGACACGGAATACATCTACCATGTGATCATCCTGCCTCTTCACGACAGTACAGAGCACGGCATCGTCAATTTGGATGTTTTTGTTGTAGCGCAGAAAGATTGCAACAGCGTCCGGTGGGTAGCGTCCGATCACAATGGTTGCGAGGTCCTCCAAGGAAATCGAGGGACAGGGGTGCATCAGGATGCTTTGCCAGTATCCATCCATGTATCCGCGATGAACCGTTTCTCTATTGACAGGCGTGTGTACCCTCAGTGATGATACGATTGGCAGTATCAAATTTACTCCGTATTTGACAAGGTACTCGAAGCAATGCTCATCAACTCGAACAGAAATTTCCGGTTGGCGCAAGAGTAATTTGAGAAACCTCTCCCTGTCCGGGGAAAGGTTCCAAAACGGATCTAAAGGCTCGACTCCAATGCGGCAAAAGAATTGTTCGTTCAGGTCAAGGTCGACCTTTCGTGAGCAAAGAAGATCCATCAGTTCCCAGGTCTTCTGGCTCCATGTGTCTGGGTTCCACTTCCATATGTCCACGAAAAGTTCCGTGTTTCCTGTCAACTCTGGCTCCTTCTCGAGAACAAGCCGCATGATATCAAGTGCATCTGCCATGTGGAGGCTGGGAAGCTTGTTCGGATGGTTCTGGTGGAGATAGTGAGATAACAAGGCGTGCCTTGTCTCTGGACTCAAGTGATACTTTCTACATGCTTTATCAAGCATGTTGAAACTTATCATTAAGTCAGGGTGGGCCAGTAGTGTAACTGTAATGCATTCGTCGTCTTCGCTTTCCAGGAACTCTTGGAATAGGTCGGGTACTGGCTTTCGACGCACAGGGCGGAGGGGGTCAAGGGCAAAGCTTTCAACCATTCCCAGTTTCCTTGCTGATTCCGTTACTCCCGTTAGCATATAGCTGGAGGCGATGTCTTCTGCGATGTCCAGGTCATGTACCGCCAGAAAGAGGTACCACTTCTGGTAGTCAGGCTTCTCCAAAAACTTTGAAAGAAGTGTTTGTGGCCTGCCCTCTTGCGCTCGCTCGAACCGTCGTGGCAGATATCCTTCCACTTTCGCATCGCATGGTACAAGGATTCCAGCTTGGACGGGCAGTATCTTCAGATTGAAAGCTGTCATAAAATGGAGAGGATGACAAGCCTCTCCAAAAAGTTCATTTCTCACTGAAGTATCACCACCTCGAGGATACATTGTCAGATTGTCGAAGACAAAATCCTGCCATCTTCGAAATGGAGAGTCATCAATGCCAGGTTGCCAAAGTAGGAATTGTCTGATCGTTGAGCGATCGGGTTCTCCGATGCTAGCCCCAGGAGTAGCCGCGAGACTGGCATCGAGGATGGACATGTATTCACCCAGGAATCTGCATGAATGCACCCACCAATCCCAGTGCGGACAGCCCAAGTGATGAGGACAGGATGACTCTTCGGATGGGAAGAAGAAGACACTGAGGCAAGCACGCGTAGGTACGACGTTTCGAAGATGAGCGGCGGAATACTCAGGACGCTGTAGCACAAATTCTTGTGCCGAGAGGTGCACAAAGCGAAATCCGTTGTCGCAGGTGACCAGGTTGCAACAAATATCCAGGAGTGTTGTCTCGTCTAGTTTGTCGTGGTACCCAGCACAAACTGCGGAGATAAAGGCTTCTTTGCTCAAAGTATGTCGCAATGTAAGTAGAAGCGATATAGCCCGCTCGGCGATTTGTTTTGTGCGGTCGTCGTACTCAAGAATTTGCGTATAGATCACATCGTAGGACTTCCCTAGCGTCGCTGGAAGTTTCCCGAGCTCGTCCCGGACAGCTTCAGGGATCTTGAACTTCCCGGAGTTGGAGATGTGTTCCAACTGAAGGCTGACCCAGCGGAACCTATAACAAAGATGTAAGCACAAGGCAATGCCCGAGGTAAGTGTTGGGAAACATACATTCCACCAGCCTTGTTCTTCAAAGTCGTCACAATTTCGTCTTTGAGAGATTTCGAGACTCTTCCCTCGAGTAATTTTCCCCTGGAAATGTCCTTCTCAACTTCAGCGACGATGAATCGATTGATATCATCCGAGTTGTTTGACGCATCAATATAAACGTTCGTCGCCCCCTCAAGTCTGTTCCTAATGTTGCCATCATCACGACTGGTAACAAAAGCCTTTGTCAAGCCCGACGCTTCCTGCAGAATTTGCTCCAGCGCATCAAGAAGATCATGGACGCTGTCAACACTGCACTCATCCAAAGCATCGAGAATAATGAAGGCCGGATCTTGTCTGAAACTAAGAACATCAATGATCTGGCTTGTGGTTTCTTCGAGTGAAAATGGTTCAACCTCCTGACCACGACGTGTAGCAGCTTCTTTCCGTTGTTTGAAGGTCGTTGCCACCGGGTCGCGAATAGGTTCGTCGGCCGAATCCGAGCAGAGTTGCTTCAGAAGGCATCGCATGATGCTCGTAGCGTCTTGTCTTTCAGGCTCAGCCTTGTTCCTCGAGCAGTAAAAGAATGCAGTGAGTGGCCGCTGAGATGGAGACTTCTCGGTAACATGATCGACAAAAAATGATCTAGTAGCCTTAGCGAGTGGAGTCCGTAAGAGATCTTTTGTTTAAACCTACAGCAGATAGCTCTTGCCGCAACCAGGCATGCCATGGACCCAAAGAATGGAAGAGCTTCTCGATCTTTCCCAGTCGAGAAACTCAATGTTCCGTAGCAGCCAGTTTCCTGATCCGTCGAGGCGCCTTGATTTCTTCGATGCATGATGTCTTTCGTGGGGAATCGTAGAAAGCCACGTCAGTAGTTCCGTTCTCTCGTTAACTAGTCTTCATCAACATTGCCAGCCATGTCGCTTACAGCCAATATACAACTTACCGTCTAACTTCTTTTTGATATCGGACATTTGTGCTGTAAGTCGGTTGACGGGGTCCTCCAGAGCGCAGAGATGCTTAACAACAAGACGTATGTCAGCGCCTTGCTCCCATAGTAGGTTCAAGGAGCTTTGGTGTAGCAAATGCTGAGTACGTGAGATCTTGTTCTCTTTAAATGTGATGTCATCCAAAAAATCATCAACTGCAGATTCGGGTGTGTCAATGACGCTTTTCGCAATCCTCTCTAGTTACGATAACATCAGCACTTCAGCTAACCATGAAACGACGGAAGTCCCTACTTGTTGTGTTACCGCTATAGTATGCCGATGCCTTGGCGAGAAAGGTCAGTATGGAGCTGTACATCATGACCATGTCTCCTTTGAGAGAAGATTTTTCATCGCCGCTCAGATGATCCATCAAGGCATCGGTTCCCCCAGAAGGGCTAAAGTATGCATGCTCCACAAGGGCATACCGCGTTATGAGGAAGGAAACATGCTCGACGCCCTCGAGCATTCGACCAAACGTCTGTGATTCATTGCTAGAAGCCTGTAAAGGTCAGCTATCGCACATAGTCGTGAGAAATGCTACTACGCACCTGAAGGAGGAAGCTCACTCCCGCCCAAGGCATTGCCGCATGCCCAGAGACATCAAGCCTGACAAGTGTGTCTCCCAGCTCCTTGAATTTGGTCACCCGCGCGATCATCTTATCGCACAGGTCGCGCAGAAACTTGGACTTCCCATCCCGTCCCTTGTATGTCCAGCGCTTGTTGAGGCAGTGCTGCTTCTTGGTCTCAACTTCGTCAAGGACGGCATTCAGGATGTCGAGCTTATCGTTTTGGAGACTTGCGAGAAGCTGCTGGTCGTCTTCGCTGAGATGCTGCATTGCTTGGTTCCAGAGACTTTCGGCCATTTTCTGGCATTCGTCGTTGCGTGCATTGTTGCTGCTGTTAGGTGAGGGAACTCCTGGTGGAGTCGACATCGTGAAATGTGAGAGCGCCCGACGGATGAGCGGTGCTGTGGTATGCTCATCGAGAGACAGAGACTGGAATGACGTGTCGAAGTGTAGCTGAATAAAGGCGGGGTTGTGCTGCTTAATAATCCCTGCAAGTTGCTGCGTGTTGTTGAAGTAGCAAGTCACATGCTATTCACGTGTTTAAATTTCACTTATTAGTATATATGTTCAGTCAATATCCTAAAGTCCAATAGATAACTTTCTCTTCCCTTTCCTACTCTTTACTGCATACCATTTCCTTCTTTGGTCGATCTTCAGCACATACTTCACCCCAGCAGCCACCACAATCATTTGGCCTACTCACGACACTCATTTTATAGTGAAGGTCAAGCCGAGCACAAGCAGGAAAACTTCCAGAATGGGCCAAGCAAATGACGAACAGGTCTATAAATGACCGGCAGGCAACAAGAATAAAATCACTGTGTGATCGCTTCAACTCAGGCCGGTTTATTCTAGCCGTGGGGTCGACAGACCCTTTTATTGGCTGAATAAGTGCTGTCTGCCGACCAATCGCACCCAATAGCTGCAACACTCCGCCACCGCTCACTTCTCTTCAACATTCATTTCCACTACATACATAAGCGCAACACTTGATGAAGCACAATTCATCGTAATACCTTGCAAGTTTCTTAATTTCCATCTGTAGGTATGGGAAATGATAGGGTAAGATATCAATGAACCAACTACAAACTATCTCGCCATTGTACATTGACCTTTGTACTATAACCTCAATAAAGAATTGAGAACTGGATCGGAACAGCACCGATACGAATTGCAATATCTTGACGCTTAAACCTGGATAGTCTAAGCAAAACTAAGCAAACCTATCCCTAGATTCATGAAGAGACGAAATGTTCGGTAAGCTACAGCAACTTAGGCTCTGCACTACACGATTGTTACTTCTTCTTTGATCCAGCCGTCTATCTCATCATCCTCCCACACTCTGCCCCGCCGCTCAACAGCATCACCTATCTGAAAACTTCCCACTCTGATATAAGAATCACTTATTCCGCCAATCGGCCAAAGAAGAAGACCTTCGAAGACCCGACAACCGCCAAGCAGAAAGAGCTTGAACTTGCTCTCAGCGTTGGACTCTTCCTTATCGTGTTCATTAGGGATCCAGTTCAGGAAGAATCTGATGGAATTATCGGAATGGTCCAGGGGCTGATCTGTTCTATACGGCGTCTCCCAATAAGCTTGGAAGTTGCAGGGAGGCTTTTCGGAAACAGGATGGAATACGCCATCAGTCGGCTTACTCGGGCAGCCACGAAGGAAACCCCGAAGTGTGATGCTTGATCCATGCTTGACGGCAATCATGGCATCTTTGACATTGTCTGGAGCCTCAACCTGATGGCACTTGACCGAGAATAGGTCTCGAACAGGGTCTTGGGGGACGCTGATCCGAATATGCCGATCGCACGAAGCCCAACTCCAGGATGGTGCAGCGTAGAGCTGCGATGTTTTGTCCAGGAATGGGCGTGTCAGTTCCCTGAAGGAAACACGAGGCCCCAAGTGGACTATCCAGAGAAGTTGTGACGATAGCAAAGAGGAAAGCCATATCCCCGCAGCGTACTCCATCGGCCCCTCCACGCCCTTCAAGGCTCGAATCATCGACTTGGCAAAGCCCGACACAGCAGCAAGTCTGTCGGTCCCTTTGGTTAAGCTTCTTGCAGAATAATCAGACACCCATTTCCCCCACATCTTATACGTCTCTCTCCGTTGTGGACATATCTTGTGCCATTTGGTCTTGTAAACTCCATCTTCGGAGACGATGCGATCATGGCAATCCATAGAGATCATGCAATCTCCAAAAACCAGTAGTCTCGGGCTCAGAATCTGCTCCTGCCAGACCCAACCTCGAGTGTTCCATTTCGAGGACCGTAAGTTTGGATCGAGCGCATTCGTGTATATGTCCTGCTCGAAGAGGTAGATGGAATAGTGACCGGATACGTTGGGGTCCAAAGAGGACTGGAAGGGTAGTCCATCAAGTTGTTTCCTCTGGCCGAACAGACTACCATTGCATGAAGTGGCGGTGGCAGCGCCAATGGTTAGCCAGGAGTGCGCGAATATGTCGGCCATCTTCCCAGATTCTGTGGCCCAATCTTCTTTACTATCTTGGATGATGCAAAGCGAATCGATCCAGAGATATCGGATGCCTAGTGTCCTGGTTACGGCTATCGTATCGCGGAAAAGCAGCGGCAAAGTGTCCAGCGGCATTCCTCTCTTGTGATTGTCGATCGTGCATGAGGTAGTCTTTATCGGCAGCTTTTGACCCCAGCAGTAGCTCAGGCAAATGTATCGAAAGTCGCAGTGTGAGTCTTGCTCCAGGTTTTCCTTGGTTTCGATCAAGATTGGGTCAAAAGTCTCATCGGCGCCGAGGTCTAGGAGCCGCTTCGGCACAAATTTTTCTTGCTGCCACTGCTTGCAGCCGTCGACACCGCTCTCGCAGTCTCTGATCCAGCCTTGGATCATCTCAGCTTTGGCCTGGGATAGCCCTGCTTCGGTATCCAATGGAGACTTCTCTACACCGAGCCAGTCTCGACACGGACCTATAGTGCCGCTGTGGTAAGCACGGATATCGATTGAGGTTACGTCGCAAATAGGCTTACCTGGATCCATTGCAATTGGTAGCTGGATATCCTGTTGTCCACGATGAATTTTTGGGTGTTCGACGACAATATACAGCGAATCCAAATGGCCCCTGACCACTTCATGCCATCCATTCTCCTGGCTTCTGTACCTCCTCATCCCCGACCAACTGTGCTGAACCGAGTACCAGATCTCCGCTTCTGGCTCGCACCACCACTCTAATTTCTCATAGTACTGGGTGAAAAGTGCCTTGAGGAAGCCGCAAAACTGGCAACTTTCGGAGAGCTCCGGTAGGGAAGGCGGCGTGGCGCGCCGTCTTTCTCTGTTTTCGGGGTTCCCGCGCCACAAGAACCGTCTCATTTGTTCTCCATTCTTTGCGTACTCAATTGGGAGAAATTTGTCCGGATTTTTGATCGTGAAACACAACGTATTTTGGAAGCCGTCCCAAGAGTCCCCAAGGAAGCCTCCGTCGCGACCGTCGTCGACGTGTAGCGAGCGAGCGCAGAAATCACAAAGGTCAGGTGTGCTCGGTCCTTGGGCTTGGCTGGCCTCTGCGTATGTAGCCGTAATAGAACCATTTTCCCCGTGAAACGGCATCCGGGGAGTGACTCTTTTGGAGGGTGCCACCGTCTTTGCTTCCTGGCCCTGCTCTTCGAGGATCACCGCACTTCGTTTTCTGGGACGCTGTATTTGCTCATCGGGCGTGAGCTGCTTCTCTTGGACCCAGTCTGGCGGAGCCATGGTTGTCGTTGGGTAGGTATGGAAACGCGTCGGATGCGAATACAGTGTTTAGAAAGGGCGTACTTAAGTAAGGCTGCCAAAATGTGAGGAAGCTTGAGCTGAGGTTTGGTTTCATGAGCGAAGGCGCGGAAAGAACACTGGATGCTGCGCCACATCGTGTGCCGATCGAGGCTTGAGCTTGTCAACCCTCATTGGTTGGTCGCTATTATAGCACTTTCTTCAGCTAAGCAGGGTTCAAATACAATGATTCAGGCGGAAGGTGGCAAGACAGTGGCTGCTGCCTTGCCGCACGGACAGTTGCATGAAAAGTCGCTTCCGCCCTGGCACAGATTTTGGCAGCGATCGGCGGCTGGGGCTTTTCAATGTACAGCCCCTTCTCGCAGCCGATAGCTAGCGCGAAGAACAGCAGGGGTGTAAAATATAGCGTAACTATGCCCCCAGCTCTGCCTTGGAAAAATCAACATATGTAAGTATTTGAAGCTATTGTCCGTACGTATATGTAGAATTTTTAATTCGACATTCTCATCCGGACGATAGCGTCACCTACCCACGACATGAGGAAAAAACAAATCCACGCTAGCCATCGGCCGCGAGAGGGGACTGTATGTCTAGGCAACAAAGTGCACAGCCTTACCCCTCATGTCAGCAGTGCCCACCCGCCTACATATTTCTTTCAGCGTGACCTTCCTACAGGTCCCCAAACTCTCCAACTCAATTCCATTACAACTGCATCTGCCTCAACTATCACTCAACAGCAGACACGAGAAAGCCATGGCCGCTCCGAGTGCTCAAACCTTCGACTTCTCCTTATACGAGTACACGAGTCTTCCCTCTCCATCCTCCATTCGCCTCCTCAGCCTGGTGGATGACAGCGGCTGTCCGCAGTGTTAGATATTGACCCAAAGAGGCAAGAATATGTTGTAGGAAAGTGGAAGAAGGAAAGGTAAGTTTTTCTATTAGACTACAGGATAATGACTGAATATATATACATGAAGAGTGAAGCTTGAACACGTGACTAGCATGTGACTTGCTACTTCAACACGCAGAAGGCGAAAATATGCGGCAATCGAGTCATGTAGTACACTTTGAAGACAGTGGACCTCAACGACGATCCAGATTATGATGCACTGTCGTATACCTGGGGAAATCCATATCCCATGATGGGACTTTTTGAACCTTCAACTGAGTACGCGACCACGAATCGATGGCCGATCGTAGTCAACGGCAAGCTTTTTTACATAACCAAAAATCTTTTCGATGCCCTGGCTCAACTGAATCCGGGTACAACATTGCCAGATGTGCACGAGAGGTATCGTCCTTTCAACAAGACTGAGCTTATCAGGGCGTCGGAAGAGGGACGGGGTGCCGATGTCCGAAGTCAACTCGATCATGGCGCCATGGTCGATGCTAGGGATATTTTTGGGGAGACCTAATTGCACTATGCGGCGGAGAATGGACACTTTGCCATTGTTGAAATGCTGCTGCAGTCAGGCGCCGACGTAACACTCTTAGATTTGAAAGCTCGGACACCATTAGCTTGTTGCCTACAGCGAGAACGTCGTGAATCGAAGAAAGTAGCTGAAAAGCTCAAGGATCCCGCAACCTTGGCAATGGAAAAAACCCACACCAAAGCCGAGAGCGAGTGGCTGGTCTCTCCAGCGACCAATCTGGATCGATGCTGTCTGCATTAATCAAAACGACATCCCGGAGAGGAACGCACAGGTAACCATGATGGCTCGCATTTACAGATCCGCTCAACAAGTCAAGGTCTGGCTCGGTCCAGAAGAGAAACATACTCCCAGTTGGATTGATCGATTGGCGGCTGACAAGAACGGAAAATCAAGAGATCCCACGGAAGGCCTTCTGGCCGCGTACGCCGTTGCCCATTCACATGCACTGGTATCGAGTTTTGAGAATGACGAAAGTCAGATTAAGAGATTGTTTTACAGGGCTTGGTTTAGCAGAACATGGATCATCCAAGAGTTGGCCTTGGCGAAGTCTGTCAAGGTTCTGTGCGGCACGCACGAGTTTGACTGGACTTATCTCCTTGAGCACGTCTTGAAGGATCTAACCGTCTTCACAAACACTTGTGATATCAGGCGCGTTAAAGACGTGAATGTAAAGTCCATGTTGGGAACAGACGCAAAGCCTTGTGTTCTCGCAGACGCTTGGGTCCGAGAAGGTGCAGGGTCGACCGAAAGGCAGCATTCTGCCCGCACAACCGACTGCGTTCAAGGCAAAATCCTTCCTGGCGTTGACATGCGTCTCAGTTTCCCGATACTCATGGCCCTTACACGAGACTTCCAAGCATCTGATCCACGAGACAAGATCTTTGCCATATTGGGTCTGGCACGATTTTCTGGTCATCAGAGAATCACAGTTGACTATTCTCGGTCTGTTGTAGACATTTACACGGAGTTTGGAAGAATCTTCGTCGAAGCGTCTGGCAACAATGAGTTCCAAGACACCAATACCGGAGAGATGCAAGATCTGGAGCCCCTCGAAGGATTATCATTCGTTCAACAGCCGATTATTGAACACGATGTGTGTTATCACTGCACAAGCTTGCAAAAGACACCCGATCTTCCCTCTTGGGTACCAGATTTCAAGAACCCACTCGTTACGCCACCGCTGTTTTGTAAACGGTTTCAGACCGCTGCAAGCTCACAGTACAGCACTTACCAGGCTTCCGATAGGATTTTAAGATTGAGTGGAGGGATTTTTGACCGAATCACAGAAACAGAGGGCAAGTCAGCACGTTCGAGTTCAAGTGGAATCTCAGACAGCCGGACGTGGCTAGACTTGATTTCGAGGCTGGAAGTAACTTACCCCACGGGCATCGATCGCGTCGAGGCGCTCTGGCGGACTTTAACCTTGGATAGGGCTGGGACAAGCAAAGCTGAATTTCGAAAAGAGGTCTGCGAGCAACTGCAAGAAATACGTGCGAAGCTTGGCGGAAACGCCGTGGACTTGGAGTTACTTCAACGCCTCGCCACAACAGCAAACTCGGATCTACTACCTGCGGTTGCCGAGGTTGAAGCCACTACTCGAGAAGATGACGGGACCACGACCACGATTGGTTTCTACACCCGTATGCGACGCCTATTCCGGACAGACAAGGGCTTCCTCGGGCTCGGGCCGGCCTCTGTGCGGGCAGGCGATCAGGTCTGGATTCTCGCAGGAGCCCGTGTACCATTTGTGCTCCGGGACGTCTCCACCGAGCACGGCCCCGATAGCTTTGAGTTAGTAGGCGAGTCATATGTCCACGGGATTATGCAGGGTGAGGCCATGGCTGCGGGGGATTTTTACTTTTCCCCAATCAACCTTGTATAGTCAACGTACATACATATGCATAAACTTTTGTCTTGCCGGGCAGATCTGAGTCATCATTGAGCTACAAAAGTTTTTATAGGTATATCTACTCTTTCTCTTTTGATTAAAGTAGACCGACGAGCTTGAAAGTTATCGAACGTATCTCTGCAGAGCCGCAGAAACTGAGACGGAAAATACATTACAACGAGCCCCTCCTTTTCCACAACCATCCTCTCCTTTGAGTTCTACTCCAAGCCAATCATGTAAGCAACACGGCCCGCCCCACCGTTGGTCAGCCCATCTGAATAACATTCTGACCTCAGATTAATGCCATCGAGCGGGGCATTAGAATTTAACCTTAAACGATAAAGATGCAACGGGCGCATTAAACTGTCCGAGAGATGGTGCAATAGCGAACAACCGGACAAACACACAGGCCGACGGAACGCGCCTGGGCCGATTTCCGTTCTCCACTCGGATGGTCGTCAGCGCGACGGCGAAGCAGATGCAGCTCCAGCAGTGCGGATATACTCCTTCTCAAACGTTGTTCTGAAGAGGCTATTTGGCTGTGTCAAATTGACTCAGGCTGGCTCAAATCAACTCGGTGCCCGCACTGCTAACCGGACCGCGTCCCGGTGTAAGAGCTTGGCCGTGGCGATTACCAAGAAGGAATCCTACAGAAGGCAGTCAGACTGATTGCAAGCAGAATATCTAAGCAGGAGCGGCTGGCTAAGCAGGAACGGCGTTCGCGCTTCCAATAACGACGACCGGACGAATGTGCGCACCGCGCCTTGTCGCAGCCACAGATGACGAAACGCTCCTGCCAGAACGTTGGCGAAAGAAAGCCACACGGGCGGGTCTTAGTAAGATCAGATTTGGGTTGTAGGCGGATGCGTTTCTTACCGCGGGGGTTTAAGCGGCCTTTGCGATTGGAAATCCGGTATGGGGTAATTTTCTCCTCCGTGTTATGTCCGGCGGTCCTCGAGACGAGGCGCACCACAGACGACGGCGAATGCACCACGCTTACTGTACTCAAGGAGTGTGGGAGTAGTTTCGGAAGCCGCTACCTCCGTTTTTCGAACGCGATTCGAGGTTGCCTGATATGTTGCCGACTATAAAGTCTGGCAGGCGTTCGTGGAGAGCGATGCATTCAGATCAACAACACCTCCAGCGCTCCAAGAATCGCAATACCTATATCCTGAGAATCAGCTTCACACTTACCTGAAATCACCATTACTCCAACAATGGCTTCCCACCCTGAATTCGGCCACGACACCAAGGCTACTGAGGTAGCAGACGCCTTCCCCAGCCAAATCAAGGGCCGCGTCGGTGAGCCATCTCTTTTCCCCTTCAACCTCCTCCTTCCCTCCTACTGCTTCTCCTCTACTACTCCTCCTCCTCATACTAACACTTCCCCCTCCAGTCCTCATCACCGGCGTCTCCCGCGGCGGCATCGGCGGCGCCGCCGCGCTCGCCTTCGCGCGGCACAGCCCCTCCCTCCTCATCCTCGTCTCGCGCACGCAATCCAAAATCGACGAGGTCGTCTCCGACATCCACGCCATCGACCCGTCCGTCCCCGTCAAGACCGTCCTCGTCGACCTGACCTCGCAGGCGTCCGTCCGCGCCGCCGCCGAGAAGATCCAGGCGCTGACGCCGCGCATCGACGTGCTCGTCAACAACGCGGGCATGTACGTGTCGAAGCGCGGCTACTCGCCCGAGGGCATCGAGCGGCAGCTGGCTGCGAACCACGTCGGGCCGTTCTTGCTGACGAACCTGCTGCGCCCGCAGTTGCTCGCCGCGGCGAAGGACGCGGCGCCCGGCGCGACGAGGATCGTTAATGTGAGTAGTGAGGGGCACCGGATGCAGCCGTTCCGGTTTAGCGACTACAATGGGGAGAAGGTGGTGCAGGAGGAGTTGCCGGAGGAGGAGCGGGTGAACCCGGCGATGAAGGACCACCTGCCGCCGTGGGTGTTGGAGCCGGAGGAGGGGTACGTTGCGTTTTTGGCGTATGGCCAGAGCAAGACGGCGAATGTGCTGTTTTCGGTGGGACTGAATGAGAGGTTCAAGGGGACCGGGGTGGTGTCGTATGTGCTGCATCCTGGAAGTGAGTTTTTTTTTTTTCCCGTCCTGGTTTGGTGGGGGGTTTGTTTGCTGACGCGAGACGATAGCCATCTTCACCGAGGTGCTGAGGGACACTGCGCATCAGAAGGACAATGTCGATGCGATGATGAACGGACTGAACCCCAAGGCCGGCGTCGACGAGGGCGCGGCTACGACGTTGGTTGCGGCGATCGATCCGGCGCTTAATGGTGAGTTTTGACTACGGCATTGTTGGACCGGATGGAAGCTAATTGGGAAACGCAGAGCTGAAAGAGAGCATCTACTTGGATGATTGCCAGATCAACAAGGCGGAGCCTTATGCGATCGATCCGAAGAATGCGGACAGGCTTTGGAAGCTGAGCGAGGAGCTGGTGAAGCAGACTTTCTGATCTGCGGCCCGCGTGTACGATGATTGTCGACTAGTAGCGGTCTTTCCTATTCTTTTTCCAGAGAGCCAATAGATTGATGCCTAATTGCAGAGGATGTCGGTGTGTGGAAGTGAGATGATGTCTGCAGCTGTTGAGATGTTCGGTGTCCGCGGGACGCGTGGGAATTCGTAAGGCAGGCCAATAGCGAGGCGCAGGGTACGTGGTACCTGGTGCCTGGATGGTACGACGCGGAAGCCAACGATCCGAGACTCCGTTTTGGACCCTTTTTGTTGGCACTAGGCGGTGAAGCTTTGACCGGGGAACAGCCGCCAACAAACGCGTCTCCCGTCTCAATCCTTCGCGCGACTTCCTCCTTTTGCGGCGCGTTCCTCGTTATTTACCTGTCAATTGACAAGCACGCGTCTCGTTGTTTACTCTTATCCGCATTCCTCGCGACAATGGCCTCGATCCGCGCTCTCAGCATCGTCGGCCTGCTGGCGGCGCTGCTGTTCCCCGTCTACACCTGGCTGGAGAACAACCTGGAGTCGTTCTACATCTTCGACCCCAAGGACCTGCACGACCTGGCCAACCGCGCCATCACGGCCCACGGCAACGACACTCGCGCCATTGTCAGCTACATCACCACCGAGCTGTCGGGCCGCGACCATCTCACCAGCTTTGTCAACCTGGACGAGGAATGGGTCTTCAACAACGCCGGTGGTGCCATGGGTGCCATGTACATCATCCACGCTAGTGAGTCGCACTTGAGTTTCATGCGACGAGACGGGCTGACAGAGGATTGCGCGCAGGCATCACCGAGTACCTGATCATCTTCGGTAAGCAGTGACAAACGCAATCTACCAACCCGACGCTGACGGCAGAAGGCACCGCCATCGGCACCGAGGGCCACAGTGGCCGCCACACCGCCGACGACTACTTCAACATCCTGACCGGCACCCAGCTCGCATACGTGCCTGGAGAATATGAGCCCGAGGTACGTTTGCAGAGACAGGACACAAATTGGCGGGTCGGCTGACGGAAACAAAAGGTCTACCCTCCGGGCAGCGTGCACCACCTGCGCCGCGGCGACGTCAAGCAGTACAAGATGGACTCGTCGTGCTTCGCCATGGAGTACGCTCGTGGCTGGATCCCGCCCATGCTCTTCTTCGGCTACGCCGACACCTTCTCCAGCACCCTCGACTTTCCCACTCTGTGGGCCACCACCAGGGTCACCGGCCGTGAGATGATCGCCAATCTCCTGAAGAAGAAGCTGTAAATCCATCAATTGGTCGGTTTTGCGATAAAGAAGAAGGAATGCGTCAGCGGCGGCCGAGTGCTGCGGCGTTCCCCGCCAATGCAAGGCACCGCCCACGCTAGGCGCCCACGTGCGACATATCAGCGGAGATGTTTCCTGTACGAATATTGCCGCGGCATCTTCTGGAGTTGGATCAGATGTTGGAATGCAGCTCAAGGCAAGTCCGCAATTTGAGTATTTCAGTCGTCAGTCGACCCCTCCGTATAATAGTAATCAATCTGCCGGAATGTCGGCCCTTCTTATACGCAAACACGCGATCCCTTATTTTCCCCAGCACCGCCATGTTTTAGAATGTTTGAGCGCCTTGACCACATCTTCCTATAACCTCGGCCACCCACATCCTTGCCCGACGACGAGCCCAACGAAGGAACGGAGTAATAACGGGAGTGTCGCCGGGGTGGTCGGACAAATCCCCCCATTTTTTGTTCCCCTCCTGATTACCGATTGCGCTTCTCGACTATTGTATCTCGTTTCCAACGCCCCTTTCGGCATAACGCCGTGTCTATCACTGACGCGTGCGCGTCGCTCCCACGGCACTAGTCGCCGCGTGCTGCGGGACTTGCCAATGATAGGTACGACGGCCCGGCATCTATACACGACCCTAAGTCCGCGTTAGCCGGCCGGCCTTCAGAAGGAGAGCCGGACTTTCAAAGTATATAGCTCGACCGATCGCCCGCCAGTCAGCATGCCTGTTCGTCCTTCGGCAGCGCCATAGTCTCGGGTGAAACAAGCAACGGCCAGCCCGTTCCCACCACCACATCACGACTTTCCTTTTACGGCGACCACCACCACCATGGCCCCCACCACGATGACCAACCTCGGCGCGCTTTCCCTCCTTCTCTCCACCACCGCGCTCGCCGCCACCTCCCCCTACGGCCCCGTCAGCGCATCCTGCCCCGCCTCCACCGCCCTCACCCGCCCCGCCTCCTCGGGCGTCAACACGGACGAGGCATCCTACCTCTCCGCCCGCAAGCCCGCCGCGCAGGCCGCGCTCGCCTCCTGGCTCGCCAAAACCAACTCCGCCTACGCCAGCGCCGACACCGCATCCCTCCCCTCCATCGGCCTGACCGTCAGCGGCGGCGGCTACCGCAGCATGCTGACGGGCGCCGGGCTGATCCAAGGCCTCGATGCCCGCGACAGCAACGCGACGACGGCAGGTCTGTACCAGGCGCTGTCGTACCAGGCAGGTTTGTCTGGTGGGTCGTGGCTGCTCGCGGCGCTGGCTGGTAATGATTGGCCGCGCGTGTCGGCGCTGCGGGACGATTTGTGGATCGCGGGCTTGCAGCAGACGCTGTTCGTGGCGGACGTGGCGAACGGGGGCGCCATCGACGTCGTGGGGGATCTGGCGGCGAAGACCGCCGCCGGGTTTGACGTCGGGTTGACGGATGCGTGGGGGCGGTTGCTCGGGTATCAGATGCTGTATGGGGAGGATGGCGGGGTGGGGAAGACGCTGAGTGGGATCGCTGATGCGGAGGCGTTCAAGGGCGCGGAGGTGCCGTTCCCGATCATCACGGCGCTGGGCGTCAAGACGTGGGAGGGCGATTGCGACCCCGAGGCGGATGCGACGCAGTATGAGTTTACGCCGTACGAGTTCGGGTCGTGGGATGCTGGCGTCGCGGCGTTCGTGGAGGCGCGGTATCTCGGGTCGGAGTTGGTGGATGGGGCACCCGTTGCGAGCGGGACGAACGACAGCGCATGTGTGACGGGCTTCGACAACCTGGGCTTCGTCTTCGGCACCTCGTCGTCGCTCTTCAACGCCGTCTGCCTCCCCGTCAACATCAACCAGACGCAGCTCGGCGAGCACCTCGCCGGCTTCGTGTCGGACCTGCACGAGCTCGTCACGGACGACCTGTTCGCCCTGTACCCCAATCCTTTCTACAAGTCGAACACCTCGGATCTTGTTGCTGCGCAGGAGAACCTGCACCTCGTGGACGGCGGGACGTCGAACCAGAATAACCCCATCTGGCCGCTGCTGCACCGCGGGAAAGACCTCCTGGACGTGCTGATCGTCAACGACAACAGCGCCGATACGGACGACAATTGGCCCAACGGGACGGAGATCCGGAACACGTGGACGCAGGCGAGGGCGCAGTTGGGTGCCGCGTCGAGGATGCCGGATATTCCCGAGCCGGATGTGTTTGTGGCGGAGGGGTTGTATAAGAGGCCGGTGTTTTTTGGGTGCGGGGTTGGGAATGAGACGACGGCGGCGGAGGAGGCGGAGGATCTGTTGACGATTTTGTGGGTGCCGAATAATAACTTTACGTTTGCGAGTAATGTCGATACGTCTAAGTTGCAGTATTCGGAGGCGGAGACGAGGGGTGAGTCTTTTTCTTTTTTTCTGCAAACCTTATCCTTTTCTTTTGCCTTTTCTTCCTCTTTCCCCTCCGGACTTTATACCGCTGTTCTGTGGTACTTCTAAGGACCGTGAGACTGACTGAGATCCGTGTCGACAGGTATGATCGCCAATGGTCAACAAGTGGCAACTCAAGGCGGCGATGCGCGCTGGCCGGCCTGTCTGGCGTGCGGTATTATGGTCAAGAGCGGCGAGACGCTCCCGGACGAGTGCGAGGCGTGCCTGGCCGAGTACTGCTACAACTGAGAGGGGGAGAAACGAGTGGTGTAGCACACCTATCAGGGACGTGCGAACCTATTGATCTGAAGTCAGCCTCGTGTCAATATCATCTTCGGCAAAAAGCGCCATACTATATATACTCCACGGGCATTCCGCCTTGAAAAAAAATAAACACATCATAATGTTTTCTACAGCGGTGCCACTCCACCCGTCGCATGATGCCTACTCAACGGACAGCTCCCCGCATGCACCAACCCGCTCCCCCTCCACTCGACGCAATCCGCACCCGTACTACTCTTCGCCGCGAACCCCCTCTTATCGCAACAATGATGAAACAGAAAACACTTCCACCCCCGACTGAACTCTTCCGACCCGGGGAAATCCGCCATCACGCTCACCGCATACGCCGTCGCCGCCACCGCCGACGAACCACCGGCAGCAGCAGAAGCAGCACCACCCCCGCCGCCAGCCATCATCCACCGCTGCTGGAACGCGTCGATCAGCCGGTCCGCGAACCACTTGAGCAGCACGTTGCCGCCGCCGTGCTCTGCTTGCGGTTTGAGGGAGCAGATTTTCTTGGCGAGGGTCCAGCCGACGGCGAGGGCCCAGATTGCTATTGGTGGTGGTTGGGATGGCGGGGATGAGGACGGGGCGGCGGTGGTGGCCGTGGTTTGTTCGAGGAGGATTAATGCGGCTTGGAGCTGTGTCAGGAGGGTGTAGTTCATGGGCGTGTTGGCGGGGAGGTAGCTGTTCGAGGTCCAGAGGTAGGCGTGGGCGGCGTGGAGCATGACGAGGTCGGTGGGGTGGTGGTGGTAGGGGTGGTCGTGGTCGGCGGTGGCGTGGTGCGGGGAGGGGGCGCTTTGGGAGATGGGAGGTTCGTTGCCGCTGCTGGTGTCGTCGTGGTGGGTGGCGGGGTCGTTGGTATTGGAGGGGGGAAGAGATGCGGAGGAGGAGGAGGAGGACGCAGGTACGTGGGCGGAGGTGGAGGTGGATGGAGGAGAGAGATGGGACGAAGATTCCGATGAAGGATCAGAGGAGGAGGAGGACGAGGCGCTCAGCTTCGCCATCTCAACAAGCAACCTAAACACAGCATCGTCCAGCACAGCAGCCACGGCGTCCCTGCCGGCCGTCGACGACGCCAGCAGAGCCGGCTCCCACGGCGGCGATGCGATGATGCCGACGAGATGGAGGGCGTGGTAGATGCGGTTGAGGGGAAAAGCAGCGCTCTGCCAGTGCGCGGGGAGGTGCGAGAGCGTGCGGGCATGCGTGGCGCTGACGAGCGCCCGGAACCCGCGGGGAAAAGGAGAATGCGCGTCGTCGTCGTCGTCCGTTCCCGTATAGGTCGGTGTGACGGGCTGAAGGGTCGGAAGGAGTGAGTGGGCAGCGCAGCCGTGGTACTCGCACCAGATGATGATGCGTCGGGGCACGCGCGCGAACGTGTCGATGCCGCCGCGCATGCGGATGAGTTCGCGGACGGCGCTGAGGTGGGCGATTGCGGCGCTCTTGTCGCCGAACATGACCTGGAGAGAATGTGCGTGTTGGTGAATGGTGGATGTAAAGGGCTGCTGTTTAGGGGAAGGATCGGCCTTACCGCTGCGGCTCCCATGCCTGCTATTGCAGCGACGTAGGAGTCGGAGATTTTCCATGATGACAGGACCTTGCTGATGGATTTCAGAGCCCGCTCTTTCAGCTGGAAGTGGCGCGTTCTGGTTTTCGGATCAGGGCTGATTGTATCCAAGAGGCGTGCCGTTTCGGCGAGCATTACTAGCAGCGACGTCTCTTCTGCCGTCATTACATCCCATAGCGTATTGCTTCGTCTCACAACGATATGTGGCGATATGTTCTGTTGCTTGATTAAGGGGTCTTTTGCTGAGAATTAGCGGGGCTGTATGGTACGGTTGAGGGCGGATACATACCGTCGACAAGTGGTAAGCCGGGATATGCTTTGAGAACTAATTGTGGGTTCCTCTTAGCCATGTTTGAGCCTTAATCCTCACGGCGGTCACATACAGAATTTAAGGAGCTCATGCATGCCAGGAAAGTTCTTCACGGGTAAGGAGTCGAATGGATCTTCCCCCAACAGGCTCGCATTTAGTAACGGACTCGCTTCTCGAACAGGTTCTTTCTGATCTTCTTTGCGGCCTTGGATTGCGCGCCGCCGTCGGGCCTCGTGTGTCGCGAACATGACCTGAGCGCGTATTTTGCGTTTTTCTTCTCGATTCTTCGTAGTTCCAACATCCACGAACAGGAACGTAGACGGCGCCTTCGGTTCTTCAGAAGAAGATGAGAATGCCGCCGGTGCAGCTCGCGAGAAGGGCATGGTGTCGGATTGGAAGACTGCCATGGAGCTGGATAGGGGGTCCTTCTTCGCACCCATCGTAGCGGCGGTTTGCACCTAGAGGTACCAGCACGCCTGGAGACGTTGATCCTTTTTCGAAGGAGCGATAGTCGCGCAGATAAAAAGCAGCCCAACGGGAATAACCGTTGCACATATAAACGGCTTACGTGCATCCAGGCCGCACATCCGGGTGCCGGGATCGACGCCAAGCTACTTGAATTGGAAGGTGGTCCCACCCAACACCTGCCACACCACGGACCGCACTGTTGCCTAAACACAGGCACCTAAGTCAATTGGCTGTTGAGCACCAGGCAAGCATACTTAAGTCCCTATAAACTTCTTCTCGTCCCGTCAACCTGGGAGATGGGCCCTATTCTTGAAAGCGGGGCACAGCCCCGAATACGAGCACTGCCTTCTGTTGCATTGCTCTCGCCCCCACTTCCCAAAATAACCCTTTCGCAACGTCGAGCTGATTCCCCCCGCTCGTTCTCAGCCCTATCGATGTCTCAGTTCCTTGCCTAAGAACGTCCTGGATGGGCACGTGGCTATCGCCAAGGATCGGCAGCCCGGCCCATCTATTCTGCAAGCCAATAAAGTGGGGTGGGGTAGAAACTTTCATCTGCACGAGAATGTATAATTGTTGATGCAACATTTACTTCCGGATCATCGGTTCAACCACCAATGACACGAGCAGCAAACAAATCCTTCGGTTGCGACACCCCTCTATACATACAACGATCTCAGGTTGATCCGTTTAGTAGAAGTTGCCGCGTACACTCTTTAGCACTTTAGAATACATAACATATTTCTTCTCTCTGGAGCGATAAGAAATGGGATATGCTCCGTGTAACTACTAAATCATTCTGCTTTCGCCTTCACAAACCTCAAATTACCAGCGTCGTCTCTCATCAGCCGTGCCTGCACCTCCCTCGCTACACTATCCATCTCCTGACGGCCTTCAATGCGCCCCACCACGGCGTCTCCGTCCCAACCGCTCACCCCATGGAACAGCAACGGCATCAGCCCCGCTTTCCAGCCCCGGCCTTGTTTGCGACGCCCGACAGCCACGCTCGCCGCCAGAAACGCCGCGCCGGCACCCAAGAGCAGCGCGGGGAAGACGATCCACGGCCACCGCACCTCGACGTATATCTCGGGCGCGAAGGCGGTGCCGGCGTGGCTAGTCGAGTTCGGGCCAACCAAGGTCTGTAGAGTCAAGGCGTGAGCGACGGCGGCGACGGTGGCGGAGGTGCTGCCGGCGTGGGTGAGGAGGCTGAGGCCGGTGTTGAAGGCGGATGGTTCGCGCGTGGTCATGTACTCGGTGAGGGTGAAAACGAAGAAGTCCCTGAGGAACAACTTGATCGGGTAGCCGTCGATGAGCCCGACGGTGAAGTCTTGCTCCGGGGGGATGGACGCGGCGTTGCCGTCCGACGCGTGCATCACGAAGTATTGGTCTGGGATCGAGCTGGTGTACCCGGTGGTTGACAGGCTTTCTTCTTTCCAGAGGTCTGTTTCGTTTACTGAGTAATCGGCCATGGTTCCGTTCACCTTTTTGTGTGTCAATCCACTGATGGAGTAAGGGCTCGAGGTAATACTTGCCACCTTCACGTAGCGGAAAGTCTTTGCGCACCAGCGGAGATCACACTCCGTGATATCTACGTCGGCTTTGTACACGAAGCTCGGCGACCCGAATGCAGTTACCGCGTCCCAAGCAGACGGAATCCGATCTGACTTCGAGAAGGTAGACATGACCTCTGCTTGCCTCATCAAAGACGTCCAACCCCTGTACCGGCCGCGGCGGTCCTTTCTGGAAATGCTGCCACTTCAGCTGGCCCATGCCGGCTGCGACGGCGAGGAGCATCGATGTTTTGGAGACGGTAATGCAGGTCGAGATGAGCGTGTTGGGTGCTACGGCAAAACGTCAATTGTCGAACGGCGCATCGTCCAGGAGTGGGAGATAGGCTCCAGTTGTGACAATACCCCATGTTACGACACAGCGCCTTTCACCCGTGTCTAATTTGACTCATTATTTTATTTAGTGATCGTCCGGTGGCTGCTATGACGTTGATTCCAGGACACCCTACTACATACTACAGCATGGCGAGTTCGCTTTCGGTTACTCGCAAGGCTTGAAAAGCAAGGGCTACCCTGGCTTCTCCTCGGAGTGGATGAGGAAGCTGTGGTGATGCCTTTTCATTTTCTCTCCTGGGGTCATAAACCCCTTGTACCCTGGGGTTCAGAACAGGATGGACGTAAGGGGTCGGACCTCAGCGATTTGTGTGTGCAACTTAATTTTCCGACCGCGTGGATGGTTGAGGCAGAACCCCCTTGTTAACTGGATGCGAGGGGTAGGTGGAATGGATTATATATCGTAGAACTACACACGGCCTGGACAAACCTAGCTCCTACAGCCCCGTCACCCAGTATTTCATCATCATGACCCTTTTCTCCGCGCCCCCCATTGCGGATCCCGACGATGACAATTCAACCACCTACACGGCCGCCTCGACGCCCCCAGAAAGCGACGCCACCGGCCTCCACGATGACTACGATCCCATCCCCATCACCGCCCAACCAACGAGCTTGCTAACACCCCAGCCCGGACGCACCTGGCTCATCAGGGCCGTGTCGTCGGGCGAAGTGTTGACACTGCACGGAGGCAGGATCATTCTCTCTCAGCCCGCCGATCGCGCGTCGCACTGGGACTGCGTCGAGACGAACGGGTGGCTGGGGTTCCGGAATGGCGTTTCCGGAGCGTATCTGGGCCGCGATTGGTGGCTACACTTGCGTTGCTCGACTGGCTGGCACCAGCTGTGGGAGCGATTTCACGTTCGAGCGAGGCGCGAGGGTGTGGGGAGCGTGTTGCTAATGGAGTATTGGGGGCTGAAGCGCGTGGGGTGGAAGGTTGACGGTGGGGTAAAGATTCTGGCTGTGATTGAGGATTGGGAAGCTGATGAGATTGTTTGGGAGTTTGTTGAGGTTTAGTGTGTGGAGGAGGGGTGCTTGAGATTCGATGCCCTTTTGAATGAGACCGGGAGCGTTGGTTGGCTTGAGTTGGATTGAACCTTTTCCTCCTGTTTCTCTGTACACCGCCTGCCGCGTGCGTGCTATGCTGAGCGTCTATTGACCCTCCTCAAAGTTTTACACCGAGACGACGACTCACAACAACGGGAGCTGGGTCTAGGTGAGCGACGAGATCAAAATTCATGGAGATTTAACGAAGGTAGCGCTGGACAATATCCAAAGAATTCAGCTATAACATTTCGGGGTGTTGCTCCGAAGATATAGTCAGCATTTTTGACGATAAGGAGATCTCCGCCACTAATTTTTATTGCCTTTTGGTGGCGTTTGACCTCTGCAAGAATTCCATCAATTTTTCTGGTCTTCTCTTACAGCGTATCAGGAGTGGGTATCAGGAGTGGAAACAATATCCTATCGGCGAAACACCACAAGGCGAAGGGCTGTTGACGGTTGGAGGTAACGAGCCAGCCAATTTTGAAATCACACTTGTATGGCATTTCCATGTATCAAATCCAGGTGTGCTCCGCTAGCTTATGTGTCTCGTTGGATCAGTACCTGTTGTGCGGACAGTTTTGACGTGCGCTCATCGGAAGAACGACCACGCTACCGTGCTCAACAATACTCATATATTACTCGGCAATTGCACTGTTAGTCATGGGTGTGATGGTCTTTGTAAGGGCCAATCAGGTTGTTGACAATTGTGTTGAAGTTGCTTTGCGGATCGTGTGACTGCTTATTATCGGCATATGCACGAGCTGCGCCATGTTCACAGCTCACGGGAAGGCATCGGCAGGGCCGCCTTGGTACAGAGCTCGATCAATCATTTCTTGAGCGTGTAGTTGTCGGCCATTGACTGTTACGTGGCATAGCAAAGTGGGTCTAGTTCGAGCAATGGCGGTTGTAGCCGGTGTGGGGCCGCCAGCTGCAGGGCTGTAGCCCCGCTCAAATGGACTGATCCGATCGGCTATTCATCTTCTTACGACCCGATGATACTGAGGCAAACGGAAACCTAACGGCGCTGAAAAGCAGGCGGTGTTTGAATTACCTCATGCCGGCCAGTCACACAATCGCCATATATATTCATGAATATAGATTGAGCTCTCTATACTAGATAGCGTCTCTGTAACTATCCCGCTCATTAATTCGCACACGACCTATTGCTATAAGATATCTGAACTGACCATCCTGACAGTGCGTATAGGTAGCCCACAGCACGCATAAGATGTAAACCTACCGGGATATACATTAGAACTCCCCAGTTGTGAGCACTCGGTGTAATAGGTAACTCGCAGCCGGGAAACTACTCCGTACAGACTCCACTCCGAATCCCGGCTGACGAGTCATATCCCGGTGCCCTCAGGCGTGACTGCGTGTCTACGGTGGGTCGAATTCTAGTTAGGTGCTGACAGGCCCCACGCCAACGTGGCGTCAGCATACTTGACTGTTCTTAATCAATACCTGTCACCAAATCCTCCGTCCTCGCCCATATCGTGCCTTTCAGTCTTCTCTGCTAACATACGAAAATATTCTCGCGATGCCACCAACGAAACCCGACCCAGCCCGACTGATCTGTTCCTTTTGCGATAACTTATCCAAGCCCGGCAACACTGAAGTCACCCCCGAAATCAGGCATCAGTTCTTCCATAAAGAATGCTCAAGCTGCACACCCCAGCAAGACCTAACTTTATGCGACTTTTGTCAACATCTACGGGTCAGCCACCTTTTTTTCTGTGACTTGACTACGTATGACGACTTTTTGGATCTCGAAATCACCAGCTATTTCGATCTCAGTATATCACCGTCACAGAGTTGTCCCTTTTGCCAGCTCCTAACGTACATCACCGACTTGGGGAAGTCCTATTTTCCCGGAATCAAAGAAGAAATCAACAAGAGATGCATAAAGACTTACTTACGTCTGATTTGGGATCCCCATGATGGACAAATGCGTTTGGAACTTTGTGTTGGCTTGGTATTTTACCCCATTTTGCTTGCCGAGAAAATCTGTAGGTGGAACAAATCCCTGCATGCCCTGGATTTATACCAGCGTCTTATGACGGGCTGTAACAGAGCCCCATTGCATGTGGGCAAAAAGGTGCGATGGGATCAGGTTTGCGGATGGCTGAAAGAATGTGCGAACCACCATCATAAGTGCTCAGAAAAGCGTCTAAAATTAGACGAACGGCTGAAAAGGCTTCCTGATGGTTTCATGTTGATTGACGTGAAGGAGCGAAAGATTGTAAACGGGGACAAAGGCTTTCAATTTGTCGCATTGAGTTACGTTTGGGGGAACAAGCCGAATGATGCGAAACTGAGAGCTACAGAGAAGACGATAAAACGCCTACGATGCAGGAATGGTGTTGCAGCTCATGAGCTTCCAGCAACTATCGAGGACGCTATTCAGATCTGCATCAAACTTGGCGAACGATATCTCTGGGTGGACCGCTTGTGTATTGTCCAAGACCATCACCAAAGCAAACAACATCAAATCAGCCGTATGGCGAGCATATATGCATCGGCTTCATTCGTCATTGTTGTCACCGAAGGTAACATGGAGTCTGGAATTGCGGGGGTCAGCCACGAGCGGCCAATACAACATTTCCAACCTGTTTCAGGATCCATGTTCTCCTACGGCTTGCCTAGTATGGGGGAAAGCATAGAGCATTCCAGATGGGCAACACGCGGGTGGACGTATCAAGAGGCCGTTCTTGCCAGCAAGAAGCTTTTCTTCACTTCAAACCAAGTCTACTACATGTGCGAATGCACGATCAGATCGGAGAACATCGACGAGCGTTATGAGAAGACATCCTTCACAGAAAGGTCCATGAGCCTACATGCTGGGGTTGTAAATCTTTTCGATAATTGGGGGCATCACCTGGAAGCCTACACAGCTCGCAGTCTCAGTCACAGTTCAGACATTTACAACGCCTTCATCGGAATCTGCTCTGCAATCTACATTGAGGACGACCCATTATTATGCGGCTTACCGCGACAGAGCTTCAACCAGGCGCTCCTGTGGTCCTGTACCAAACCTGCCGAGGACGCTCCGCCCCACCAGGTCCGTACTCCAGAGAAGGACGAACAACTGCCCAGTTGGTCTTGGTCATCTGTTATCGGGAAGGTTTCTCTGAACGAACACGATACAATGACATCCGAGTTCTGTGGGAGCCTTGTAGAATGGGCTGTCAAAAGATCTGGCAAAAGCCACCTGGAACGGATATGGTGTCCAGACGATCCACAAAACGAGGTTCCTCCAAATCATGAGCAACTCAACATGGCTATTGCTTGGAGCCAAGGATGTCTCAAAAAGCCTTGGCCCCTCCCCGAACTCTTTGAACTCGAATTCTCTTCACTTAACGAATTAATGAAGACTCGGCGCATTTTTGCGCAAGATCACATTCAAGAATGGGAGGATTCTGGTGAAGAGCTGCAGAAGGAACTGCTAAAGAATCGCCGGCTACTAGATAAGGTGCTTCTAGTATCACGCGCTCAGACGGCCCATTTCAGGTTGAAAAAACACAGGCCTCACTTCAACCCCCGTCATCACCTTAGAGACCCAAAACACCACCTCTTGGAGGTAGTCGATGAAGAAGGTCACTGCATCGGCATGATGGCAGAGAGTGAACCTCGGGTGAAGGGCGAAGTGTGGTCCTCTATCGAATTGGACGTTTTCGAGTTTGTTGCTCTTTCGATAAGCTGCTACGACCGTTACCACACCCCGCTCCGGAGCGTACTACAACGTAACGAACAGCTTCTCAAAGACTGGCAGGATTTGAAGGATTACCGCAAGCGTAAAGAGGAGCCACGTGGGATATTTTGGCAAAGAAGTCGAAACCTCACTTTCTATGACAGACACGGCGTCCCCCTTGAACAAATTCCGGTCGTGAACGTCATGCTTATCGGAAGAGACCCGCGTCACCGTCATCTAGCCCACCGGGTTAGTGTTGGCTGGATTCTACTCACACAGTGGGCTAAAGCGGAGCGGCAGTTTGAGACGATTATTTTGGAGTAAATGCTGTGGTGGTCATGTCTGTTCTACGATGGTTTCCTGCCTAAATTGCCTTTTCTTTTACACTAAGTACCTTTTTCCAGTGTACTGTAGGATCAATGTAGACATTGCCGAATAATTTCCTTGTTGGGTCATTCAAATCCGCGTATCCACAACCTACGTCTTCCAAACTCTTGGATCCCGCCCAACCCCCTCCCAAACCCCCTCCCCCCATCCCCCCTTCCAACACCGACACCGAAACCGACACCCCCAACCCGACACCTCCCCCACAAACCCCCACAGCAGCCACTCCTCCCTCTCCGCCCTCAACACCATCCCTCACAGCCTCACAGCACCTCCATCCGCGCCACGCACCCATCCACGCCTGCAGGAAACCCGCGCGCGTCGACACGGGAGCCATCGCGGCGCGGGCCGGACGCGGGCGCGCGGCACGTACAGTACTGCCGGCATGCTCACCGTCACCGACTAGCAGCAGCAGCCCGCACGGGGGGGAGGGCGCGTTGGGCGGAGCGGCGGCGGGGTAGAGTGCTCGAGGAGTGAGTGTGCCTGCGCGTAGGTGGAATGAGTGATCGTGGGTGGTGGATGGTGTCGAGCTGCTGGCTGTTCGGTGTGAGGTTGAGGGGAGATGGGGGAGGTGTGGCAGACGTCTCTGGGATTGGTGTTGGAGGGGTCGCGCTTGGGTGTGCGGGACGGGTGGGCGCGGGTGCGGAGGAGGGCTGGGGAGGTGGGAGGGGCTGAGGAGGAGGAATGTGAGGGGCGTGGTGCCTGCGTGGTAGCTGACATCTGGATCGACGATGTGTATTGGATGCACTGGATCAGTGGTATAAGGATTGAGAGGATGGCTAACCGGGAGGTGGCTGTATACGCTGCTCAAGACGACTAGGCTACAAACGAAGCTGGTACATTACTTAGTGCAACAAATTGTTTCCATTTACCCAGTGTGACCCCTGAAGCTATT